GATAAGTGAAGATAATCCTTCGCTGTAATTCAATAATAAATAGGGGCTAATGGGATCCCCTTGGTGAAGCCCCCGAGATGGAAAAAAAACTTTCTCCTACCCTGCCATTAACGATCACTGAGTACGAAACAGAAGATATACACCTTGAGATACTTTTGATCCAAAGATCCGCAAAACCCATCTGCCTCATAATTCGTTCCAAGAAAGCTCACTCCACACGATCGTAGGCTTTGCTCATATCAAGCTTGAGGGCAAAGAAACCTTTACGACCTTTGGGATCAAGACTATGTGCGTTGAATTTATAGCATGCATGGGTTGCTCATCTCGTAATAAAGCAATGCAATAATCAGCTATCTCATTCCCAATTATATGCCAAAAACGCAGGTAAAAAACTGCTCCAATGCCGTCTACACCCGAGGCCTTTAAAGGTCCTATGGATCGAACTGCAACATGCACATCTTCACGGGTAAAAGCGCGAAGAAGCTCTGCCTTCATGTTTGGAGAAATACAATTAGAAATACCCATTAAAACTTCCGATGGATCAGTAGCTCCACTTGTAGAAAAGAGATCTTGAAAGTAGGCAGTAGCTATTTTTAATATGTCCTCATCAAAATCCAGAGTTATTATTATCATCAGTAAGTTTATTAATAATGTTCTTCCTTAAACGGTGTGATGCGTGTCGATGGAAAAAACTAGTATTTCTATTACCGAATCGTAACCAGTTTGCCCGGGCTCTTTGTTCCGGGTATAACTCTTCTCGGTCAGCCTCTAAATTCATAGCAAGCTTTACATTAATAATTTCTTCAAGGACATCATCATTCGGACGTGCTTCATTTAATTCTCGAAGTCGTTTCTTCAAATCACTAGTCGTGATTTTCCTCTCACGTTTGATACGACGAAACCATACATCCGGGCCATGAATCATAAGTCTCAATCGATCAGGAATAGAACCCAAGGAAGATTGCCATAGTTTTAAAACCTCCGCTTCACAAGAATTTTCCAAGGGCCAACAAGCTTCAAAGCGAAAATAAGCCAACCGCTCATTAGAAGGAATTTGACCATCAGTGTTTAAGAGTAAAGGGCAGTGATCAGAGAAAGCATGGGATAAGTGACAAAGATTAAAATGTGGAAAGAGGGTCCACCACGTCGGATTAGCCACCCTCTGTCAAGACGTTCTCTGATGTTTGTATTCGCAAAGCGCAATTTTTCCCAAGTAAACCACTGGCCATTATACCCAGTATCTTCCAAGGAGCAATTTGAGAGAGCCATACGGAATCTAACCATTTGACGTTCACTCCGGAGCAAGCCTCATTGCTTCTCATAAGAGAACATAAGTTCATTGAAGCCTCCAATCACAAGCCAGGGAGTGTCCGGTGTGTCATTTAGTTGTCGGAGTAAACCCCAAGAAGCTTCACGGTTTTGTTCTTCAGGGGCTCCATAAAAACCTATAAATCGCCAAGTAAAGCCATCTAAATCATCATTAAATAACACGTCAATATGTCGAGCGGAAAAGGAGCGAAGGGAAGCGTTGCAACTAAATTTCCATCCTAACGAAAGGCCCCCACTTCTACCATTAGCACTTACATCAATGCCATTAGGAAAACCGCTATACCAACGAAAATTAGCCATTTTATTACTCTGTAATTTTGTCTCAAATAAGAAAAATACAGTTGGATTGGCGTCTCGCAACACATTCCTGAGACGCCGTGTCGTCCGAGACTTACCCAGGCCCCGGACGTTCCAACTTAAGAGCTTCGTAGGGCTTGGCTGGCCCGCTGAGCGTGGGCTGCCGTTACATGATTAGGAGCACTAGTCGAATCTGCATTAGAAACTTCCAGTAATGTTTGCTGAGTTCTCGGGCGTTGGAAACTTCCAAGATATTATCCGGATTATCTTCATCCATATGGGTCATTGTCACATCATACTCAGATAGATTACTCCTTAATTTGTGCCAAAATAAAAGGATCAAGATCACCATGATTTAATTCCTTCTGACTTCTAGAGGAATCTGCCAGCTGTGTTCGTCCATTATAAGTAGAATTTTCCTGGCCACTTTCCATAACAACAGTAGGAGCAATGATAGGATTCTGATTCCTTAATTCTCGAGATTGACTAGGAAAATCCCTAGAATTTTGCAGAGATAGACTACTTTCCTCACGCAACCAACGACTTTGTGGGATTGTCGCCGATCGTCGTGTAGGTGCCCGGAGACTAAGATCCCAGCCAAAAGTAATGGCAGTTTCCAGCCAAAAGTAATGGCAGTTTTAGGCATAGACATCCTCATTGGGCATAAAGCTTCACCATGCCCGATTTTTCCACATACAAAGCAGAATAATGGAATTTTCTCATATTCAAACCTCACATACAAAGGATTGCCACCACGAATGACTAGCTTCTTGTGTCTTTTTAATGGTTTACGAATATCCAATGAGGTTCTCAAGCGCATAATGCCTTTATAACACAGTGAGACAGCAGAGTAATCATACTCGATGAAGGATCCAAGAAAGTTACCCATTTGACGAGCCATCCCTTCCGACATGCATCGGGGGGGACATCATGAACTAGTATCCAAAAAGGAACCATAAATAGCGGAACATCCAGAGGAACCTCTCCAGGCTTAAGTCGATATGTGGATTAAAATTCCATGGTCCTCCAACGAGATGATGGGGGTGCGGCATTTGGGCTCGATATGAAGCAGGGCCCAATCCATACTAATTTTGTCTAATGCAGACTATAGTTGTAGGACTGAGCTAGCACGGTTATAAAATAATGTTAATCAAATCATCTTTAATTAATATTTAACAGTGAATCTTACTTGACAATAATAAAATTAGTATAATTACACATGGATACTTAAACCTTACACATTTTATCAATTTATTCTTGTTTTTAATTTAATTTAATACTCTAATGAGACGATGATAATAGGTGTCGTTAATTACAAGTATTATGATATGTATCACCATCTAAATGGAGGAAAAATAAATTATAAAAAATTTATTAAGGGAAGAATCAAATTTGGGGGAGAGTTGAGTATGCCATAACTACCGAGCCAAACCTTACATTTTTTTTATATGTACAATAACATTATGATTATAGCTTTTATTGTAGTTAATGCTGGACAAAAAGAAAAAAAATCAAAAAAGGATTTTATCTAGGTCAATTAGAGAATTTAGGAGTAATTGAACCACTAAAATAAATTTATATATATATATATATATATATATATATGTATATTAAACTCCAGTTAATACAAAAATAATTTTAAGAATTTTATATTTTTAATCAATCTTAACGAGGAGATGATGATCATACACTAACAAAACAACCCTAAGCAGTAATAACCCAAGGGAAAAGACTTGACACCAAAGAAGTTTGTTGCATGGATGAAGGGAAGTGTAATGTTGTATTTCCTACCAATACAAAGAACAGGAAAAAAAGTATTAAAAAGCGTAAAGGAATCAATGAAAAGCTAAAACAGATAAAAGCCACTACTAAGAATATAAATAAAATTAAGCACAAATGAGAAGTTTTAGTGCTAGTAGCCAATCGTTCGCATTATTTATTTTTTTATATGTATATTACTTTTGTTTATGTTTTTAATAATTTTATTCGTGATCTTTCAATAGTTTAATTTATTGTTCATTTGTCGATACAATTAGATTTGTTCGCATACGTCTTTTGTTCTAGTTTCTTATATGAGTTTTAATTTTTTTTCCTTGTATAATCCTCAAACGATCTCGAGTAATTAGTTTAATGTACCAATGGTTATAGGAAAACACTTTAATTATATATTTAGTTTTGTACTTCTTTATAATTTCAAATATTTTATCTTTTTAATAAAATTAGCCGCTCTATTTACAAAAAAAACCGTCCAAAAATATAATATCAAATGATATTAAATTGGAGTTTCAGCTTACCAAGATCGAAAATTAATCAAGTTATAAATTTAACTTAAGAGCTCAAAACCAAGGAAAAAATTTCATCAGGTTTATGATCTTATATTTAAACTTTCATACTTGCATCCGTAACGGAATACAGATACCTAGGGATGGGCATGAGTCGGGTTGGGTCAAATTATTGGTCCACCCGACACAACCCGAGAACAAGGAGTCCTCCACCCAAAACCCGACTCTACCAAAGCAAGTTTTCACCCGACTCGAACTCGATCCAATATATAACTTAAAAACACGACCTGACCCGACACGAAATAATAAAAAAAATTATTAAAAAAAACAGTGACTTAATTGAAAAAATAATAATATATAGAAATGTATTATTATAATTATTTCTAAATATTTACGATAAAATTATATTTTTCGGGTCAGGTCGGATATGTTTCATCCTAAACCCTAAACCCGACCCGGATATCACACAAAAAAAACCCGACCCGACCCGAACCCAATTTTTTTTTAAAAAAAAATCCAACCCGATGAGGCCGGAACCGTCAGGTTCGGTTCTCATACCCATCCCTAAATATACCAGACTTTTCACGTTCATAAATTGGTTACTTAAATTAAGCCCGAATAATCATAATTGATTAAGCGGATGCTGCTTGCGTCTATGAAAACGCATGCGTACTTGCGTCTATGAAAACGCATGCGTATTTGTTCCGTAGACGGTGACGTGCCGTTTCAAATATGCTACTAGTTCATTGTACAGTCCATCACGTATCGTAAAACAGACCAAGAAAGAGACGTAATAAAATAAACTTGGGTGAAATACAACTGATGAACTTCAATGTAGCTGATAAAAAGTAAACCGCGTTGATCAAAAGAAAACAACCGATAAAAAGCAAACCGATTTTACTAGCATCTTTATATGTTTACCCCTACAGAAGATACCTGGCACAATTGATGAACTCCAAATGAATGCGCATAGAAATATGTATGCATCCCAAAAATACATCAGCATATGTAGAGAAACAGCCGTGTGTCCATGTCCTTTGAAAGCTACTACTATATCAAGCATTGCTCCAGTACAGGAGAGGGAAAAAATACAGGCAATGGATGTAGCATTTTACTAATGGCAAAAGGTATCCATGCAACTGGTAAAGAAAAAAATCACTCATGGCCCATAAAGACTTTAATAAAGCTGATAGTAAAATGCATATCAATGATACATACAAACAAAATTTTCAAGACATCTAGGGAAAAAGAGAGGAGAAAACCAATTGCTGTGCTTTCTATGAGGCAAATGAACTAGCCATATGCTAGAAATATCTGCAATTGCAATCAACAAAGGTAAAAGGTGAAAGAACGAAGACATACATGCAGCTCCTCGCCAAATCAGCTCACATCCCGGAGTCTTTTTATCAATGCGTCCAACGATTTTTTCTTTGAACTCTGCTTGGCACCCCTGCTCCCAAAGGTTCCGAATAGCCGATCCGAAGGATCCCTTAACTTCTCTGAGATTGTCACAACTTTCCTGTAGTCCAGGGCATTATAATTCCTCTCTCTAATTACTGGGTTCAGAAAATTCTCTGGATTACTGCTCAAAAGCAAATTGATCAACTGCCTCGACTAACAAGTGCATTTTTCAACTGATTTGCATCGCCCTCAGAGAAAATAGGAGCCAGGTTATCTGCAAATGACTCTAACAAGCGAATATCTACATCAATCCCTATAATAGCATTTACATTAAACCTCTTAACGAAATCCCCAAGTAAAGTATCAACAATTTTCTCCGATATGTGAGATAGAACATCTTGTAAAACTCTTTTAAGAACTTCAGGTGGTAATATCTGTTGTGCAGTAGAAACTAGAGTTTCCAAATATATTAGGACCTCATTCACATATTCATTACCACCTTGTGAAGGTTCATCGGTCATCCAGTTCACATTCTCAATCAATGTCATGAAACCATCAACCTTTGCCTTGAGCATCCCTGACAGCATTTCTTCTGCAGCATCGCGGGCTTTGCTAAGAGGAAACTGCCTCCTACCCCTTTCGGCCATTCTCAAAGGAATTCCTGAAAGTAGTGCAGCATGACGAAAGAAGAAATCACAAGCACGCTCCAATACAGCCATATTTGCTGCAACCTGCATTGCCTGAGAAACCCCATGGACAGATGAACCAATAAGCTTCAAAAGTGCCTCAGCCAAAACCTCACTCAAAAGCCTGTCTAAATACTTCTTAACAACATCGTAGAAATCCAAATGCCCACCATAAGACATAAAACTAACAGAATCTTCAATAAAAGATCTAACAATCCGACAACAATCAGGTACAGTAGATGAAAACGGTGCAACATAAGGAAATGCAGGAATAATATCTGATGTCTGTATCTGGAAAGAAAGAACATTCATCGAATACTCATACTCCTTCTTCATCAACATCTGCTCAAATTTATCAGCAGCAAGTGCCTCTGCAATCTGCTTCCGGCAATCAGACAACAACAATTCATGGTACTTATCCCTATGCTTGCTCAAAACATCAAGCAATGCACCCACAGCGTAGCCGCACCTTCGCAAAGTAACTCCCAACAAACTGACATAATCCTTAATCAGTAACAAGTGATTAGCAGTCTGCATCCTTGAAAACTGATCCTCTAAAACAGCGCACATTTTACTAACAGCAGTTTCCCACAAATTCTCAACTTCCATGTTCGAAATTAAACCCCCTCCTGTCCTTAAGATTCGATCTTCTACAATAAAAAACCCCGCAATTTGGGCGAAAAATGTTTGATGGGATTCGAGAAAGGGAGTCATAGAAGATACTTGAAAATCTGACGTTAGTTGAAGCTTCCTGTTCTCAAAATAATACTGCTTAAATCGATCTTCGAGTCCTAAAGTTTGATGAATATGATAAGCTCTATAAAGAGGAGTCAAATCAAAACCTAACACGCCGTTATTACCGTAATTGTGACCATCGTTTTCGTCTCCTCCAAGTCCAGCTTCATCATCATCTTCTTCTAAAGCATAAACGCAATCTCTCAAGCTGAGTCGACTCTGTTCCTCGGCTTGCCTTTGCTTAATTCTCAGATCCTCTTCACGTTGCCTAGCAGCTGAGGCTTGTCCGATTGCTAATTGCCCTAAATTGCGACTAACCACACGAATCTCCACGAGCCAATCGCCGAACTCTTTGCTGATTTTCCTCTCGATATGAGATCGAATCTCTGGAATCTTGCTCTCTATCATCCTTTTTAAAGTAGATGATGGCGTTTTATCATGGAAATCGTTTTCAATCGAGTCTAAGCATTTCAAGGCCATGTAGAAGCTTCCGTTTGAGAGGTGATGATTAGCTCTCATGCAAAGTTCCATTAGCTTAATACACAAAGAAACCGATTGTAAAGCGGAGTCCACGTTGTTGGAAACATTTTGAGCTTCGACGAAGGAATCAAGGGAAGAAAGGAGAGGACCGGCAACGGATTGGAGTCTCGAGTTGGAGTCGTAGAGAGAAGATTTGAGAGAATCCACGTCGGAGAGAAGAGATCGAAGATCGTCGACGGCGAGAATGAAATCTTGGTAGTGAGCTTTGCAAACTTCTTCGATTTCCGATTCTTTCGAACGAGAAAAGTGACGGAGGTGGTGGACCAGTGTTTCAGGCCTACCAGAAGCGAACGCTTTGCGGACGAAAGGGCCGAGGTCCTCGCCGTTACAGATGGCTGAAGAAAGGAGGAGCTGTTCCTGCTTATCGCCGGAGTCACCAGAATCGGCGGCGCCCGGCGCCACTTTGCGGCGTGACCTCGTTGACTGCATTTCTTTTAACGGTAACGGTGATGACGCCGTGATCATAGAAAGAGAAAGATATATTCGTGGGTTGGGTCGGAGTTGTGAATAGGGGGTTTTTGGACACTCAGAAAAACGGTGATGCCTCTATTTGTTTAGTTATTTTTTGACGGAATTGACACTATGGTGATTGATGCTAATAGATGGGCTTGTTTGTAATTTCCAATTCGGGAAAAGGAAGAGTAATATATGTATACCGTGTTTGACATTTCCCTTACGTTAAATTCATCGGCTTGACGGCTTCAAAGGAAGACATAATCTGGTGAAAAAGATTTTGCTTCATTCCAAGTTGGAATTTGACAAATCTTATAAGGCCAGCCAGCAAATGACAACATGGAAAGGTTCTTAAATTTTAATTTGGTATTCCTAATTATTTATAACAATTTATAAAACTTTATTTATTTATAATTATACAATAATATCGAAACACGTCATCAGCTTTAAATTGTACTTTTAAAAATGTGCTAATATGAAACGGTTGTAACATTATACAGCCAATTTTCTCTTCTTTTTCATTATTTGTATTAGCTGTTTGAGAATTAGTAATCAGTATGTGTTAATGGAAAACTGGCGGTGCCATTTAATAATTCTAGCAAAATATATGGTTTGAGAGATGAATGATGCTAATCGGTGATGCTGGAATTTGATAATAATGGCTTTTGAATTCTCCATATCAATAGTAGACAAAACAGATGTTGATAGGCATAAGAAATGCAATAATTTAATACATACTTCTCCAGCCACTTCTTCAGTCATGCCAACCAAAAGGAGGGTAAAACCTGGCCCACAACAGTTGTTGATTGTTGCCTTGTTGGTAAAATTGGAACCAAACATTTCTCACACAACTGGTTCACCTAAAACATGAATTCCACAACAAACATTTATCGAAGATACGGGGAGTTTTAGGAAGTGAGGAACTAGGGATGGAAAGAGGTTTTAAATTCGAGTACTAAAGGTATTTAAGATTTTATTATTAAATGATTGAAAATTTTTAGAACAAATATTACTTTGTAATCATTTATATATTAATCAAAAAAGTTATCTCTTAAAAAATATGATGTATAATAATGTCATACCTTATATGTATTATAAATGTTAGACACATTTCCCCCCATTTCATGCAGATTAAGATAGCAATTTGCGAACAAAGTGTAAATTACATCATTCGTTGTTGGATGAATATTATAAATCTTCAGATCATGTAGAGGATCTTTTTGTAATGGCATTTTTTTTATGTATTCTTTACGTAACCAGCAACTAGAGTACGACTTTGATTTGAGCATTTAGGATGATAGCCTGACTGGAACCAGTAAGTTTGCTCTACATCCAACTGATTTCTTTTTTCGTTTGTTAAATAATCCCTTTTATTTTGAACTCTGATGATTCAATTGTAATGGCAGACTCCATGATACTGTACTGTTTATATATAATAGGTAAAAAAAACTCGAAGGGTGTTGTGCTCAACCCATTTTTTCGTTCTCACTACTCTGAATTGTTCAAGACTTTATATTTAGGGCCATAGTGATTTGAAGTCTGCAAGAACCATTTTAAATACTTCTTATTTATACGAGACATCTTTCATCATGAACCACTTTTATCTTTGAAGATGATACCATGAAATTGCCTCTATCCTGCATATCAATACGCTGTTTCCTTTTTGATTGACATTAATTTGAGGTTTGTTGTAATGAAATGTTGTTGCATATTTCTCGTGGAATGATGAAAATCGAGTCAAATTCTATGTTGAAAATCTGCAGGTTCTCCTCCGAGGCCCGAAGAATGGTCGTGAAGCTGTGAAGCACTTTGGACCAGCTCCTGGTGTGCCACACAGCCACACCAAGCCCTATGTGCGGTCAAAGGGAAGGAAATTTGAGAGGGCTAGAGGAAGAAGGAACAGCAAAGGCTTCAGGGTTTGAGTTTGTGACTGCCTGGAAGAAAATGACTTAACAGCCTATTATCATGAAAACCGGAATCGTCTCAGTTTTTCTTCTTTTGTTCTTCCATGGTACATTATTATAGTTTGGGATCTTTTGTAATCTTGTTTGTCAAGGAAATTTTGGAGTGATTAAACTTTTTTTTCATTCTTAAATCTATAGGAGGATGGATGTATGGGTTGCAATATCATTATAAAATATGAAATGCTTTATGTTGTACCATTCTGATCTAAATCATGCGAGGATCAGCTGATGGTGTTTTTGTATGTTTATATATATATATATATATATATATATATATATATATATACATAAATATATATAACGAGCATTTCATAGAAGAGAAAAATATAAAATTTACAGAATTATAATATATTTTCCCATGTATTTATAATTTTATATAATGCGTGTAACATGTATGTCTGATATATTTTATTATTCTCCCATGTATTTATTATGTTTTGATGAGAAATTAGTATACATGTTTAAAAAGTATTGAATATAATAATAAAAATAAAAGGGAAAAAATTGTTTGAGAATTTCACTAAAATAAAGAGGTTAAAGTAGACACTAAGCCTTTTAAAAAATAAAAATAAAGGAGTAAATTGTTTGTACCAATATATATATATATATATATATATAAGATTTATGTTTGATATATTGATACAATATATAGTTTAAAACAATGTTAGTAAACTTGTTAAAGAAAATAGATATTATATTTGTTTTTAATAATTGATTAAATTATATTTTATTATGATATGAATTAGATGAGTTTAGATTAATTAGTTTATGCCATCAGAAAACCAGCATTAAGACTTTGAAATCTTTAGAAAATAATGGGATTTAAGGTTGTTCGGTGCTTATCTAAAGATTTAATTTTTTTTAATATTAATTATTTATTTTACCTATGATATTTATTTAAAAAATTTATTTATGTTTAATTTATACGGATTTTTTTTGTTAATAATATATATGTGTCTGTCATTTAAAATATTGATGTAACACGAGGGTAATTAATTTAAAAAAAGATATAAATTTCTATCACCAATACCTACAAGACTATAATTATAATGATCACAAAACCAATGCAAGATAAAGACAAAGAATCACATCATAAAACACTTGAATAGCTCAGGTATTTAGACGTTTATTACATTTGAAAAATAATGACATAAAACAACATGATTTCATCTCATTAATTATCTGTTGATATTTTTATTAATGGTCGAAGATTTAGATTTAACTGATTGCGTTCGAATTCGAAATTTTTAAGAATAATAATGAAAATTGTTCATATTAAGGTTTCATCATAAGGCACTCCTGTATCCGGCAGCCAGTCGTTACCCAACAAGAAACTCGATACTGTAAAATTAGCAGCATAGGTAGCATTAATGACATGGTAGCCAGGCCATGTGACCCTCTTGGAAGTGTTGGAACCAGGTCCATTATTGTCATACTCAGCATAGTATAATGTACTCAAGGACAAATTTCCACTCCATTCTTTCCATCCTGCAGGATCTATCAAACTGTCCACGAAACTCTGCATATACACTGTCCTCGAATACTCCTTCCAAGGTCTCCCTAGATATGTTTTGACGCTGTAATTGCTCGAGACCAAATCATCAGCAGCTTTAATGTTACAGATATGAATCAATGTGCCTGTGTTCTGGTTCGGATCGGTCCGCCCTTGTGCGGTGATCGGATCATACTGACCCTTCAATGGTTGTCGAGCATATATGTTGCAGTTCTGCAAAACAACAGCAGCATTTCCGAATATGAAATCGACGGTACCGTAGATATCACATTCCCTGTAGAATTGCCTTAAGGAATGAGTATATAAAGTGTCTTGGTAGCCTTCGAAACTGCAGCTATAGAATGCTGATAAATCAGCCCCGTTTCGAACAGCGACGGCCTGGCCCTTGATCGCGCCGGCGGTGTTCCGGAAAGTTATGTTTACCGCAACAAAATTCGGAGCCACCACAGCTGTGACATTAAACAGTAAACACAATGTATCAGATAAAGCTATTATGCAGTTTCACATGTAGTTATTGAATGACTTACCAAATGTAGCAGAGTTAAATGTTGTCCATCCATCAGCAACGCTCTGGTTTCCGGTTATGACCGTCTGATTGATTCCGTCACCGATCATCATCAAGTACTTTTTGTTATTGGGAATTGAAATGTACTCTTGATAAACACCGGCAGTGATGTAAATCAAAAAGTAACCTGAAAGACCATTGGTGTTGTTTGGTGCCGCCGATATAGCAGCGTTAATGGTAGTGAAATTTCCGCTACCATCCAGACTCACGACCACAATTTTACTGATCAGAACTTCATCGGAATCGTTGGTCTGAAGAAGCTTTCTCCGGCTTACGGTCTCGTAAATCGTAGACCGTGTCCCGCTAGACATTAGCAAACGCCTGTGTTTGAAACCAATATGCTTGCTGCTACTCGGCTGCCGTGCGGTCAGTGTTTTGTTCTTAGGAACCCACCCCATTGTAAAAAAAGCCAGAGAAACACTGTGGAGTTTCGTGTCGTTTAACAGAGTACCCATTAGGCCGTTCCTTATGCTCCGAGCCGAATCAGTCGATTCTAAACTGTCCAAACAGGTCTGCTGGTTCGTTATAATAGCACTAAGGAAAGTTTGAACGTCATCAGCTTCCTTAGAGGACAGAGTCTCACTAGTGGCATTGACGGTTCTAGAGGAACTCAAGAGGAAATCCTCATTCAGGCCAGCCAGAAAGCGGCAGTCCTCCAAAGCACGAACGGCGGATATTGATAAAGATGACCGATACTTGTTCCGGTACTGTTCGACTAAATCGAGGAACTTCCGGGACTGTGAGAGAGATTTATGGATGGAGAATCGACCATAGTCGTAGACATTGGCGGTTCGATCAGGGAGGATCGATCTGCAATAGGAAGGGTGTGGGGTGGAAGTGCAAATGGTTGCTGGTGAGACATGATCAGATGGGGAAGCTTCTGCAAGAGAAGAAGAGACAATGAAAGGAATAAGAAGAATGAACAAAGATATTATTGTTGGAAGATAGCATGGAATGGAAGCCATAGCTAACAGAATCAGTTGTTTAATAAAAAGAGAGGTGAGCTGAATTTGGAAAGATGGTGTATTTAAAGAGGAGAACGTAGGTTTATTCTACTTCTGGCATGAGACAATCATGTTAGGGTATTGTAGAGGATAAAAGATTATTTCATTTGTAAATTAAAGTCAACTGCAAATACTTCATTAAAAATGCCTTGTTTTTTCTTCAGCTTTATCCTACTTTCTAATCCAGTAGGGAAACAAATATATCTGAAAAAACTTGATAAAAATGCGTTGTTTTATTAAACTTGTAAGGATATATATATATATATAATATGGATTAATTAATAAATAAATCAAATTTTATATGTAAAAACAATAAAACAGTAATAAAAGGCCTACGGAAAGCACCAGAAAACATGCAATATCCTCGTTATCACAAAATTCAACTACAGTAATAAATACCTAAACAACTAGACACCACTGCCATCTGAAATCACACCATGAACTATGATCAATGTCACCTTTATATATATATGGTTTCATAAACTTTTAATTTTTTAAAAATAAATTATACATAATTGTAATTTAAAAAATATATACATTCAAAACATATACTCTGATTATTTGTACTTTTCTAGATTTTTTTACATTTTAATGATTTTATTTGAAGTTTTAATTATTATTTTTTGAGTTTTTTAATAAAAATAGAAGGGTAAAATATTTTTTCCTTAAAGTGTAGAATTGAGGTAGATATTGTTGAACCATGTTTTATAATATTTTGATATAACAAATTAAGGCAAAATTTTTTGGACTTGATTGAATTTGTTCAAAGTTTTCAAAAATAATTCAAAGTTCATTAAACTAGAATTTGAACACAAAATAGTTTTTTGGGTACGTAGTACCGATATTGTTCTTACATTATCGATACTACATGAACAATATCGATATTGTTCATATGGTACCGATACCAAAGGTAAGAGTAGTATCGATACTACATCGATACTCTCTTGGTAGTATCGATACTACCAGTTGCTTTCCAAATTGTTTAAATTCCATAATGCAAAATTGGTACCAATACTCAAGGGGTACATATACTACTTTACACAGTGGTATCGATACCATAAACCCTAGTATCGATATTGGTCGAGCCCAGCGGTCTTTAACGGCTAGTTTATTTAAATATTACAAAGGTAATACCGATACTCATTAAAGGTGTACCGATACTCCATGTTCTGGGCAGTTTTACTTTTGTAGAAAATTCATCCCCAACGGCTAGAAACGACCATAAACTCATTCTAACATATAAAAACAAGTTGAAGACACTTGAAGAAGGTTACAACACATATCCAAGCAATAGAGATAAAGAGAAAAGCACTTTCACTTTTTATTTTCCCTTTTCTGTTGTACATATGTGTTTGAGCTTATTGCAAATCTTTCAATTGTTTTTTTGTGAGCTTAATTCTTGTAAACACCTACCTTTGTGAGGTTTTCTTGTTTACATCTTTCAACGTTTGTAAAAGAGGAGTGGTTTCAGTTTAGCCATTAAAAAAATAAGGGTTTTGCAAAGGTTACTCTTGAGCCTATAAAAAAAAGAACAAATTAGTGAATTTGTTAAAAAAAATCCTTAGTATGGAGCTAAGATAGTGGACGTAGACTTGGTTTAGAAGTTGAACCACTATAAATCCTTGTGCCAATTGTCTCTCTCTTTTTACTCCATACCTAAATTTTTCAAAAGGTCAATTCACCCCCTCTTGGTACTTTTTTCGGTTGATCAATTGAGATTCATCAATCCTAATAATTGATATCAGAGCTTGACTCATTAGAATGTTTAACAACTTTGAGACAATCGTTAAAGAAGTTCTATCGATTCCCGACGCAACCGAGAAGATGATTTCAACCTCCAGCTCATACTACATTGAAGACTCTCAATTGGTCAACAAACCACCTTATTTCAATGGTGCAAATTATGCCTATCGGAAGAATATGATAATGTTCTTCATTCAAGCCAACGATTTAAGAGCTTGGAACTCTATTATGAAGGGATATTTTACTCAAATCGACGAGATAGATGATTGGAGTGATGGAGATAAGAAGAAGTTCCAACTCAATGCAAAGGCAATGCATATTCTATTTTGTGCATTAGGCCCGGATTAATATGGAAGAGTCTCATCTTGTTCAAATGTCAAACAGATATAAGACAAACTTCAAGTCACTCATGAAGGAACCAATGAGGTAAGGAAAACAAAAATCGGTCTTCTCAACCATAACTATGAGAATTTCAAGATGAAACAGGATGAAGACATCAAAGCTATGACAGATATATTTTCTGTGATTGTCAACGGTCTTGAGGGATTTGGAGAAATAATCCCTAATGAGAAGCTTTAAGGAAGATGATTTACTCTCTTCCAAAGTCTTGGCAATCGAAGAAGACGATGATTATCAAAGCTAAGAACCTAAAGTCACTCACTCTTGATGTGCTTATTGATTCTCTTCTCACTCATGAGTTGGTGGTAAAGGAGGAAGAAGAAGATGATGAAGAAAAGAAAAATAAGAAGAATAATGAGGTAGGCATTGCCTTCAAATCCAACATTGAGAGTAATCAAGACTCAAGCGAAAAGGTGGATGAAGATGAAGAAGAAGAGATGACCAAGCTCTTCAAAAGATTCAAGAGATTCATGACTTCTAAAGAAGTGAAGCATGAATCAAGCAAAAAGAATGGTCCCTCGGTGTGATTCGAATGTCAAAGAACGGGGCATGTCAGGTATGATTGTCCACTCCTAAAGAAGAAGGGATCAAGTAAGAAGAAGACATTTGTGGCGGCTTGGAGTGATGAAAATGAAGTAGTCAACCTTTGCCTCATGGCCGTCGAAGAAGATTTAATGATAACTTCCAACTCTAGTGAATTAAATTCTTATTATTTTAATGAGTTACAAGTTACCTATGATGAATTGTATTTGGAATTTGAGACCATGAATTCCAAATATAAGAAATTGAATTCAAAATTCAAAGTTGAAAATGATTTTCTTTTGAAAGCAAATCTAGATTTTGAAAAGAAAAATAAAATTTTGAAAAATGATTTTGAGCTTTCAAAAACCAAAATTGAAGATTTGGAAAAGGAAAATCTTGAATTGAAAGTTAAGCTTGAATGTTTAACAAAAGAAAAAGAAATCATTTCCAAAAACAATTCATCTATGTTAAAAATGGCAAAATGCTCACATTGTCATTTTCATGGTAACAATATAAATATTTTTCCCATAAAGAAAAGAAAATCTTTTAAAATTAGACACGTATGGGTTCCTTTGGAAACTAGAGACATTGGACTAACATTCTAGGACCCAAAGCAATTTGGGTACCAAAATCCAAATGAATGTCTCTTGTAGGTGTGTTGGAGCAACAATGATAAATGTAAAGAATTTCAATTGCTTTAGTCACTCAAAAGAATGATGGGTAACCTCTAACCTTAAAGCTTTTTGATTGTGTATATTGGTTGCCTATTGATTTTTTTTTTGCATGCATGAGTGTTAAGCATGAATGATTACTTGTTGTTTGCTATCTCATGTATGTTGAAAAGTATATTATAATGAACATTTTTTTTAAATGTCTTTGTAAAATTCTAGTTTATCATAATGTTTGCTTTTGGTCAAGTTGTGTTTAAAATGTTTATTTTTTTAATTTTTTTCTTGATCTTAATTTGTTTTAAATGTGTGTGCATGTGTTATTCATTGCCTATGATAATCTCTCTAACAATTGATATCTATGTTAAATGCATAACACTTTAGAATGATTTATGCTTATGAGTTATAAATTCTTATTTGTTGATATTGCATAAAGTATGTTTGACTTGGATTTATTGAAGTTCATGTGCTACTAATGTGTTTTGTTTCTTATCTCATTGAAATTCAATATTCTTTTAAGTGTTAAACTTTTGTGTCAAAAGTTTTCTTGGAATGTTTTTATTGAGGGGAGCTTTGATTTTTCAAATGATTTTATGTTAAAATTCTTACTTACTCTCCATTGTTGTTTAAACAAAAAGGGGGAGAAATTCATCTCCAATAGCTCGAGAACAACCCATGTTTCACCCCTTCTATTCTGGATAGTTTTACTTTTGCAGAAAATTCATCTCCAACAACTCCAAAACAACCCCATTGGCTAAAAACGGCCACAAACGCATTCCAACATAGAAAAACAAGTTGATGACACTTAAAGAAGGTTACAACACCTATCCAAGCAATAAAGATCAAGAGAAAAAGCTCTTTTACTCTTTATTTTCCCTTATGTGTTTGAGCTTATTGGAAATCTTCAATTGTTTTTCTTGTGAGCTTAATTCATGTAAACATCTACCTTTGTCAAGTTTTCTTGTTTACATCTTTCAACCTTTGTAAAAGGGGAGTGGTTCTAGTTTAGCCATTGAAAAACTAAGGGTTTTGTAAAGGTTACTCTTGAGCCTAAAAAAGAAAGAAAAAATTAGTGAATTTGTTAGAAAATCCTTAGTGTGGAGTTAAGGTAATGGACGTAGACTTAGTTTAGAAGTCAATCTACTATAAATCCTTGTGCAAATTGTCTCTCTCTTTTTACTCTATACCTAAATTTTTCAAAAGGCCAATTCACCCCCTCTTGGTACTTTTTCGGTGGATCAATTGAGCTTCATCAATCCTAAGAGATGTCAAACCTTATTTATCTAAAATAGGTTGGTTTTAATTAATTGAATTTTGATTAATATTTTTTTTATAAAAAACAAAGTTTAAATTTCACTGATAATTTCGTTTTACTTGTAATAAAACAATTTATAAATAATGTTAACCAAATGAATAGAAATGATAAAAGAGTACAAGTGTGTGTAGAGTCTAGAATAAGGGTCGTGTCGTAGAATGTAAAATTAGTGCAACTCAAGAAATGGAAACATTGAGGCCAAGTTGATGGCGACGCGTTCAAAGACATTAAAGGATTTTACAAGTTGATTTTGTTTTTTTCTAAGTCAAAGACAGTAAGCTTAGAGATCACAGCTCACCAATGCTTGTTGATAACACTTTGGGTCGAGCTATTAGGGTATTAAAAACTCTTAATCATACATTTGACTTCAAACATATGTAATGCAACGCTTAATAAAATATTTACTCATTATTATCTCTTTTATTTAATTTCAGGAATACAATAGTCCATATATACACTACATTAACTAGATAATCTATTAATCATAAGTAATACTATTCATAAATTTGTATTATCGTACATGCATTAGTAAAATATATTGTATTTTGATAAAGAAAAACTCATGTTTATTTTTTTTAAAATATATTATTATGAGAAATAATCACAATTTTCGAAAACGTAATCATGAATTATAAAATAAATATATTGCATTCTGTAAATTTTATAAGTTTATTTCCTCTAACATAAAATATTGCGTCTGTTCATGGATAAAATAAATAGATAATATGTTAATCTTATATATGAAATATAATAATTCATTATTTTCAAGTACTATAGTTAAATTTCTTATATTTTTAATTTACTCTATAATAATAATTATTATAGTCCAGCATGATCCCAAATTGATAATAAGATAATTATTTATTCATGTTTGACCAGAAATTGGACTGTATTATTAATTACATGGTTGCATTGTATGTATCACCTTCCCTAGATATAGACTTTGCGCCATCATCGTTATTTTTACTACTAAATTGTATTCATGAAACTAATCAGGATGCAATGTTTGTATTACCATTGTCCACCGCTAGGCAAGTTTCTTGTTTCCATTAGTAATTATAATTTAGAATAATGATTTTTTAACATTTTTTTAAAAATATTATCTAAATAATTCGTGACATTAACTCAATCGGGAATTTGATATTAATATATATTTAATATTAAATAAAAAGAAAGAATTCGGGCAATATAGCTTGAAGCAATTACTTTTATTTATTGTAGTAATTCTACCAGAAAGCAATTTCATATTGCTATGATACAAGCTTATTTCAAACAAAATTTACACGTACTACAAGATGACTCTGTATTTCAATTTTCAGTATACTCTTCTTCATCCGGGTAGGATTCCAGAAACTGCATAATTTTCATCCGTTCTTCTTTGGTAAGATAAGGATCATCACCGGTCAACCTCTTCCGAACTGCTCCATAACCACTGTTTGGATCACTGTCAACAACCTGCACCCGGCAGAAAAATAGACAACTGAGGGTTAAAACTTAAAATTGGCACAGGCGACGAAAGGCTGCTTTGAAACAGAATTATGGACAATTGATATAGGTTTGCCAGATTATTCTATCTATTGTGTTCAGAATCTTTCTTAGTCATCGACAACACATACCCTACAGATGCAGTTGCTCCAACCCGAGACTTCTAGGGAGAACAATACTCCCTTTTACCACTGAGGTCGCTTGATGAGTATATAAATCCATCATATACTATTATAACTCAGACTCTTCATTTTCCTTCTCCAACTCTTGTGTGACATATGGGTATATAAATCCATGATATACAATATTACTGTGACTTCATTTTCCCCTAGGCCTAAATAGCTATATCCAACATTCATGTCTGCCACGGGTACAGGAAAGTAGAAACTTACATAAAGAAAATTGTTGACATGGCCATCTTTGTTAGGGGTTGTTACCAGCTCATTTTCATTGTAGGTCCATTCACCATCAACTATATACTTGTACTCGTAGCGTCCTTCCTGTTAAAGAAAGGGAAAACGGACTTATTATCTTATAATGTGGTAAGAAAAAAATAAACTAATAATTTACATTACACCTGTATGGAATTGTTTTGCTTCCTAACATGAAAGAAAAAATAAAATTTCCATGATATGTTCATATAAGTATTAGACCACAGACGCAATTAGATTCTGGAAATAAGAACTAGGATTGAAGAACTGGTCCCAAAGACAAGTGCATGCAAACTGAAACGTCAATGCACCAGGATTTCGAATCTTAAAACCAAGAGAGAGAATTAGGTAGAAATTTCAGTCCCAAAAGGATATAACATGGCTAAGAGAAACATGAAAAGGAAGCGCATTAAATTGTAACAGGAAAAATGTAGGATACTCAAGTGTACTTTATATATTTAAGTATTGAACAAACTAAAGATACAATGCAGTACTGCAAACAAAAGATGGTTACCGGCAGTTCTCTCTGGAGAGTCCATGTACCATGCTCTTCATCAAACTTCAAAGGCATTCTCTGGATAAGAAAAGAATGATAAAAAAGCTGAACGTAAACTTCAAAGGCACTCATCAATTACCACATAATTAACAAGATCTTTTATTCTGGTTAACAATTTGCAATGTGGCAATTGGCATTTTTTGCATCCTTGAACAAAGTCCATGGCTTTTATAATTCACAGGAACTAAATAAATCAAGAAAACTCGAGTACCTTAATCTGCTAATAATGAATAGTAGACAGTTACCTGGCCCCACCCGATATCAAGTCCAGAAACTTCCACCGCGGAGCACTTGTCGTCTTTCCATGTCAAAGTCACAAGCTCCTTCTTGAGATCAGTGAGCTTTACATTGAGAAAATATGATAAATGAGTTTGCAAAAATCTCTTAGTATATAACATCAGATCAAATGAAAAAATTGGCATCATGAAGCTCCTGCTGAATTGACTACTGCAATTAACAATGAATTACACGCCAAAATTTTAAATGTTTTTCAAAGACTAAATGATCTTATTCTTTAAAGAAGACTGCAATTAATATTGTATTAAACGCCAAAAAGTAAAATGTTTAAACATTTTTCATGAACTCAATGAAGCAGATAATGAAATAGCTTTCTACATTTCTTAGTTTAATTTCATTTTCTGCGCATACTGCAAATAATTTATTTTTTCTTAAAAAACTTTCATGTTAATCAATAACGTGCTGCTAAAGGCGAGAGAGGGAGGTAAGGGGAAAGATAAACAGAGAGGGTGTGGTGCAAGTCCCATGGATTTATAGTTATATCATTAGTTTTAGTTGTCACTATCTTTTGCATATACAGGACAATCTTTTGCATATACAGGACAAACAAACAAATAAAATCATCAAGAACTCAGTTACCCCAATAACCCTTTGATATATTTATTTCAACTGAGATCACCAAAAAGGAGGCTGTATTGAAGAGCTACGACAGGCAAAATATCAAATAGAAATCGATAATTTCAAACCATATTCATCTGTAATAATATGAATGACTGAAACTAAACAAGAAAGTGAACACATTAATGCCTGACAAGGACAATAATTCTAACCACAAATTCGGGAGAAGGGCTTGCGTAATTCACATGTTAAACATATGTTAGCGCTACAAAAAGCATGGAAACTACAAAAAGTTTTCCGCACAATCAAACAGCATTTGTATAAAATTTGAAGTAAACATGACAATCTACTATTCATACAATAAAGAAATGAATTCAATAATCCAGAAAGAAAAAAGAAATTTTAGGGTTTCATTGATGATTATGCCTATTGTAATAGAATATCAACTCACAATATCAGCAGTTGCATTTTTTATGGCCTCCAAATTAGGGGAGCACGAGCGTTTGCTCTGAAAGACGGGAAATGAAAAAATATCAGAGATGTGACAACCTACACAGAGTCGCATACTATAACAATGCAAAACCATATCTTTGGTGAATCTTTAACAAAGAAAAGGTGAATCTTTAACAAAGAAAAGGGCACAAGTCTATGTATTACTATCCCGCAATAGTAGACCTGTGTTTTCCAAAATTATTTCTATAATTGATATGAAGTATCTAACTTTCACAACCTGAAATCACATACCCAAGCTTTGGGAAGCATGGGGACTTGAGATTTTGGTTCTTGAAAAAATCCATAAATTATATATTGATTTTCAGTCCTAGCTATTAAATACCATATACAAGCAAAAGGACCTGCTCCAAGCAGGTAAAAAGAAACTCAAGGGCAGGGCTTATTGTTATCATGGTAAAGCAAGCTGCTCAGATACCAAAACTATGATCCTGACATTTAAATCAGTTCCACTTAAATCAAGGAATCTCAACCACTTTACTGACATTGCAAAAACAATCACAGTAATGATTAAATGTACAAGTTGATTAAGAAAAATCATTGTTGTTAAGAATATTGGTTCAAGGATATGGTCATCAACCCTAAAATGATGGAAATAAATCCAAGCACCCAAAATTGCATTGACCTCTCAAACAATTCCAAACTGAATTTACAAATGTAGAAGGATGGAGCCAGTTTGGGTCTTATAGATTATTATCCAAAACAAAATGATAAGCATGGAAACAAAGACAAAGATACCAGCAGTTCTGTGTGAGCATCGCTAAGTTTATATCCTTGAACCCAGAACATATATCCCATCTGTCATTAGTAACACCAAAAATCTACAGTTTAGTATTAACATAAATTAGAGGAACTAAAACATAGCTCATTTCATCAAGGTTTAGCTTTAGAAATTGGATGGAAAAAGACTTTTCAGACAAATGAAATAAGTTGAGTACAGCAACAGCAGGAGCTCTTCCAAGTCCAGCGGTACAATGTAAATAAGTTACACCTCCATTCCGATTTATGGCCTTATACAATTTACTAACCACCGCTGGAAGTCTCATCCGTAAATCAAATGCATCAAAGTCCCTGCTTCATCCAATATTGACCAAACTATATTAACAACAAAAAAGACTCCAAATCACTAGTTACTGTATTAGGTGATACACGAAAGTTGTTATGACAACAGAATACTAGTATCACAAATAACTCTACAAATGATGCTGTTCAGACTTTACAGTGAAAACTTAGTATAGAGTAATGATCAGTCAATTGTGACGTCTGACCTTATTCGAGCACGTATGTGTTCAATATCACCACATTCCTTGGCATAATCTTGAATGGCACCAATGTCAACCTCAAAATATCTGGAAATTATAGTAAAGGAAAATAAAGTACTCAATTTGTCAACTATTCTTGTTAGTCTTGTGTCCAAATGTTTTCTACAAATAATCATGCACTTGAAAATATCTCTGAGAAAATGGTTACTTTCATTTTCCAAATCATAAAATTTAGATGAAGATTCAATGACAATAGTGTCTAGGATACTCCAAATCCGGGTCTTGCTGCAAGCAAAATATTGTTTTCACTCCAATTTTTCTTAACTTGTCAACGTCTTCTGGAGTCTGTAAATTTAAAGATAGGAAAAAATATTAATTTGGGTAATTATTAGGGGAGAGTTTTTCTATAATCATTTACTAAGAAATGAGAATTAACTGCAGACATGAGCCCACAATTAGGTCTGGACGGATAAAGTTATAGTTCATTCCCAATTCATGCCTATAAGTCAAGACTGCAGAAAACCAGAAATAACAAATGATTAACAATGAAAGAAGCCAAACTATATAATAGAGTGACTGCCAAAGCAATAATATCACTAAATTAAACACCAGAATATTTAGTTATCATATCCAGACTTCATGTAAAGATCTCCCTGCTAATTGTCAGACACTACCTCGCTTTGAGCTTTGGACACAAAAATGCGCCTAAAGCCATCATCAAACTTAAAGAAAAAGTATTACAGAAGTGAACTTACCAGCACCCATAGCTTCTGTCATGTTATGACTATATATCTCAGATTTCCCCCCCTCTGATTCAGAAGTTGCCTGTCCCAAAAGAAGTTAGCCACCAATTCAGGGTCCAAAGACAATCAAGCAACAAGTTAAGTTGTACGTGGAGACACTTTTTTAATCATCATTTATAAAACAACGAAACAGTTTTTTTTTATAAGAAAGAGGCCTCGTTAAAAACCCCTTCATAACCGTTAAGCTACAAGGTATTTTAACAGCATTGGAAGGAGGAAAAGAGTGCCCAAATTTTATTTATAGAAACATAGATTACATCCTAGGTACAACCCCCTAGATTACAACCTTTCTCAGATACCTACACTTTTCTATAGGTAATAAAACTAACACTCCAAACAAAATTCTAAACAGACCACAAACATGGCAACCTTTACCCTATTCCCTCCTTGGCTAAGGCATCAGCTTCCCAATTACTGCTTCTCTTCACAAACTATTCGCTAAATCTTTAACCAGATTGCTAAATACAGCTGGACAGAACTGTGGGGTTTTAATCCAATTAACAACAACCAAAGAATCAGTCTCCAATATCAGACGACCCTTATCTTTCCACTTTGAATCTAAAAACATTTTCAGCCCTACTTGAATAGCTTTGAGTTCTGCCAGAACCGGCGGACCAGGTCCTGACACAACTGAGAAATACTCCAGCTTCTTGCCCTCAGTATCCCTAAGCAAACAGCCGATACCACTGCACCTCCAATCACTGTTTACTGCCCCATCGACATTAACTTTAAGCCAGCCCAAAGGGGGAGGACACCATCTTGTCAATGGCGAAATTTTCCTCAACGTGGCCTTGTGCACATCTGCCAGTGTAAGGTCATCTACAAGCAGGTCAAGAGCAACTGGAAACCCAGACTTCTTCGCCAAGAACCAAGCAGCCACTCTATATCTAACCATAAAGCAAAGATAGGTTAGATCCAACCTTCCATTTTCAAAAATCAATTTATTCCTACATAACCAAACATATCACATAATTGCTCCTGGAATAAATTTCCAAATCTCAGAATTCGAAACTAAATTAACCCACATAACATTGAATTCATTTGGAGTATTGGGCAAAGCTGTACAGACGTTCCACGTGCTCATGAATCTCATCCACACCCCCCAAACTAATCTGCAAGATAAGAATAAATGGCTAACCGACTCGAAATTTGAACCACAAAACGGGCACATAGGATCTTCGATTCCGCTAATACCTCGCCTAATTAAGGCAACTTTTACTGCAATCTTCTGGTGGAAAATCTGCCATAAAAAAGTTTCAACTTTAGGAGGAGCTAAACCAGTCCAGATAAATTCCGACCAAAGCGAAACCGGTTCCGAATTGCTTGACACTGCTTTAATACCCGATTTTACCCCATTCTCTCTCCACACATAATGGTCATCATCACCTACTCCAACACTTACTTTTTCCAATAACGAAAGCAATTCAACCCAAAGATCCACCTCCCAATCCAACAAATTCCTCCTCATCTTAATATCCCACACCCACCTACCATACTTAAGCGATCCAAAATCTGCTATAAACCCCTCCTTGTTAACTGATAACGTAAAGAGCCTAGGAAATCTCCATCTCAGCGCAAGGTTATCGATCCATACATCCTGCCAAAATCGAATTGAATTCCCTCTCCCTACTTGCAGCACCAAAAGATTACGAAACCCTATGCTGAAACTGTCAAATGACCAGAAATTATTAAATGATATACATGTTTTTTTCTAAGAAAAGTAGGCCATTTTGGTTTCACGTGCCACATGTTAAATGCAAATGAAAATTACCAAATCCCATGGTTACAAAATTACATGTAGGTTTTAGTCTGAGATTACAAAATTGACATTAGCTTTTTGTTATTATTATTATTTTTTTGTGTGAGAAGCCTTGAACATATAGAGCAGCTTAATCAACTACCCTTACCAATAAGGTGAAACAATCTTTTGATAAATTTATCATTTCCAATCATAAAAATTTCCAACAATAACTTACAACTGAAACATGATACAATGAATAAATACCATCCATCCACAAATACTAACGAGTAAAGGATCAAATGGAACAGAATGAAGAAAACAAATATCAAGAATCTACAGCAAAACAAAATCTGTGAAGCTAAATCAAAATTCTAACGAAAACCCAGAAAACGAATCCCAAATCCACAAATAATTAAGTTACCTTAACTTCCATACTCTGAGGTGCATCACCCAAGTTCATCCCATCCTACATTAAATCACAAAATGCATCAACCTACAAATCAAGAAGATAAATCCTATACATATGGATAATATGCAATGATCAAATATACAACAGATTCAGGGTTAAAGAGATAAAAATTGAAAAACTACCATCATATTAACGGAACAAGGAAGTGGTTTTCTTGGACTGCACTTGAAACCATGAAACTGTACAGCGTAGGATCTGAAACTATTCCAAATAACAAATTTTAAGCAAGCTTTTGGTTTAGATTCTGAGACAAATAATTCATTGGAATATTAAAAGGATTGAAAAGAAGGGATTTTGATCAGACCTGAAAAGGTTCTGAAGGCAATTCATGTTTGTTGAGATGACCAATCATATAGGCAACTCACAATCTTTTGCAAATACAAGAAAATAAACATATAAAATCCTCAAGAATTCAGTTACCCCTATAATCCTTTGATATATTTATTTCAACTGAGATCACTAAAAAAGAGGCCGTATTGAAGAGTTACGACGGGCAAAATATCATATAGAAATCGGTCATTTCCAACCATATTCATCGATAATAATATGAATGGCTGAAACTATACCAGAAAGTGAACACATTAATGCCTGACAAGGACAATAATTCTAACCACAAATTCGGGAGAAGGGCTTGCGTAGTTCACATATAAAGCATATGTTAGAGCTACAAAAAGAATGAAAACTACAAAAAGTTTTCTGCAAAATCGAACAGCATTTGTATAAAATTTGAAGCAAACAGGACAATCTACCATTCATAGTTTCATAAAATAAACAAACTAATTCAATAATCCAGAAAAAAAAACTTTATGGGTTTCATTAATGATTATACCTATTGTAATAAAAGGACATCAACTCAAAATATCAGCAGTTGCATTTTTATGGCCTCCAATTTAGGGAAGCATGAGCTTTTGCTCTGAAAGATAGGAAATGAAAAAATATCAGAGATTTTATAAGATAACCTACACAGAGACACACTATAGCAGAGGATGCACTAGAGCAGCAGAGGACTTTTGGCCTCGATCTCGAGACAACGGTCGATTACTAGCACCACAGGGTTTAGTGAAATCAAAAGCAAATATAAAGACGGCTGGAACCTGAAACGACGGTGGATCACGTCGACGCTAACCAGGACGACTGAGAGAAGAGACGACGACAAGTGGGCTCAACAGAAGTCTCAAATCTCTATTTTTCCTTCTTTTTACCTGGTCAGATCAAGACCACATAAATTTCTTAGGCATGTTTCTGTTACCAACAGCGAGAAGAGATACCAGTAAAAAAGTTATTGATATTGCAGTTAGTCGTTGTAATGTTAGTAATTAATTTAATTTAATGTTGTTTGAAATACAAGTAAATCCTATCCTGATTTAATTATTACTATTATTGTAATATATTAAAAATTCTATTTTAATACTTGTTTTATTCTAAATTTTCTCTCAGTGTAGTCTTTTTATTTCTTTCTTTTTTTTAAATTTTTTTAACTGACTGCGACATTAATTTTAATATTATTTCTGGTCGTTAATGATTATTAATTTTTTTCTATTATCTCCATTGTTTTTTCTTTTTTCCTTAAGTTTATTTTAAAAAAATTGAGTAAAAATTTTTGTTATTATAATATGTTTTTATCTGCTCTTGTAATATGTGTTTTTCTGCTTTTATGACATTTTTTATGATTTTTTGTACATTTTTCGCATACATTTGCAGTCGTTTTAGTGCTCGAGCAGAGACCTTCACGATATTTGTTTTATGATTAGTTTGTCATCAGTCACATATAGTCAAATCCCTTGTTTGATAAAAGGTTGTTTGACGATATAATCACAATTGTGTAACAAAGCAACCTGTCAGATAATTTAATTCTCTTATCACTCTTTTATCATTTTGTAAAGTGTCTCCTTCTACGGAGATAAGAAATTTTTATGAAGAATACTCGGTTCTTTTGACGTTAGTAATCATTTTCAAATAAATATTTTATTTTTTTCCGTATCTTTAGGATTAATATTTTTATTTTTGTATACGTATTTTTGTCTTTCTATAATTAGTTACGTTGTAATTTTGATTTATTTTATTATTTTTATTAATAAAATCCAATTTTCATTATTAAAAATATATATATTTAAAATCACTACAGTACATAATTTGAGATTTATATATAAAAAATCTTTCATAATATCGCTTATTTCAATATCCGTCTGGGATTGATTTAGCCTCTTGGTGTGGAACGAGGAAGAAAGGCCCAACAGTAAATAACTTGATATTCTTATGGTGTAGACGACTGAAGGAGCCAATGGGAGCACCAGAAACACCTTTGTTAACATCAGTCGGAACATCGCAATCCTCCGAGGGAGAAAATTCAATGAAAGCCTTGCAATTTCTTAGCCTCCGATTATGATCTTTGACTTCGTTAGGAGATATTGTTGCAATGAAATACCCCTTTTCATCTGTTGCACAACTCAGGACCGAAAACGACTCAGTTTCGTACCCATACTCATCGACACCCTCACAGGTCACCCTCGCCACAGCACCTATACACCCACAAATAAGATAACGGATATTAATCTAAAGCAGCAAAAGCTCAGATGATTAGGGAATTAAGTCGGGGTTCGACGAATTATTTATAAAACTGTTCAAATAACGTTCGTTTATGTTCATTTACGCCCCTAGAATTAAGTTACCTTGGAGAGGGGTGAGTTTACTTCCTGTTCTGCAATAAACGATGCCTTGAATACCAATCATGGTGGAGAGAAGCCTTTCTTTTTCAAGATTTGGCTTCTCATGGTTATTGGCATCACTAGCCAAAACAGCAGCAGCCCAAAGTGACGGAAGGATCATAAAAAATGCAGAAAATGAGAAATTCTTAAGACCCATTTTCGGGTGCTGAAGGAGAGAAGGAATTAGTGTTGTCGAATCGATGGATGGTTGGTTGTGGCATATAAGGATAGGGGTTTATATATTCATATTGTTGGACTTTCTAAAGAGGAGACAATTAATATTGTTTATCCATTAGGGTATAAAAATATTACAATAATGGATGGTATTGGGAAAGACTTGGGTGCACGATGGATTTGGAGAGCACCAAACAATCAACCATGCATGCATTATATATATAACATCTAATTATCTAAATGCGACGTGCAAAACTCAGCGAAAATTATATGATATTATTCAAATTAATAATACATGTATCTGTTATTTGTATAATTTTATGTTAATTTTTTGGCTTTGGTCCACTAATTACATTAGGTTCGAGTATATATTATAAGCGTCACTATTTTGCTGCAAATTTTTTTTAGCTAATACAAAAACTTGCATCAAATTTATGACTTTCATCTGCGTTCTGCGATTCAACGGGACGCTCCCCCACACAGGAGTCACGATACAAGGCAGCAAGAAAGTCATCCACCACATTCACATCCCTTCGGACAGGATTAATAATAATCTCTCGCTCTCGTTCCATCATCGTTTCAATAGAATCAACCGGTGTCATTCTGCTTAACGTATTCAAAGGATCCTCCAAAACTCGCAAGTCCCTTAGACTATCTATCTCTACTTCTACTTGATGATAACCTGGCCTCCAAACATGTTTCAAAGAATCATGAATCGTAATTCCGCTTGTAAAACCAACAATAGCCTAAACTTCTAAAATTCAAAGAGTCACCCCCCTCTATCATTATGAATGACACCCCTAACAGCAGCCGCATTAATTGTCACTAAAATGAAAGGCGTCATCAAAGTTCACTTTAACCCAACCCTCCAAAGGTAGCTTTCATATCGGACGTTTTATGTCATGGGAATAACCTTACGGTAAGTTGTCCTCTCCATTACAATCTCCTCAACAAACCTTATCTTTTCTTGCTAAACTTCCATAGATTCCAACAAGCAACTGGAAAGAACACATCCCCGTTACTAATATTGATAGCATAACACCCTTTGCTTCGAAGATTTTTCCAAAACCAAGCGAAAGGCAATGACAATTTGACATAAAATCCGTTAATTTGTCTCGATGGATCAAACCCACTCATAGTGAGCAAGCAGCAGCGCAATGACGGAACACATGATCTCTATCATCACCATGGTTACAAATACAATATATTTTTATATTATTTATTATCTTTTATTATACAAAAGTTAGAACACAAATAGAAATAGGCTTTGGAATCGGTGGCGTGGCTGCAAACGGAAACCTCATAAACAGCGTTACACGTTATGTTGGTGGAATCCAATTGAAGTTCATTTTGTTGAACAAAGTCATGTACAAAACGGATTTTCATGAAAGTAATTTGATAATACATAAAACAAGGTCGATGACATTTTTTTCTTAACTAAAATCAGGCCGTCGGTCTTGGGCTGCAATTAAAAACCCGACTTCTAACCCGGTCCAAACAGAAGACACAAAAATTTCCAGGCGACTGCAAACCCTAGGGCTAAAACGGAGCTCATATAAATTGGCACTATCACTATGTCTTACCCTTCTCCGCTACCAAAGAGAGAAAGAGGGAGAAAATGGTTTCTCTTAAGCTCCAGAAGCGGCTTTCAGCCAGCGTTCTAAAGTGTGGAAAAGGTAAGGTTTGGCTCGATCCAAATGAAGTCAACGAGATCTCCATGGCCAACTCCCGTACGTCTTTTCCGTCTCTCTTTTTCATCATCACTGCCCTAGTTTTATTTTCATTTTCGTTATCTTCAGTTTTATGTTGAAATAGAATTTGATCTTGGTTTCGCATCTTTTGTTGCCAAATATATGCTGGAAATGAAGCTCGGAGTGTATATATATATATAATCTGCTGCTAGAAAGATGAAAGATGAAAAGCTAAAGCTTCAATTTCCAGGAATTGAGTCTATAGTAACCTCTGTAATTCGAATCTCAATTTAAAGCTCGTTATTCTTGATGATTTTTCATGTAATATATAATGGATGTAGCTAGCGCATATTGGCCTCAGGGTATGTGGACTAAGTTTGAGATTATGTCACTGAAGAAGTCTCACTTTTGTCATTCCCCAAATGAAAATTTTAATTTGATTGAACAAAGGATTAATTTATATTTTCATCTACGGTTACGCATATATAATTCAACTCTGAAGCAATTGATTAAGTTCAAGTTGATACAATCTTCTGTTCTCTCGTTGAAATTATATTAGGACATTTTATCTTTACTAAAGCAAAACAAAAGGGTTTAATATTTTTCTATTGCTTATTTTTCTTCATTTTTCGAGCATGAACTGAAAACTGCAGGCCAGAACATTCGGAAGTTGGTTAAAGATGGTTTTATCATCAGGAAGCCAACCAAGATTCACTCTCGATCTCGTGCTCGTCGTATGAAGGAAGCCAAGAGAAAGGGACGTCACTCTGGATATGGTATGTTATCTAATCATGCTCGTGGGATTGAATTGACTTAGATGCTGAGTACATGGGTTGAAATTGGTGACTTAGTTGCATACTTGCACATTAAGTACCATGTTGGAACCAGAACATATTCTTGATTGAAATTGATGACTTAGTTATCTACTTAATCATGGGAAAGAAAAAGAAGACTATGTTTTCCGAATTTGCTGTTTATGATGATCTGAGTTTACGTCGAAGCATATTCTTGATTAGTCATCATGTTTTTGGAGTTGGGATGTACAATCATATCCGAAACGAATGAATTTCAATATCATTCAATTTTTTATCCTGCTAGGGATCTTTTGTTGGCCATCAGAAAGTTGTGATGCAAATTTTGAAAAAATATATGCACTGAATTTAATTTGATTAGTTATGTCATAACTCTTATGCTGATTCTAGGTAAGCGCAAGGGTACAAGGGAAGCAAGGCTGCCAACCAAGATCTTGTGGATGAGAAGGATGCGTGTTCTCAGACGCTTGCTTCGGAAGTACAGGGAGTCAAAGAAGATCGACAAGCATATGTACCATGACATGTACATGAAAGTCAAGGGTAATGTTTTTAAGAACAAGAGAGTCCTTATGGAGAGCATCCACAAATCTAAGGCTGAGAAGGCCAGAGAAAAGACTTTGGCTGACCAGTTTGAAGCTAAGAGGGCTAAGAACAAGGCAAGCAGGGAAAGAAAATTTGCTAGGAGGGAGGAGCGATTGGCCCAGGTAAGAACTTCTGTAGCATGTGGTGTTTCTCGTGTTCTGTATACTGAACTGGACATAATGGTTTTGTTTTCTGTTATCTTTGGTGTTTTCCTATGTTTTACTGAAACTATAGATGCTTCTTGCTTTGAAGTCCTTTGATCTCTCTACAAGTGTAGTTTTTTTTTTCTTTCTTTTTTAACGATTCATTGTATTTATACTATTGTCAATAATGTTGAATACATTCATGGTCGATTTTGTTTTCATCACATGTTATGCTGCCGGTTTTCATTTTTGTTCTTCTTCATCTCCTCAGGGCCCTGGAGGAGGAGATAAGCCAGCTGCAGCACCTGCTGCTCAACCAGTCGGGTAAGTTTATCTTTGAGATTCAGTTTCTTTTCCAGAATGATCAGTCTTCGATTGATGTATTTGTCTCCCATGTTTCTTGTTCAGTGGTTCTAAGAAGTCCAAGAAGTGAGGTGACCTCCTGAAGATTAGCGAACTTGTGAGCCATGAGTTTAGATATGAACATGTCCAAGTAGTTTTTTTTTTCGTCGAGTTGTTTTTGGTTGACATGAACTTGCTTAAGTTGGATTAAGATTTCATGATTTTGTTCTCAGTTTACAGGTTCTTTTGCTTTTATTTGACATTTAATTTTTCTATCTTTTATTGAATTCTAAATTCGCTCGTCCATACCGTTTTTAATAGATATGGGATTAAGATGTTATAAATCTATCACTGGACTTATTTAAAGTTATTAAATGGTCACCGGTTATTAATTTTATATTTATTAAAAATAAAATAATAATAGACCTAATCTTTAATGTTTATAAATTGTTTTGATTTGGTTTTAATTTTTTTTAAATAACTCAGTTTAAATATCTTTCCAACAAACTCCTTTGTTAATACATTTTTTATCACTGTATCCTTTATCTCGAACCACCACCTAGAAATGATTTTGGCAAAAATTAAAGAACGAGTGTATTAGGAATATAATCTTAAAAAATGAATTGGATCAAGTTAGGCTCAGTTTAAACTTGATTTTTAGCTTAAAATTCATATTATATGGGTTCAATATTTTTATTCGAATTCCTTCAATTATTAAATGTGTGTTTGGATCTTCGGATAGCTGAAAACGTCTAGCAATCCACGGTAACAAAGGCCAGCTCAAATTCAAGAGTAACGCAGAGAAAATGAAACGCAGAGAAAATGCCACTTCTAACTCGCTACTTTCAGTTATAGAACTCTCACAACAAATAACAGTTAAGGCTATCATATTGGTTTCTTTGGTTTAAAAACAGCAATATTCACCTCCAGTATTGTGAAAATTGAAAACGACCTTTTCTCATTGCAACATTTGCCAGCTACCACTATCACCTAGAGACTTCTTTGGTATCGTGCATTCGGATTAGGAGTACCGCGATGATCTCTTAACAAAGGTCTTTGTCCACTCAGATCTGCACTCCCATGATTTGCTCTAACGTGTGCTGAAGCTTGATGGATAGCTGAATTATCAGGGTTGCTCCCGATCCCCAGTTTCACGAGGAATGTCGCCGTGCAACCTTTGTCGCGGCCCTCACTTCCTATCCATATGTGGCCTCCCATCAAATTTATAAACCTAATTCAAACATTTGAGAACAAAGCTCATTTTGATGGCTACATCAAGTTGGCATCGTCATTTTGAAGCCGGTCCGATTATAATAAGATTAACAAGCAAATGCTTCTCGGGCTAAGGGTTTCAGTATTTCTAATTTTACCTTCTACAAATTGCGAGTCCGAGTCCAGCACCACCACTATTTCCAACAGATCCACTTCGATGGTGTGCAAACTTGGTAAAGAGATTCGGCATATCTTGTGGGAGAACACCACAACCAGAATCCTTAACCTGCCACAATAGATGATACGATCAACAAGAGCTTCGGAGAAGACACGGTGGATGGAAAATCTTTGGATTGCAAGTCATTAACAAAAAGCGAGAGATGCCTTCAATGAGAATCCTAAATGGCATGAATCGAATGGAAATTTAAAGCATTGGATAGTAACAGACAATCAATATATCCCTTGAAGCCGAAAAACTTTAGTCCGTCTTTAAATTATTGTTGGATGCCTATAAGATCATATGCTCAAAAATCTAAATAGAAGTAAATGAAAGTAAAGTTCAATGAAGCAATTGAGAACCTGCACTCGCAAATAGAAGTGACCTTCGACTGACACCGGGTAGAATTCTGGAGGTTGCCAGTCTCTTAAAGACTCTGGTTTTGCAACAGAAGCTATAATCGAAACATAACCCTCCTTTGTGAACTTCGCTGCATTACCGACTACACTTAAAATAGTTTGCATAAGCAGTTTCTCATCACCAACAGCAAACATTGGCAAATCAGGTGCCAGAATCATAGTCAGAGATAGCTTCTTTACAGACACGATCAGCTTTATCAGATTAACGACCTAAAATGCAAAAATATCAACATTAACACCAAAGTCCAACTGCAAATGCAAAAAAAAAAAAAAAATCCATTCCCTCATTAACTATAAATAAAAATGTTAATACCAATTAACTATCTCTTTGAAGATTCCATGAAGATCAAACATTCCAAATTCTACTTCTAGGTTATTATCTTCAAGTCTAGAAAGATCCAGAACATCACTGATTAGGGTTGCCATAAGGTTGCTACTCTTTAGCACTGTCTCGATCTTAACTCTTTGCTCTGGAGTTAGCTTGGTCTCCAGAAGAAGGGAACACAATGCAATAATTGCATGCATCGGCGTTCGCATTTCATGGTTCATTGCAGCAAGGAAATCATTTCGTGCATGAATTGCCCTCTCAGCCTCTCGACAAGCCAAGTCTAAATCAACATTTTGCTCCATAAGCTGATCACGGGCCCTCATAGATTCCTCCAGAATAGCGGCATGAGAGAGAGCAACAGCAACCGTACAAGTACCACCATAAGTTCAGGGCTGGAGTCATGTTAAGAATCAAAGTCCAATCATTAGAGTAGTTCAAAAGTAAATTCATGAACTTAAAAGCAAGTACATAATCAAAACCCAAGTTACGATGTGATTGTTACACTGCATTGCAGCTGCAATCTAACACTATGTTTCTATCACCCTTGTTTCTTAAAACTCAAATTTTAGGTTTGCCTAAAATATGTAAAATGCCTCCCATGTTGTTTTTCTATCAAGATTTTCCTCGTTCAATGTTTGAGAAGAAAACAAATTTGTAAAAGTGCATTTAGGCTGTGGTAAGCCGAAGAATAAAAATGGTTTAATTCAATTTCATATCCCACAAGTTGAAAGGTACGCAGTGTGTAAGTAGTACAAGAAAATAAAGTACCAGCCATGGCCTCTTGTCCAGCAGAAGGTGGCGGAAAATGTAAGATTGAAAACTACTCATTTTAGCAACATGAAACGAAATAACATAGCTGATAAAGGTGCAACCCGCTCTCCTTTGACAAGGCCACATCCCAGTATCCCATTGGGAGTCTCATAATTACATTTTTATTTTAGGTATGACATTTTATTTCATAAATCTTTATTTGTAATCATGCCTATACTAATGTTTGATGATTCGAAACAAAATTATCGTGTTATTATATTTCAATTTAACATGAAATATACTTTATCCTCTCCGGTGGACTTTATTTTAATTGATCTTAAACCTGAGGATGCAAAATCCTTGCACCCTCGTAACAGATTCCTAGACAGTGCCATTAATGGATTAGGGTCTGGGGCCAATTTCCCGAGGTATTTGCAAACTTCAAGTTCTTCAACTAGCCCCAACCTGCAAAACCAATTTGCCTTTCTAGCAATTATCTACATTCAATATTACATAGTTTATATACTATGGAAGAAGATTGGGAGTGGTCAAAAGAATGATAAAATAATGATTCGAGATACAAACAGAAATGCAATATCTTTGTAAAAAGAAAATAATGTGGTCATCTACTAACCCTTTAAGAATGCATTTAATTCACTCTCCATGTAGCAATTTCGTCATTATCGTAGTCACTAAACCACACCTTACCATCCTCGGGAAGCTTTGATCCTGCAGGAGTTGGTCGAGGAGATGATGTTTGAATGAATATTGGTAAAAATGTTACCACAAGAATACAACATGTGAAAATGTATTCACTCTGCTTGGGCAAATGCCAAGAGAGATGGTTGCTATATCCTTGTTTAAGAACAGTGCACCCTCACAAAGCATGAGGCTGTGGATCATTGGGGGAAAGATTGATGAGAAATCGATGAATCATCTCGAAACCAGTGAACGTGATAATAGCTGCAGGCGTGGTCTGGATAGGATTTATCGTACACCTGCGGTAGAATCCGGGAACACCTTCTTGCTGAAATACTTTCTTAATGCAAACAACGACACCGGAATAACGTTTCTTGAAGTGATGTCCCTCTTCCTGAAGCCTTGAGCGTACCACCTGCATTGTAAAAGAACAAATGCAAGCGTGTTAGACTCATCAGGTTACATGGTTAAACTGCCGCTATTTATAAAGAAACATATATAAATACAGCTCTTAGAGACATAGGGTACGGCAAATTAAAGCATGAACACATACAACATACCTCATGTGGGTAAGTCAATGTGGATGCAAATATTTTTGGAAACTGACGTGGCAACAGCAACGTCACGTGCACTGAGTTTATCCAATATGGTTTCCTCTGCTAAGGCCTCATAAAGTTAAAGCTTTTCATCGAGTGTAAACAACTTAAAATGTGTAGATAGATTATCAACCTTGATCGGCCAAATAGAATTTTATCTTCTCAAATGTAGGGGGGAAAATGGCAACGTGACCGATGGCAGCTAATGCAGGGATAAGACCACTGTTCATCATGCAAAAATCAGACACCAATGAATCATTTCTCAAATCAAAACAAGCAAAAAAAAAAACTTTGCTCGGAAAACAGGAAAAAATATCAAATCCTTATGAATGGTGACACAAGACCTGTATAGACCCCGAATACCCTCTTCATGAGCTATTCTACTCAAAGCAGAAAGCGTACTCTTATAAGGAACCACTCCTGCTCTCATTCCTTGAGTCTATAGGAGAAAAAAGGAACATCAGTGCACAAGATGCAATAGTTCATAGCTATTATCTTTAACAGCAACACAATACAGTTGAAATAATAATAATAGTAGAAAGAATCAAGTATACTTGATTATATATATATATATAGATAGATATAGATATGAAAAGGAATTACCCCAAAATAACATGCAACCTATAAAGTCAAGTCAAATAGCCTAAATAACACAAACCGGTCATTGAGCCTTCGATGCAGGCAGTCACTTCCTTTAGTGTGCTTAGACTTAAACCATATATGGTCTCTCTTCTATTATTATTTTTATTCACATATTCTTGTTTCCATATCCTATAGTAAACTATAGTTGCAATGAAATAAAAGGCAAGATAACTTAGAAGTCAATATAATTGAAGATTGCTGCACAGAGCATTGCACAAGCTAGTATTTTCACATCATCATATGCCATTACATCGTGTTTGTGTGTGTGTATAAAGTTGAGAGGCGCACTTGAAGTCTTATCTTCACAACCCAAAATGGATTTGTGGAAATAATTGTAGCAGCTCCAGCACCAGCTGCAGCTAGCATGTTAGCCCCTACCGTAAGAAGTTGATTCTCATCTAAACATGCACACAGAAGAAGTCGATCAGAAATCCATAAGAAAAATTGCAAGACAAGCATATAGAAAAATAAGGTAAAAGGAAGAAATAAATGGTCTATGATAAGACTCAGTTGTGAATCCATAGGCTAGCGACTAACCATCAGAACAAAGAAAGTATTTGAGTTGCTCATACACTGGAAAATATACCTCCAAAAATATTTGAATGCTTCAATTCAAGCAAGCAGTGCACAAATAGATAGAAGAAGTGAATCCCAATAACTAAGGCATGTTAAACACTTCTGTATCTAGGCTAATAATTTAATCTGGAATAAGGAAAAGATCCACAGAAATCTAAACAAAAAGGTGGGTTTCCTATTTGAATTACTTCAACAATAAAATCCTCAAAAAATTAAACCTAAACTTCTCCAGAATAGTGTTACGCATAATTGGGACAGGAAACAGCAAGTATAATTACTATCATGTTGCGTGACAAATCAAAATAACATATTTAGAAAGCAGAATTTTACCAGTTCAATACTTCACAGATTTAAATCTACGTTGGATATTTCAATCTCAAAACTCTTTCTCGATTAGGCTATCTTTGTGTATTTTGTGAAATTATAGGCAATGGTTTGCTTTACAGCATTTGAACGGATAAAAAAAATAGAAACAGTGAATAAAAAACTTACTGCCCAATTAGGAAGTAAAGCGAGTACAGTAGGAGCAAGCCCACGGTACAAGCAGTCCTTCCTTCTGAACTATCTGTTCCAAGCTACCAACTATAATACTAACTGATTAAATAATTAAAAACACACACACACAAAATGTTAGAAATCAGAAGCCTTAAACATTATCGTGTCCTTTTCTCTGTTTTTCTCACTCTCTGAAATTGAATGAAAGAAATTCAGTATTACATACGTTTAACGGTTGAGTTGCCGAGATTTGGCAGCCCATGAACCTGGAATATAGTCTATATAATATCTAAAGGGCACAAGAATGTCGCAGCAATTGCACCTACAGGTGTGCAAAAGAAAGCTCTGAAACTCAGATAGAGAGTATCGTCTTAGAGGCAAAACGAGAGAAGGAAGTATTTAACATACCGGCGGCGGCACCAGCGGCGGCATTGCAAAGGAGATCCCTGCAGTTCGGGGCGTGTGAATCATTGGTCATTTGTAGAACTTTTTATATGAATCTGTAAACAAACGAAGTTTTTAGCCAAACAAAAGGAGTCCTCTCTCGAGAGGGATATAGCCGAGAACCAGAGTCGCATTGCCAGAGAATATAACTCTTTTGGAAATGAGTCGGCGTCGGCTTGCGAATGACCGAGTCAAATCGTCAAAGTTATGTTAAGTCGTTCAAAAGATCGTTTGGCTTTTTAAAACTTGAGGTTTATGTTTGGCTGTCATCGTCCTCTCGTCTCTGTGCCAGAGGATTAGCCATACATGGGTCCCAACTCCCGAGTGAAGCAGAAAGTCCGACTCAGAAAAAATTAATAATCTATACTGCAAAGCAAAATTTGCACGAAGCCGCCTGGGTGGTGGTTGTGATTTGACAATAATTTTGACCATGAAAATTTCTTTAATTTGCCAAATACTAATTGCTGAAATATGGAAAACTATCAATATTCTTATGTGCTTTCTGATCACTTTCCAACCATCTTTGCATATACTAAATTGAATGCTTTTGAGTAGGAGTTTTTATCCCGCAAGTGGATTGTGAGTTGGGTAATGCTCGACTCGTGCTCATTAAAAAAAAGTTATTGCTCGACTCATTACTCGTTAAGATAATTAAAATTTTGCTCAACTCGTGCTCGTTAAGAAAATTTGTTGCTCGTTAAGATCGTTAAAATTTTTTTGACTCGTGCTCGTTAAAAAAATTATTGTTTGACTCGTTGCTCGTTAAGCTCATTAAATTCGTTGCTCGTTAAGCTCACCAAAAATTTTATTTTATTTTGTTTAACTATAAGTAAAATATATTAATACTATACATAACTTAATATAAAACTAAATTAATAAATTTAACCAAAAAAATTATAAAAATGTATGAAACAAATTCAAAGTCTAAACATTAAATTAAAAATCCATAAATACATTAAAATAATAATTTGGGTTTGATATTTGTTTGTAGCAAAATGATAATTATTAATTAATAATTTAGTACTTTTAACTATTTATTAGAAAATTAATATATTAGTCATTTATCATCTTTTTTATTATTTATTAGTAAATTAATAAATTTTGAATGAAATAATTTTTTTAAGATAACTACTAAAAGGTTATAAAAAAATAAAGAGTTACTCATGAACTTATCAAATCGAGTTATACTTTACTCGACTCAGCTCATTAAAATTTCGAGTCGAGTTAATATGAGTCGAATTTTAACCGAGTCGAGTTCGAGTTACTCACGAGCTGCTCAACTCATTAATCACCCCTTATTTTAAGTGCAAAAGTACTTGTATGAGCAGTCCAATTTTGAACTAAAGTATGACTTGTTTGACGAATAAATAAAATTCGGGATGGATGTGGAATTTTTTTATAGTAGAATCCTTGGAATGTATATTGAAATATATTCTTTATAATAACAGATTTGTTTATCATAAGATAATAAAAACAAGTGTTAGAGTTATAACTTAATTTTAATAAATTATTTATAATTGTAACATCTTCTCATTTAGATATTAGAATGAATTTCATTTTAGTGGCTATGTTCTGTACCTTTCAAATTTTCTTATTTAAATATACGTACATGAATTTTAATGTCTATGTTTTGTATCTTATTATCATAACATCTTCTCATTTAGATATTAGAATGAATTTTATTTAAATCTATATTTTTCATAATTTAATTGCGCCTATTATTTATATGATTTGTGATAATAAATGCTTAATGTAAAAAATAAGTGTCCAAACTATACCATTTTTTTCACAAAAAAATGTTTAAATTTTTTCAGTCAATTCAAATGTCTAATGTTACAAACGTTACCACTTAAGGTGACTCGACCGTTATGGACGTTAATTTTCACTATTAAGTGACACGTGCCACATTACGGTGATTTTGAAAAGTTTATTTAAAAAAACAACTTATACTTTTTTATAACAAAAACACCATAATTTTTGAAAATTTTAACCCCTATAAACTTTGAAAAACCTAAATCTAATCTATATATCTGTGTCGGTCGCCACCATTATCGTCGATCGAACCTCCACCCGATCGTGCCTCTACCAGTGATTAGTTACCTGATAGCAAGGACGACCATCTCGACTCCATGGGGCCTAAAATCGTGACTAAATCGTGACGCCCTAAATTGATACTCCACAGGATCTCAACGACCAATTCGACAACAAGGACGATGTTATTCCACTAGAGAGATGGAAAGGACGGCATCGACGGTGGTGGCCGTGGGTGACAAGAGATGTAAGGTTAAGATTAGGGTTAGGGATTAGAGATTTTTTAGGGCTTTGGTTTATATATATATATATATAATTTTAGATAAATTATGATTTTTAATAAATATAATAAAAAATTTAAAAAATTTAAATATATTTTGTAATTACTAGAACATGACATGTGTCACTTAACGAGATATTTTAACGGCCGTTACGGCCGAGACACCTAAAGTGGTACCATTTGTAATGTTAGGCACTTGGATTGACCGAAAAAAAAACATACATCACTTTGGGAAAAGCAATATAGTTTGGGTTCTTATTTTAGGTTCAAAGGTCGCTTAACCTACAAAAAGGGTAAAGTACAAATGGTCCCCGTTATAGGGTATTACTTTATTGACTCATCTAACTATTAAAAATTACAAAATAGTCTCCTGACTATTCATATCTTACAAATTGTTACTCTCCTTTAAAATATTGGTGGTCGTCTGAGTTAGATGTTAACTTGTTGACTGAGATATGATAAATTATGATCCTATAACTATTTGAGTTGTATTTTATTGATCGAATCTCCGTTTATATTATGTTATCAAGCCAGTGCTTGAAACATTATGTCATCAACTCAATGCTTGAAAGCAATGACGGTGCCAATTGACATCAGTAAAATATTATTTTATATTTCCAATGAACATGTTATCATCTAGGACAAACAACCGTCAAAATTTTAATGGAAAATGATTAGTTTGAAATATATGAATAGTCAGGTGACCATTTTGTAACTTTTAATTGTTAAGGACTCAACAAAATAACGCCACATAGTTGATGGACAATTTTGTAACTTTTAATAGTCAAGAGACTCAACAAAATAGTACCATATTATCGAATGATCATTTGTGTAATTTACCCAAAATTATAACTAATTGAAGGGATAATAATTAATATTTAGGTAAAGTACACAAATGGTACTCCGACTATAGGATATTGCTTTGTTGAGTGCCTAACTATTAAAAGTTATAAAATGGTCCACTGACTATAAAACATTGCTTTGTTGAGTCCCTTGACTATTAAAATTTATAAAATGGTTACCAAACTATTAATTATGTTCCAAACTCATCATTTTTCGTTAAAAAATAATGATTGTCTGAGTTGGACGTTAACATGTTAACTGAGATATGATAGTTGTTTGAGATCATGAGATCGAATTTTATCATATCTCAATAGCAAGTTAACACTCAGCTCAGATTGCCATCAATTTTTTTAACAAAAAGGACGGGTATGGAACATAATGAATAGTCGAGTGACCATTTGGTAACTTTTAATAGTTGAAGGACTCAAGAAAGCAACATCATATAGTCAGAGAACTCAACAAACAATATCCTATAGTCGTGGGACCATTTATGTACTTTACCCATATTTTTTTAGAAAACGATAATAAATAATTAAAACGATTAAAATGTTTAGGAAAGAGAGGGTGAAATTGTCGTTTTGTTAATTTTTAATTCCTGCTATAACAACTTTTTTTAATAAAAAGAGTAGAAGCCATTGGGAAGAGAAAAAATATTTATATTTGCAAATTATATTAATTTACCATTATAAATTTTAAAGCCAAAAAAATAAATGAAAGATGAATGCATCTTCAAACAAATCTTCCATCAAAAAAGTTCAAATCAAACACATGTGCATTTGTGGTTTGTCAAATTTTGTAACCGATTTCAAATAATTGAAGCATTCCTATTAAACTTAACATTAAATTGTATAACTTATCTTAGGAAAGAGATTTTGGTTTTATTATTTTTTACAATTTTAAAAAATTCTAAATTTCATATTATAATTGTTACTATCTTTTTATAGATTCTAAAACCAATTCATATGTTTTTTACTTAAAATTGTAGTGGTTACCAATGATGATGTTTGTGAATTAAATGGGTAGAATTTATAAATATAAAAATTTATATTTATTAAATTATTCTAAACTAAGAATAAATTGATAAAATATAGAAAATTTAAGATTAAAATTATTACATTGGAAACTATGCGTTTTAGTATCCTAATTATCTTTTTTTTTTGTTTTTTTTCATTCAATTATTATTTTTATCAAAATTATATTTAATAATTTATTTTAATCATCCATCGTTAAAAAATTAACGGTGATGATGATGTGTCACTCTAAGGTAATAACACATCATCATTGAAAAAAATAAAAAAAATATCACTTCAAGTTATGTTAGTTTTCTAATGGTAGATGAATAAAATGAAACTAAAATGTAATATTATAATTTTGGAAAAAAATTGTTAAGTGATTAAAACGAAACAAAAATGATAGTTAGGATATTAAACGTGTAGTTTACCCATTATTATAATATCATACTCTTTTGTTATTTCATTTAAGTCTTTAAGTATTTAATAGTCAGTGATTAGAATAGAATGATAAAATTATATTATTGATTAAAATGAAAAGTTTAATAGTTAGGTGACAAAAAGTCAGAAACACAACAATATGCCAATACATAGTGATTAAATAGGTAATTTGCCCTAAACAAACTCGGGTGCTTCTCACTTTCGTTTTCAAATTTTGCCGCTTAAAAACGTCTCCAAAACTCTTTATTTCCCTCCATATCCTTTCAATTTCACTACTTCGGCTAAAGGAGTAAAACTTGCCCCCTTTCCCCCAAAACAGTAGGATGCCAAACTCGGGAGGTTTCATGGTAACCCGAACTCAGACGAGGGACAGGTTCCACAAGCCACCGGCGGTGAGGCGGCGGCGTCAGCAGCACCTGTACAGGCAGCAGCAGCAGATACACACACCGACGCAAGATGAGATATGGAGACCGTTGAACAAGGAGAGCCGAGTCAACTCGGTCGATTCAATGACTGAGATCCAGACAGATTCTGACGAGTCTACATTGTCGTCGACGAAGGTTGCTAAACTGTCCAATTTGGATAGGCTCATGGAAGCGGTCACTCCTTTTGTTCCGGCTTATTGCTTCTCTGAGGTAATGTGAAAAGGAAATAGTTGTAGTTTTTTTCTTTTTTGAAACTAAAGTTATGAGAATTTTTATTTGAGTTTTGTTTACAACTTTTAAATGGCTATAAGAAAAAAGAACAAGGCAAAGTATTTGAGAGTTAAAGATGAGCTTATTTTAGGAAATTAATGCTAATGTTTTTTTTGGATGAAAGTAATAGTAATACAAATGATTATAAATTCTTAATTAGAAATGAAATATTCTGTTTGTTACAAATTCCAACGCGTAGAGAATTATATTTAATTATGCTAATTAATAGTGGGGTTTTTTACTATGAGTCTGTGACTTTCATTCTTGTGGTCCTAAAGTGATAAGAAGTTAGATTTATCTGGTTTGTAACAACGTTGCAGTCTTGTAAATGGAAATAGAAGAATGGGTTTATTTCTTTCATATACTTATGGTTCCATAACTTCCATCAATAGTACTATATTAGAATGCTTAATTGGTTCAAGCTTTATTTAATTTAGAGTTTGAAAGAGGTTTCATTATATATTTATTTACTCTTGGTTAATTTTTTACTTCATGACATCCATTTGTGTGTGTTTTTTATTGATTTTCTAGGAAAAATATAGGGGATGGGAAACTCTTGAAACGGATTTTAGCTCGTATTATTGTCTCAGTGATCTTTGGGAATGTTTTAGTGAGTGGAGTGCATATGGCCTTGGAGTCCCGCTAGTGTTGAACAGGATTGATTCTGTTAAGCAATACTATGTTCCTTACTTGTCAGGCATACAATTGTATGTAGATCCACATAGGCCAAGGTGATATTCTTACTTCAATATCCTTCCTATTTCTTCCCTTTTAATATGGTTGTTGGTGTTAATGTTTTTTTATTATGTCGGATTGCCTCTTAACTACATGGCCGCTGAGTATTCTAGATTTTTATACATTACTGGTTCTTATGCTTTCTCTATTACAGTGACAATAAGTTTTAATGGTTGATATTGTATATATATATATATATATATAATTTTCCATATTATCTGGCAGCAAGAAACCTTGGATGCTCTGTTTAGAGAACCTAACTTGTTTGAGAATGATTGGTTGCGTTTCCTACATAATGCATCCACTATTACAATATTCTATGCGAACTGATTCTTAATGTTAATTTGACTTGTTCTCTAGTTGCATTCTCATTAACCATGGAATATGCTTCCCACACTTGATTTATGGTGAATCTTGATATTATACTTTATACATCTGGTTGCTTATTGTCATATCATTTATTTATGATGCTACATCTGATACCACTGCCTTGCTTTACTCTCGCCCTTGGATGATGACACTATTTGTTACTCGTTAGATCTTATTCTATGTACTGGTTAAGCAGCATGCAACTAAGAGCCGTATGCCTGACATTAGGTGATATGTATGTGAAACGTTTGGAGTTTGAGTTTCCTTACTGTTAATCTGCAAAAATCTGCCAATCTATTCAACTATCAGGATTAGTGAGGATGGCAATGCCGAGTCTTTGAGAGAAACTAGTTGTGCTGGAATTAGTGACTCTGAAACAGACAGGAGAGTAAAAGGTGGTGTTGATGGAGCTTGGGCACAGCACAACTCCCAGAGTACGAATATATCACATATGTGTTCCTCTAGTGATGAAGTTGAGGTTGGCAAGTCGACTCGGCAGCTGGTTTTTGAATACTTTGAACAAGAACAACCACATCAACGGAAACCTTTATATGACATGGCAAGTTCACATGTGGTGATTTAGAATGTTAAGTTCTTTCTCTTCAAATGTTTGTTTGTTCTGACTAAAATGCTTGTGACACCTTTTTCTTACCCACCAGATTTCAAGTCTTGCATCTCAATTTCCAGGGATCAGGATGTACAGGAGCTCTGATCTATTGCCAGCAAGTTGGATTTCAGTGGCTTGGTAGGACATCTTATCCTTCTAAAGATTGACCAAGTCATTGCTCTTTTAAACTTCATCTATGTTCGGTTATATTGTTATTGGTCTATGGGTACCCAATATACAGAATACCTATGGGTCCAACCCTACAAAATCTGGATGCATCTTTCTTGACCTTCCATTCTTTGTCAACACATTCTCAAAGTATACCCCTTTCTCTCTCATTTATGATCACGGGGCATGTTGCCGGGTTCTTAGTGTTCCGTTGAGTTTATTTTGTTCATTATTTTACAGCTGGTACAGTAAAAAATCAGCTGCAGTATCCTGCTTCTAGTAGTAGGAAAGTCATTGGTGTTGATGAATCTACAAATATCCCTCTACCAGTTTTTGGCCTTGCTTCGTATAAGCTGAAAGGTTCAATTTTGACTCCCGTTGGTGGCCAAGAATGGCAGCAAGCAAGCTCTCTGTTACAAGCCGCTGACCATTGGCTGCAATGTTTACAAGTCCAGCATCCTGATTTCCACTTTTTTGTATCGCATAACTCGCAGAGGAGATAACAAAGGTACTTTAATTCTCTGTAACCGATATTTTCTGTAGGTTGGGGAAACTTAAAGGCTCAGTTGGAATGATACTTGGTTCACTTAGAACTTCTCTAAGTAGCAGCCTGTTTTTCAGCCTTATTATGATCCCGTAAGTTCCCTCTTGATGCAGCAGTGTGCATGAGGAAAATGGAAAAGGTGGTCAGTTGTTTGCTACTAGACTGCATTCATTAAACTCGGCGGGTGTCGGAAATGATGCATGCAAGGCAGTTTTTTTTTTTTGCAATTTATTGATGTAGGGACCAAGAAACTACTATCAGCACATCGGAATCCTGATCATTGACAGATGTTTGCTGTGAGCCTGGTTTATGTACTTGGTACACTTGTAAATTATTAACAAAATAGCCTTGATTTTCTGCACCATATTTATTTGATAAATATTTAGGAATACCGATGAAAATTCAAAACGCATACTATTTTTGTTCATATTTATTTAGAAGCACATTTTTTTGTTCTTCTAAAAACGAATCTAATGTTTGTTCAAAAAAAATATCAATTCAAATGTTATTTTCTAAATGTGTGATATTTAAGTAAAAAGGCAAGTATTTGGATACATCGGATCCTTCATGGTAGGCGGTTGAATCACAAATATGAAGCATAAACATACCATAGCACGGTCATAAGCCATTATCATGGCACGTACTATATTACTGAAATAATCGTTCGATTTTATTAAATACCTATGAAGCTATACATTCAGGTTTACTAGCAAATGTAAGCTTTAAACAAAGCTGGTATAATGGCTTTTATGAACTGATGCTTTAAACTGGAAAAACACAAGAGTTTGATCTCTGTTGGGGCCTTAATTGATAAAACAACAACTTATTACATAAATTACATTACATTCTTGAATCTATCCCTAGCTTCTACATTGAAGTATCAATGCAAGATCATGGATGACGGCCCGTTTGTTAAAAGATGGAAGTGGCGGTCCGTCTTTCACTTCTGTCTTGATCATAAGCCACCATCGAATATGGTTGATAACAATAGCCCTTGTACAAACTCACACTTGCTCGCCTTCTCCAAGTGCTCCTTATCCGACAATGGCAACGGGTGAACATCTCTGTACACAACATAAAGGCTATCATGAAGTTCCTTTCGGTTAGAGAGGGAAAACTAAGTAATACTCACTAGAAGGAATGGGTAAAAACAGAAAGGTAAAATCATATCCTGATACCATTAACAGCAGAAGGCAACAAGTTCCAGAAGTTGTTAAGCAAAAGAAATCAATTAGAAAAAATAAAAGATCTACTTTACTGTAATGAGATTCAACTTGTCATTACCCTAGGCACTAAATCAAAGATCAAGTAGGAGCCCTCGAAACACATTCTTTTTAAGCTCCAGAATTTAGAGGAAAAAAGGATCTCTCATTTTAGTGTAATATACCTCTTCAACACTTTGACAAAGAATCACATAATCATGCTATTACAGGACAGTATCCAAAGGATGACATAATCATGCTGTTACAGCACAGTATCCAAAGGGTGTTGCTGAGCTCAAACAGTGCAGAAAATATCTTAAAAATAGATAAAAGCTTACTTTTCTATCACTTTCTCATTTGAGCCTTTTTCTTCCAAGGTCACTTCAGTAGGAGAGGCAGACTGTACACTTTCCGATGAATCAGCAGGAGGTGCACTGTAAAGAAATGAAAGCAACGGATCGGGTCCAGTATTGGAGGAAGAAAGTGAAGACCACGACCTGGAAAGAAGAGATTGATAATGCGCATCATGCAACTCCTTCCTCAAGGAAGAAAGAGGTGAATCAGAGTCGCCTTTATGAAACTTTAATTTGTGGTTACTGTGATCATTGGTCAAGGGACACAGATCATGAACCTCAAAGTACATGGCCTAAAATTATATAAAAAAAACACCCTCAAAGCAGCCTCATGGTCATACATAGAAAGTTAATATCTAAAATGAACTGGTTCAAAGAGATTTAGTAAAAGAAACAGAATGTCATGAGAAATGATTCAAGCACAATAGCATAATCTTGAACAGGTAGTTGAAAGAAAAGGAAAGGAAAAGGAAACAAAATAAGCAAAATCTTTCAACTAAAAAGTAATAAAAGGATATCTTGAAGATATTCCCATGCTGTGTTGTTATGTGGTCAACCATGTTCATACCCACTCTCTGAGCACAAACAGGACATACCTGCAATTATAAGCAATACTGAATTACTGATTAACTGATCTTAAACATCATTTACGTCTAAACAACAATTAAAACTAAGCTATCTTTAAGTACCCCGATTATTCAGAGATTCAATAAGAATTCCTTTTGGCAAGGTCGGCATCAAATTTGTTGTTCTCAAACAGAAGTCTTATGTAATGAAGCATATTAAGGAAAGTTCCGTTAGCTATAATTTACCCTGATAACATACAAAGTCTTGACTCTTGCCAACAAACCGACACGTATACAAAAGAGAGAGGGAGAGAGAATGATCTACCGACTTCAATCAATGACACCAAAGTACATAAGCTAATAGGGCTCTAGAATATTATGAATGAATGTCGGTTTCAAAAACAGGCTTTATGGACAAAAAATAAAGACAGGTTGCCGTTAAAAACATGAAGGTGAGAACAAAGATTGTCAGTAGCTTTAGCAATCATCCATTCACTAACAGTGAGGGCAGATATTATAAGACATATAATTTGGGCAAGAAGGATGCAGCCAATAATAAGTATATAAACTTCCATGAGTAAACAATAACAATTTATGCCAAGACAGAATTGCAAGATGTTAGAAAGTGTTCATAAATTGAGTGACACTAGAATGATAATACTAAATAAGAATGGGGGAAATGAATCGAGGAATTAAGTTCCGATAACATCTATTCACCAATCTAAGTTTCCAGCTGGATTACCAAACACTGTCCAATGCCCGATTATCTTCCCCCAAGTGGCAAAGGCATAGCATTGAAAAATGGATCCGTACAATAGAATTCAAAGAGCTGACCGAGTTTCGACTTTCAAGGCCTTCTTTTGCTGGGTCAACTTATGCACAGGCACTAAAAGATCCCCTCTTGTCTAACCATATTTGACCGTCGATTACCAAACTAAAGCATATCCAGGAAGAGTAGAACGTTCCTTGAGTATCAATTCTAACAATCTTACAAAACAAAAAGCAAAAATTCATGCCTAACAATAAATCCAGAAAAAGGGCTAGTGCATACCCCATAGCCAGCTTCAAGATGATGCTCCTCGTCGATATGGCAGCACAATCCAAGTAAATCAAAATCCTCCGAACAGTACGGGCAGGGGTATTCCGTCATCAATTCATCATCTTCTTCAATCTCTTCAAAATCAATAAAAAGATCTGCTTCCAAAATCAATAACAACCCATTCGGTAACCGCATAAAATCCAGGAAACAAAAACTCAAAATAAAAAGCAACAAAACCAAACAAATATATAAAATACCAACCACTATGGGATTTAAGAGTGGATTGATAGCTCCTAGATGAAGCCGAGAGGGCAGAGCTCCAAGTATCATCCTCCATTGAAACTTTTAGATAACGCTCTAAACTGCAGCTGGGTTTGTTTACAAAAGAGAAAGAATCTAGCAGGGCAGCTTCTTAGACTCCTCTTTTTTCTTCTTCTTCAGCCTTTCTGGTTTAATAACAAAGAGCGAGTTAACAAGGAGAAAGGGGTTCTTATAAAAAATAACAAGGAGAAAGGGAAAAAGGGGGAATTTTTATTTTATTTTTTATAAGGTTGTAATTCGTGAAGGAGAGCTGGAACCTTAGCGAACACAAATTCAGACTATCTGAAATGACCAGCAACTCCCGCGTATTTATCATTAACTACCCTCTTAACCACCCACGATGGATCTAAAACCAGGGATGGACCCAAAATCCATATATATATATATAATAATAATAATAATAATAATAATAATAATAATAAGTAGGACTGCCAAAATAAATCTAAAAATAAAAATTCCATTCCATTCCAAATTTATTTATTTTATTTTTATCTTAACAATAATTTTAAAAATTATTTTATTAGAATATTTATTATTTAAATATATTGAACAACTTTAATGATAAAAGTAAGTATTGTTCTTTTTAAAATTTTAAATTCAAACAATTATGTTTGTAAGGTGTGTATATTTTATTAATGATTAAAAATATTATAAACATATAATATCTTATAACTATTCCAGGTTATAAGCATATGAATTTGTAATAATTAATATATTTTTGAATAGTTTGAAATAATTATAAAATAATATATGTTTAAAAAAAATTTAATCTATCAACAATACAGACATATTTTACATACATAACTGTTTGAAGTCGGAATCTCTAAAACAGACAACTTTTCTTTTAATTACCGAACGACCTTATACGTTCGTGATAATTATTATCTTTTCTATACATATTTTATGCATTTTAATTCTTTAGTTCCTTTGTGTATATCACCTCATTCTATAGTTTGGGTTTTTATCATAAATTGAGGTTTCTTCATAGATCTGGAACTGCGGGCGCCGACCGTGGCTGTTTTTGTACTTTTGCTGTTTATTTATTTTTATTTTTTGTGTTTTTTTTTGGAAAGAAAAAGGTAGAGATTACATTAAATTTCCAGGATGCATAGTAAAGAGCTCAAAATATATGTAATTTTTTTTATTTAGATCCAAATTAAGGCCCAAATGACCGAACCAAGGCCCATATCATATCTACATTGAACGCGGATCCATCTTCACGGCTGTTGTTTGTTTCTGAAATAAGAGGAGAACCATGAAAAATTTTAAGGGTAAATTACAGGATTGATCATTTTTGTATAAATTTTGTATATTTTTACTCACTGATTTTAAAAAATATAATATTTGGAAACTTTCTTTTTTCTTTAATTAAAATATGATCACTGATGTTAAATGAGGTTAGACCTCTAATAGATTTCTAACGTGGTAGAGTGAATTTATAAAATTAAAAAAGATAAATTACATAAATGGTCACTAATATTTGAATAAATTTTTATTTTTCTCACTAGAGTTTTAAAAGTAACAAATTGGTCACTAAAACATCAAATAGGTCCTTGAGTAATGATTTTATATCTAATTTATCCTAAAAGCATTGTAAGTTTCCAAGTATTTCTAATTTTTATATATATACTTTTTAAAATTTAAAAACAAAACTTAGAGATTAACTTTTATGGACATGAAGCAATCAAATATTTTAAATAATAAACAAAAAAATTAGTAAGCTTTTGGAATACATGAGATATAAAATCATCATTCAACGACGTATTGAATGTTTTAGTGATCAATTTGTTATTTTTAAAATTTTAATAAGGAAAAAATTTATTCAAATATTAGTGACCATTTATGTAGTTTATTTTTTTATTTTTATAAATTTATTTTGTCACATCTGCAATCCGTTAAAAGTTTAACGACAATTAACTTTCGACTTATCTTAATTAAATAAAAATAAAATATCAAATTTTAATTAAATAAACCAAAAAATGATCGATTATTATGTTTTTTTTGAGTTCGGTAAAAAAAATATACAAAACTTAGAATAAAAGTGATAGTTTACCCAAAATTCAATTCAAAGCTTTTACCATCTTCAACCTTTCTCGGCGAGTTCGTAGCGCTTTGAATTCTTCTCCTAATGGCTGCGAGAAACCGGGCCTTTAAGTACAAAAAACGACCAGCAATGCAGTGAAGAACGTTCGAGCTTCCCTCTCTTCCTTGGCATCCAATTCTGGCGGGACGGTAATTGAAATGGTTAACACTGCAATCGAGGTACTTGATTTCCCCTAATTCTTTTTTTTTTCTCGACATAATGATTTTACGGTATGTTTTCCGCCATCGTGGGTTGAAAAATCGGAAGAAATAGCTGCAAATATTCAAGGAGCTTAGGTAAGATGGCAGAGTTAATCAAAGCTCATTCCAAGGCTTTAATGCCTTCATTTGGAGACGGCAAAGAAGATGAACGCAACCAAAGAAATAACAATTGCAAAGGCTTTCGAGGATTCCAATCCAATCTTTGGATCGTTGTTGGCATATTTTCCTGATTATGAATACAGTGATTTACTTTATTTATTTGTTAAATTGAGTTTAGTTGGTTTCAGGTCAATCTCTATGAAGCTTCTTGCCCTCTGTTTGATGGTGTACGGACGATTGAATCTAAATTTTAACGGCGTCATAAATATTAAATCTGTTAATAAAAATTATAGATAATTGTCCGTTCAGTTTAGTTGGTAGAGCGTAAGGCTCTTAATCTTGTGGTCGTGGAATCGAGTCATACGGTGGGCAATTCATAATTCTGATTGCCAGAGGTCTTCTACGGAAGCTACTCTCAACCTGGCGTTGAGGACAGCTTACTACTTTACCCCCCTCACTCCATTATATATGAGAATAGAGTCAACTATTTTTTTAATAAAAATTATAGATGATCACAAGGGTACATGGATTTTTGTTCATTCTATTTATATACAAGGGGCGCTCGTCTTTAGTGGACGTGTAATTTTACGGAGAGAATCAATGATCTTCTACGATTTAATAATTGGAATCATTAGATGTAATTTCTTCATTCAAAATTTTCAGTTAAGTTTAATATGAATTATGTATATATTTTAAATACTCGAATTTAAAATCTAAAATTTATTTATTATATCTTTAACAGTGCGCAAGTTAAATATTCAATTTTATTAAATTATTTTTGAAACAAAATTTAAAATTAAATAGATAATGAATGTTAAATTTTGAATATTAGATATCCAACTGCATCCTACTAATACTAAAAGATAAATCGAACAGTAGATATCGAAAATTTTATATATGAGTTCACGATGACTAATAAATCTAATATTTTAATCCACAAGCTATTCAAATCATATTCCCCAAATATATATAGACATAGACAGAAACAAACAACATGGATTATTTTGTGTTTACACTTTCCATTACCATCCTGTTTAACGAGAATAAGTGGAGGTACAGATGTACATAGCCGGATTTAAATTTGATCCGGTTTTTTCACTAAGTCAAAAAATCGATTTATAAAAAAATCGGTTTGAATCATAACCGGTTTAGAGGGCCGGATGATGTAACCGGTGTAACCGGTTTCGGTTTGAAAAAAACCGATTTTTTTAAAAAAAACCGGTTTTTAATCCGGTAAAAAATCCGGTCATCCAAAATTTTAAACCCCATACCGGATTTTTTTCCGGATAAAAAACCAGCTTTTTATCCGGGTTTTTTCAAACCGGTTTTTAATCCGGTAAAAACTCCGGTCGTCCAATTTTTTCCCAAACCGGTTATACTATTCGGTTTAAAAAAATCGGTTTTTCTCAAATCCGGTTTCAAATATTTTTTACACAAAATCAGATATTCGAATTTTTTGTGCACCTTTACGTGGAAGTAATAACATGGCTGCAGTACAATTACGACGGTAATATTATGATTATAGATGTCGTAGGCGTTATAATATAATTTATTTTTTAAAAATAAAAATTGTAAATAAGATTATGATATTATTATAATGATCTTGAAAAAAATATCACAATAGGACTATTACGCTATATTACTGGCGTAATTTAATATTATAAGGGAAGTTGGGCAGTAAATCCAGGAGATGTTATTTACTTATACTTGCCATTATAATTAAAATAGTGAATAAATAATTATAAAAAATTGACAAATGAAGAAAATACGCCTTCTTTGAATTGAATCTAATGGTAAAAGGAAAGAGAAAAAAGCTAGGACTTTTCAACGTTTAGATTTCTCCCAAACTTAACAAACCAAACAAACTAACACAAAACCCTACTCTCTCTCAGTCTCTCTCCCAACCTTACTCGTATATAGTTTTGGATAAAAAAATTAACAAAAACATATCCTACAAGTACAAGAGATGTAAAGTGGGGGGAAAAAAGTTCAGCCACCAGCTTCCTCTTTGTTCCATTAATTCAGAAAAGAAGTTGTGCAATGAGCATCGTTGATGATAACGGTGTTGCTGAATTCCCAGCTGGTTTGAAGGTTCTTATAGTTGATGATGATAAAACATGTCTCCTGGTACTGGAAAGAATGCTTCGAAAGTTATTATATCAAGGCATGTTGTGTCTTTCTGTCAGTTGAGAATTTATTACTCTTCGTGTTGGATCATTGTTAGATGTTTTGAGTTCTCAATCCCCTCAAAAAATGATTTTTAGGGTTCGGATAAGTGAAATTATAATTTTTATGTAAGCTATATGTGGTGTGTGTATGAAAAACTAGTTTTGTTCTGATGATTTTATGATCTGATATGGTGATTTTCAGTTACCAAGTGTGAGCACGGGAGTGATGCCCTTGCTTTGCTTCGTGAGAAAAACAACAGATTTGATATTGTCATATGTGATTTACATATGCCTGACATTCATGGACTCGAGCTTATTGAGATCATTGTTTCAGAGATGGACTTGCCGGTCGTTAGTAAGTTAAAAATACATGCAATTAATTTTGACTATGCTTTTTCAACCTAATCTGTATATATTTGAATCGTTTATGTTTACGCAGTGATGTCTTCGGATGAAAGACAAGGAGTTATTATGAAGGGTATAGTCAAAGGAGCTTGTGATTTTTTGGTGAAACCAGTTCGCATGGAGTCTATTAGTCTCATTTGGCAGCATGTGGTTCGCAAGAAGATACGTTTGTTTGCAGAATTTCAGCAGCCTGGCATTGACAACATTAACTTTGACAGGTTAAGCCTATTACAGCTGTCTAATGATGCTTCCGCCACCGCTAATCGAAACATCCCGGCCATAGATAAAAGAAGTCTGCAATGCTTGAAACGGAGGAGCGAAGATTCATCTAATGATGGAGAATCCTCCGACGAAGCGACGAACTGGAAGAAACCGAGGGTGGTTTGGACACAGGAGCTCCATGAGTTGTTTGTTACTGCTGTGAATCAACTTGGACATGGCGGTATGAACCATTCTAGCTCTATACTTGAAAAAATTTCCTCTAGATAATGCTTTGTTTTGACACGTGATAATGTTATTGCAGATGATGTTCCTAAGAAAATTTTGGAGCGTATGCAAGCTATGAATGTAACTTATCTTACAAGAGCCAATATTGCCAGTCATCTTCAGGTGCAATATATTAACATATCTTATATGCACTATTAACAAATCCCGTATAAACACTCATATAGCAATTACATGTTGCAGAAATATCGCATGCATCTTCAGAAAGAAAGTGCACGATCGGCTGGTAACAGAGATCTCAATGCCTACCAACAATTCCATCCCACACCTACACCCACAGCCGCATCTTCATATCCGCTTCCACAGGAAAATCTTGCAAATGGAGATGTTTTAAGTACAGTTCCAAGTCAAGTTGATAGAGGGAACAATATTTTCGACTTGAATATTGTTTCCCAATTGAGTCACGGTCTACAAACCGATGCCTCCTTGTATTATCCTTGTCGACCGAACTCGTTATACCATAATGATTTTCCTCCTAGTGATGGTGTTGTCATCTCAAAGGAAGAAAATCTGCAGTGTACTGCAGGAACAGTCACAGAGCTTTCAAACCCATTTTCAGCTGCTGACGAAATTATCTATGATCCCTCGTTTTTGGTATGTGAAATTCTTTCATGCATCTTTTAAATAGGTTAGCTTAAAATATTAGTCACTAATGTATGACTATTAGTTCAATTTTACGATTACTGATTCAAAGTTCTTTGACGATATGTTATTTGCAGCAAGAGGAGGTTGCACTTGTTGGACTTCAACCTAACATGGGTGGATACCTCCCGCGCAGTTCTAATTACTTTGGTTTGACACAAAGTTAGATTATTATTATTATTTCTTTAAAGGTGCATTTTCTTGTTTCTTCAGCTTAACAAGAAGCTAGCTTAGCATAGAAATTGATAGACTTCTCCAATTCGATCTTTTTACCGACTTTTGGAAGCTCTGGAAATCATGACCTGTTCTTCTTATTGCACCGATTTCTATTTTCTTTTGGTATTATGGAACGCTGCTTGGCAATTGGCAATAGGCAATTTGGCATAGTACATATCTTCTCATTATACTTTATACTGCAAACAAATGGATGAATACTTGAATATATGGAGTAGATTCTAGTGAAACTTAAAAACATTTCAATATGCACCAAAAGTTCAATGCTAAAAATCAAGGCTAACCCAAAGGCCAAACAAGTATTGAGTGTAAAGAAAGCAATTGAAAAATAGAATTTGGGGCAGTTGAAGGCAAGCAATTCAAAAGCTTATTATTGCTTCATTAGCAACAGAAGAGCAAGTGTTAGAAAGCCAACAATGCTGCAATGACCGTGGGAGCTTTGCTAGGAAGTATACTGGGAAGTGCACATTCCACTCCGATAAAATTTTTTAAATAGTTTTTTGCCATTATAAGATAGAACAACACATCCTTTTACCAATGAATTCATTTAATGAGTTTAAAATTCTAACCATAAATAATTCTTGAATATGTTGTTTGCTTTTGCACATCCGATTCGAGTGCATTGACCTTTATGGACCAAAAATGCATGTGTCACTTTTTTACTGGAAGTTGACACTACTTTCAGCACCCAAGTTACTGTCTTGTATAACTGAAAATAAAGAATTCCCACCATCACCCAGAATAAATACAACATGCTTGTCCACAAGCACCATTTATTGTATGCCTGTCCACAAGAATCTAGTCTGCCCACTGACTTATATTCTGTTTTATTGCATTCCCAACGCTTTTCCACTGAGCTCGGAAGCTCCCATGGATTGGCAGGCCTGATTCCACATGAATTTGGATCCATTCTCCTATACAAGTTGAACCGGTTCCAATTTCCAAATCGCATGTTTCTCTCCATTTCACAAGGCAACAAGGAATATCTTATGGTATATCGACTCCGTGAATAAAAATGATAACGCTAGTAGGCGTATTATCGCAGCACGAGAGGAGCTCATAGCATAGCATTCTCCGGTTTAGACATCTACGGCAGTACAGATTCAATAAATTCTGAGGCTGCTTTGAAATTTACCTTTGCTTCCAGGTCAAACACAGTTTATTAGAATCCAGATAAAGCTCAAGTTCAATGAAGCAAGAGAAATTTATTCCAGATTAGTCAGGGAAGCTTGTAATGTAATTGTCTGTAGAAGTGGAAGAAGGTGATGGACCAATGATTGTTGATGGTCTCCGTCTTTAATTCATTAGCTATTTCTAGCTGTAAAGGTTCTCAGGGCCTTGGACACTCATTTTACGTCTACCTTTTCCTCTATTCTTTTTTTGTGGCCTTTTTCCCTCACATGCCACAGTCGACTTATCAATGGTTTTAGAACCTGAAACCAAACATGTCTCTCTGCTTTTGACACTTTCTGGCCAAAGGATACAACCCAGTTTATTCTGTCCTCTTTTACGTAACCACCAAAACTTGATACCATCTTAACTGTAACATGATTTTAAAAGACTTAAGATGTATTCTTTTCTGGTAAAAATATCAAATTTTTCTCGCAGTTAACACAGCAAAGTTAAGCTTCAGGGTCCGGCTTGTGAGGATGTGTTGTAAGATGTATTATTTCCTGGAATGCTAAAGATCGCATTTATGAACAGGGTGCCATTTATCCCCCAAAAATATCTGCATATCACACTAATTGCCAGCAAGCATTTACCCATTTTACCTGCATGAATAACCTACTCTAAGGACGAAGGTAATAAAAACAGATGACTCTAAGATGATTCTATGTTAAGGATGAACTTCTAAATTTTTAAGAGATGTCGAACTTATAAAATTTTAAAAAAATAAAAATATATTATAAAAAAATCTAAAATGTATAATAATTTAAAATTTTAGAGGGACAGATGCCTCCAAACTCCCATTATTCCTCGATCCATCCGTGAACTAATTGCATCCGCGTCCTTCTTTATAAAAAATAATAGCTTTCACCGGCGGGCACTGCCACCCTCTCGGCTTCTCCTAGAAATTCATAAAACCTCACCTAATGATTAAAACCAAGGGGATTAGGCAATGATTAGAATAATGGAGACAAAAGCTGTCAGCGTCAGGGGAAAACTATGTAGGTCCGCATCATCTGCTGCTATGTGCATTTCTAATTAATTAATCAAATTATAGATATACCAGTTAAGCTACAAAATTAAGATTGAAGACGAAAGGATCAAAATCGTAGGGCTGTAAACAAGGTTGATTCTACAAAAATCGAAACCAGCTGGCCACGTGTGAAGTTAAAACAAAAGGAATGGGTCCCCCATTCCTACTTTGGACAGTTCGTACGCAACAATGACATCTAGGTCCCTCTTCCGATGCCACCATGCCTTATTAAAATAATTTATTTGATGGGTGAATTAATAGTGTTGTGGGTATCTCTTTATTCGGAGATGTTGAAAACATAAGCGGGGAGAATAAAAATTACCAGGAAATAAACACAAGGATCCGAGGCTGAAGGGGGGAGAATATGTGATTGCCACCTAAGTGTGCAAAGGAACAGTGTGGGCATGTTGGTAGCTCACAAGCCTTCCACCGCTGCCACCAAAATGAAAAATCTTACAAGCTTCATCAACCAAGGAAGCAACAGGCTTATCCAAAACCATCATTCCAATGTCCTGTAGTTTGTTGTTCTCCACCCCTGTTTCAATTCGGTCCTTTTTGGCTGGATATTAAGAATTAATCAAATGCCCTTTTTTCCCACTCCGTCATATGTCCATTGTCTTCATTGCAACTCCACCTACAACAACATAAATTCGGCTCATTTCATTTCTGAAATTTCGTCTCTTTCAATCATATTTTGATCCAATTCAACGAGAGAGAAAAAAAGATGCCTGATGGAGCAATGCAGAGTCCGTGTTGAAAGACTATTTACCAAGTGCACTGCTTCACGGAAAGGATAAACTTTGATTCTGTTTGAACCTCGAATGCAACTAAAACACTAAAACTACAGAACTCCATGAGAAATGCTCCAACCTTTTTTTTCTTTTTGGTTTTAATAAAATTCAGAAGCAATAAAAAATAGAATAAAAAATTGATTGATAAATGAGTTAATAATGTAGATGAAATGAAAAACTGAAAACTGGGAATTTACCGGCGACTAAACTCGGCTAGGACTTCAATGTGGGTGGCCGTACAAGTCATAGGGTACCCAAAAAGCGTCGAGCGGACACGGCTTTTTGGAATCCAGTCTAATAATTGGTAAACTTTTAATTCATCACTCGCGTATCTACTGAAATTAAAATGTAAATATATAATTTAAATAATTCAAAACATACTTAAGACTAAGTTTTTGTATCAATAAGTAAATTGATTTTCTCTAGTCCAGTAGGTATATCTCTATAGTTCTTTCTTTTCATCGACAACCTATGAAATATAATATAAATTAAATATCACCTTATTTAAATAAAAATATTTAAATCAAAATTTAGTTCAAAAATTACCTCAATAATAAGGGGAATATGTATAGTTCATTGACGATCGGGCATAAAAAGGCATGCGGAACTACGCCCATGATTGCATGAGACATCCACCGATAGCAGTTTTCTTATAATTTGTCGCACGACTCATTTTTCTAAAGAGAAATCTAAAAACTGTTATATCTTTCAGCTTCATCAAAATCAATCAGATGCCACAACCACATACAATGCACTTGGTTGCGAGATTTGTCGGACATCAATATTCCTCTAATGATTCGTAAAATATAAGTCCAAGCACATGCCTTTACTTCATCATCTGAAGCATTTTCATTCAAAACTTTAAAATTAACTTTCAACCATGATAAAGTTATTCTACCTCCATTAAACTCTGGCGGAGCAGCTCCAAAATACTCCATGCACATTGATTGCCAATTACCATCCGTCATACCACACATAATATTCCCATCGACGGGAAGCCCCAGATGCATAGAGACATCCTCCAATGTAATTGTAGCTTCCCCACATGGAAGATGAAATGTGTGTGTCTCGGACCTTCACCTCTCAATCAATGCAGAAATTAGGACAGGTTCGAGTTTGCAACCGCCAATAATTGTTGCAATATACCCAAACCCAGCAGAAGATAAATATGACAAAATACGTTGCGGTGTCGGTATACGCGAGTTTTTAATAAAAGTCTCTAAAATACGATCATTTTCTTAAATAATATGCATTATAAAAATTTATAATTAATATAAAATTATTATAAATTTAAATTAAAAAATAATAAATATTAACATTAATTATAAAAAAATATTACCATATTACTAAAATGTCTGGAGATATGGTTTGCATCCAATCGCAGCAGTATTTCACTTTCCATTATAACTGCAGACAAAAAATATAATTAGTACAAAAAATAATTAATTAATTAATTTAAATAAATAACAATTATATAAATATTATTTTAATAAAAAATAATATTTATATAATTATATTACTATAAAATATAAAAAATACTAACTTAAAAATAAATTTTTTACCACTAATAAGAAATTTAAAACTCAAATAGTTGGAGAATTTGAGTTATATAAGAGATGAGAATATGATTTTTGTGTGAAGAATGAGAGAGGGTTTATACAGGGAGGAGGAGGGGTAGTTGGGGGAAAACGGATGTGGGTATTTATGGCATTTAATGGAATGCGAGTTCCCGGGGATGCACCTTCCCCACGTGGCGTCCGATCCAGCATAATCTCGTGAAAGGCGCATCCCCATGGATGCGCCTTTCACACGTGGCATCTGATTCATCATAAACCCAGGTAAAACGCGTCTCCAGGGATACGCCTTTATACAACCTCAGCCGAAAAGGTGCTATATCAAAAAATATTGATCAACGGATGTTAGAACGAGAGAATTTAAAAAAAAAACGAATTAGTTAGATCAAATCGACTATATAGAGAGGGTAGTGGCGATCATAAATGAGAGAAGTGAATATGTATCGGCATTTATATCGGGTGTCGCTCTCAGTATTCAGTTTGTGTGGACATTCCACGTTTCCAACTTTCCATCACCACACTTGCAGTTGTCTCATCCTTTTCTAATTCATCCATGCCCTTCCTCTCGTTTTCAACTAAACTAAACAAATCAACAGTTAATTTTTTTCATTGTCGCTTTAATTTTTTTTGTAAGAAGAAAAGTATTCAATTTATATTACAAAAAACGGCAGCACCAAAAGCAGCAATCTTTCCTTTCAAATTACATTGAAAAAACATCAGTTGATAGAATCCAGGAATTCGAGAGCGGAAGCAAATAAAATCTCCATCGAAGGAGGCATTTCCATCATCAGATATGCATCATAATATATAACAAGCATATCCGCATAAAACCAAAAAGAAACCATGGTGTGTTTGGTTCACGGAATGTAAGATTACTAGTGGGAATAAAAGATTACCAGGGAATAAGATTACTAGGAATATTATATTTTGTGTTTGGTTGGTTTAGTAGGAATGTAAGATTATTGTGTTTGGTTAAAGGAATAAAAAATTATTGGAATATATATTTGACCAAATTGTCCTTATTATATATTCGTATAAGAATACAAATTGTAAAATATTTATATATTTTCTTTAAAAAATTAAATTCATAATATTTATATAATTTTTTTACAAAATTAAAAATATAAAAAAGGTTTAATGAAATGGTAAATTTTTTTTAACCCATGAACTTAATATAAAATTTTAATTATAGATTTTTTTTTTGTAAATTTAAATAATTTAAGGATAAATTTGTAATTTAACTTTCGTAGAATTTTTATTATTCAATGACAAAAGAATTATATTTTTGAAAAAAAAAATTTAAGGGCATTTTAGTCTAAAACGCCGGTAATGTTATAATACCTAAGGGAATGGAGGTAATTACATTCCCGGTAATATACCCAAAAAATCTACTATTGGTAATAAAACATTACCGGGAATAAGATTCTCGACCAACTAAACATGGGAATGTGGGATTCTCATGGTAGGAATCCCAAAATCCTTGAACCAAACACCCCTTAAGGGGTGTTTGGATGTTAAGGGGTGTTTGGATGGGGGAACGTGTGATTCTCATGGGAATAGAATCCACATGTTTCCTCGTTTGGTTAGCACGGAAATCCCATTTTCTGTAATGTAAGATTAACAATAGTGATTTTTTGGGGTATATTACCGAGAATGTCATTACCTCCATTTCCTTAAGTATTGTTGGATTACCGGTATTTTAGAGTAAAATACCCTTAATTTTTTTTCTTTCAAAAATATTCTTCTTCTGTCATTGAATAATAAAAAATTTACGAATGTTAAATTATAAATTTATCCTTAAACTATTTTAGATTTATAAAAAATTATATAATTAAAATATTATATGAAGTTAATGGGTTAAAATAAAATTTTACTCTTTCATTAAATCTTTTTATATTTTTAATTTTGTAAAAAAAATTATATGAATTTAATTTTTTTTAAAGAAAATATATAAATATTTTCTAATTTATTAAATATATATATATAATAAGGATAATTTGATTAAATATATATTTTAATAATCTTTTATTTCTTTAATTAAACACGATAATCTTACATTCCTGCTAAACCAACCAAACACAAAATACAACATTTCTAGTAATTTTACATTCCTACTAATAATCTTACGTTCCGTGAACCAAACGGACCCTAACACCATCATCAATCCCTTGCTACTTTCTAGTCTTCCTCTTCAATCCCTCTGGGGTCTTCACCTGACTCAAACGCTTCACTTTGGAACCGGAAACCGCCGTCTTCTTCTTCACATCCGTTTTAGCTTTCTTAAGAGCCTCTGGGGTCTTAACTTGACTCAGCCTCTTGGTCTTCTCGCTTTTCTCGGATACCTTCTTCGCAGCCTTTTCTTTGGGCTTTGGGGACTTGTTCTTATCAATAGTTTCTTCTTTTTTCTCGGTCTCTTTGATCGTCAGCTTCAGCTTTTCAGTCGAGGAAATCTTGTAGGAGTTCTTGAGTTTCACAAGCTTCTCGGATTTCACGAACTTCTTTATCTGAACCGATAGTTGTTTCTTGAAATCAGGGGGCAGCATTTTACTGTACTTTCCCTCGATGAACTTGGCAATGGCTTGCTGGCTTGACCCTGTCCGGTCCTTTAGGGTCGATATTGCTTCACAAATCATCTGCAATTACAAAAACCCAAAATAAAAAAAGAGAATAGTTGAATCATTTATAAGCTTGTAAAGAAGAGGGAAACAGGAAACCTCAAGGTACGGAGGATGGTGAGGCTTGGATTCCTTTTTAGTAGAAGCAACTGCTGGTTTTGCCATTGTTTCTGAGTGTAGTTTTCAGACTCCGAGGGGATAGGAATCGAAGGAGATATAATAATGGGAAACTAATAAGTTGATTTCAATTTCAAATTTGTTTTAGGCGGGATTTGTTTTATTGCGGGGTGTGGAGCCAACTGCCTCCAAATGCTTAGCCGTGGCATTACAAGGTTACTATATCTGACCCTTTTCGACGTGGCGAATATCAGCCGTGGCCACGTGGGTTGATAGGCTCTCTCTCATTTGCTTTTTTTGTCACGTGCAAAGCAAGAAATTTCTTTTTTCTAATGAATGAAAATGAAATAAATCAAAATATAATGTACTTAAACCTAAAGAGAAAAATGAATATAAAAGTTATAAAAAAATTTATACATAAAAATATTAAATCTAAAGATACGAAGAAAAACGAAATATTTTTTATAAGTAACGTCCAACATCAAAAGAAGCATGTAGTATTCATAAAACTCATTCATGGCAAACTAGATATTTTACGAAGTAATAACTAAGTGGTGAATGAACCGAACAATTTGGTAAGCTGCTTCGCTACATAATTCTAATTATATCGACAAACAACATTTTATCAAGGAGAATATCTTATAATATATGAACACTAACAAACCAATCAGAAAATAAATGTCACGATAGTTTTTGTATAAGCACCAACTAAACCGTATAGGTATACAAAAAAATATACCAAAAGCCATAAGGAATGTGCGACAAAAACAAAGAAAAATGTGTCACAAAAACAAATATTTTTATTTAAAACTAAAAAAATCAATAAAAAACCATCAACGACCGATAACCAATATTAAAATTGGTGTTTTGACTAAATAAAAATAAAAAAATAAGAGAAAAATGACATAAAAATATCAAGGAAAAAATTAAGTCAGGAAAATAAGAAAACCCCTAAAAAATCTTTATCCTAGATAAAAGTTGTTAATGTTATTTTTTCCCAAAATGTTTAAGGAGGTCAAATAATTTTTTTTTAAAAAATTCAAAGGACCTAAAAGTATTTTCTCAAAGTTTTGGGGTCGAGGCGGTATGACAACTCAAATCTCTGTTGCGTTTTCTCCCTTCATTTTGAATCAAACTCTACTTCATTCAGAGAACTCAAACGACCTTTTTGGGTTTGGATTTCATGTTGGGCTTTCCAGCTCATTATTAATTTTTGTCACTTTTATATTTATATTATTATTTTTATTAAATATATCTATATTATTATATACATGTAATTACTTTATACAATAATATGTACTATATGATTAATCTGCATATATTAACATCTTTCAACCCTAAAACTTCAACTTCAAATATGTATAACGTATGTTACCTTCATTAAGACCATTAATTTATCGGTGTAATCATTAGTTTCTAATTTAATGATTGATTAATCTAATTCAAGTGACATTAAGATTTATTATAGAATAATTCTTTCAATCTAATTTTTTATTCAAAAATATTAAAATTTGAACTTTTAATCTTGTAATATATTTCATTTATTAGTACTATAAAATCAAAACTTATCATGGGTGGTTAAATAATTTCTCTGAATCTGAGCATCTGCAATTCTTGAATGATTTTAGATAGTCAACAATCTAGGATCTTTCCACCTCAAAAAGGATCATTAAAGCAGAGAACGATCAAGTCCGTTGGCTTACAAAAAGAAATCCGAGCAACCCATTGCCATTCCAAAAAATTAAAGATGCCCAAAAAGCTTTCGCCGTCTGTTAAAAGCCTTGTTGAGAGGGCTACAGATGGGGAATATATGCAAAGTGGACGTTGCATGCCCAATACGTATGACATGGAAACTTTTACTTTTTCTACCATATGAATAGAATCAAAAGCTATATTATTTAGCTACAAAAAGCGAAAACACAAGCAATGTATTTATTTATTTATCTAGCTTTGGCATTTTCCTGAACTAACAAGATATCCAAGCAGATTAGATGATGTCCTTCGAGGCTTCGACAAATTTGGTAAACCCTACATACAAAGACGAACAATGGCAAATTATTGCAGCAACTACAATTAATGTATAAATTAAGCTTAGCAGAGAGTAGCCAAAAGGATTAAAAGTATGACGGAAACTAAAAGCTTCAATCCCATGTGAACGGTGCTAGCTGCCGACTCAGAAAGCGGAGGGTACTGAAAGCTATAGGGGAAGTAAGGAACCACTTGGTTGGGTGGCGAATAAAGCCCTCCTCCAATTACTCCAGGCTGCACTGGTGTTAATGGCGTAGTTGGAGTCTGACATGCATCACATGGCGGTGGACGGCATACAGAGCAAGGTGTAGCACATGAAGGGCATGCTGGTGGTGATGGCGTCGGTTTTGGTGGCGGTGGCGACGGCTTTGGTGGTGGTGGGCACTCAATTACCACTGGCGGCGGCGGCGGTGGCGATGGATAGGGAACGGGAATGCAAGTATCGCATTTTATTTCTGCTTTGGATGATGTTGTGGTAGTCCTTGATGTGGCGAAAGTGAATGAGGTGAGAAGTAAAGCGGAAGCAGCAAGTAACATTTGCATGCTAACAAACAATGCCATTTTTGAAAGCTTTGATGAACTTTTGTAATAAAGGATGAGCTTAGAACGTGAGGTTAATTAGGAGGAAGAAGACAAGCAGCACCGAGAGAGGAAGATAAAGGGAAAGGAGTGCATGTGTGTATTGGTGAGTTGTGACCGCAAGCATTGTTTCTTACTTTATCTTCTATGGCACCATTATCAAAAGAATTTTTTTTGGAAAAAAGAAAATAACCAAATATTGAAATTGCCGACTTTATCTTCTATGGCACCATTATTAAAAGAATTTTTTAAAATTACCAAAAATTGAAATTGCTGAAAGAAATAAAACCCTAGTCTCCTTCCACCCATTTTCGCTAATATAAGTACTATGAATCTAAATCTTTTAATTCTTTTTTATAGATATAATAATAAACAATGTATCCGATAACTATAATTGGAGTTAAACATTACATGTAAAGTTAGAGTATTACGTAGAATATAAAAAATTACATATAACTTATATAAAAATAAAACTCGAATATAAACTTTTAAGATCTTTAATATTTTAACATTATTGGTGACTAATAATTCATTAAGAATACTAAATAACATTTATTCATAATTAATTTACATCTTGGTAGGGAAAAAAACAAATACTAAGCATATTCAATAGGGTATGAAAATCGAATTGATATTAATGGACCACTCTAATTGTGGGCTATCCATAACTCAATTCTATGGATGAATTTTTGCAACCGACAGGGTATTCCTGAAAAATCAATTTAGTAAAAAAGCAAAAATTAATTTTGAAAAATATTAAATAAAATTATTGATAAAATTTAGATTTTGGTTGAGTTATTAAATATCCAATCAAATGAAGTAATTTATGTTAATAAAAATAATATATTATCTGATGGTAGTATGCGACATTATTATGTGAATATTAATGAAGTGAAATATACTTTGATAAATTACCTTCAAAATCACTTCGCTTCGGGACCAAAGCTGTGTTTGTGATTAAGGATGTCACGTAGTTTTGTTCGTCCTTTTTGTGCTTGGCTGAGCTGGGAGGGAGAGAATGGGGATCAGGAATATAAGAACGATGGCGAAGGAAAGAGAATCTAGAAGCACCATGGTAAAAAAAAATTAAGAATAAATTACATTGGCAATTCTTTTATTTTCAGTTTATCTTATTACAGTCATTGATTAAAAAAAAAAAAAAAATTAACCACTTTTATTTTTTATTTATCTCAATTGTTAACTTTTAATGACATGATATATCAATAAAAGTAGTTAACTTTTAATTTAATCTATGAATTGTAAATAAAATATTAAATTAATTCACAAATTTTAAATAAAATATCAATTCATTGTCGACAACTAGATTTTTGTCATCGATCACTAGCAATCGTCGTTGTCGACAACCATTGAACCTAAAATTTTCAATTCATTTCATTTTGATCTCTTAAACCTAAATATAATATCTATTTTCTTGAAAATTATCTTAAAATCTACGAATATAATATAAAATCTTTAAAAATTCTCTAAAAATAAATAATAATAATAAAATTTTTATTAAATTTTGAAAATAAAAATATCATAAATTTAAATTTATACCATAACACATTCATATTATAGTCAACCCTAAATCTATTTTCATCTATTCAGTTTTAGTTACTGGGAGGTTGAATATAGATGAGGTTACACCGTACAAGGTATTGACTGTAGAAGAACTGTAGTGGACACGTGTTGAGGTGGCATCCATTTGTAGTTGGTGTGGTTATTTACGTGGCATATTTTGATTCCTCCATTTGTTGTATCAGTTTTAGTGGCAAAGGGACCTCCAAGCAAGGGGAAGTCGCTAGCTGCTCCTAGACTTGGCTGCAGTAATTAACTTTGACTTAACTAATAATGATCTAATTATTAAACAAAGCTCTAACTTTTCTTTCTCATATTCACTCATCCAGGCCACTCCAGAATCTACCTCTACTTCTACAATATACTACTACAAATCACAAACAAATTAACAACAATCGACTAAGAGGAAGGACACATTGTCAATTAACTTGAGCATTTAATTAATCAAGGCTCATTTTGTAAAGGAAATTAAGCAAATATAATTTGAACAAAGTTGGTTCATTCTTTTGTATTGATTCTCACAAGCTACTGATTATACATAGGATCTGTTTTGTCTTTAGACCATGAATTGCTACTAATCATAACTGTTAGATAAAGCCATCAAAAGAAAAGCAGCTTGTTCTTCCTCTCTCAGTTTGCTCTTCAGTTCCCCATTTCCCAAACGATGCACTCTTGCAAAGGTCTCGATGCCGCTTCGGCTCACATTGATTCCTCTTTTACTTTTGCTCTTTCCAGTTCTACCATCTCTGTTTAAACAGAGAAGGCCAAGGCTTTTCTTTCTGTACCTGATTCCACATGCATTGCAAAGTGACTTTGCAAACAAACAAACCCAGAATCAGTGGCAAAACAACACCAAAACATAATACAAGGGTTATTTTTGTGTGGATATAATTCATAAATGATGAAGAAGTTTACCCTAGGGCCAGCTGGACCACCTCTCCAAAGAGGTGTTCTGGTTGTATTACACTCCACGCATCTTCTGTTTATCTCCTTGTACTCACTCTGCTGTAAAATATGCATGTTTCTGATCGACTACAACTTGGTGCTTTACAATGATCAAAGTAGTTTACAGTTTTGATCAAGAGTTGTAAAGGAGAACAAATGATCTAAATTAGACAAGTTTTAGCTCTAAAAGAAGTTGAAAAGAGGGGTGGGATTGGAGGGTTTACAGCAGGGGAGAAACAGAGCACAACACAAGCTGAGCATTAAAAACAGACAACTTATGAATAGATTACATCAAGCAATGACACTTGGATTTTAGATAGGCGTATTTATATGGGGTATCAGATACCCTAGTTTCAATATTATCTTTCCATAATACCCCTGGTGCCCTTAAAATATTGAGTGGAACAAATATCCATGGGAAGTTTAAAACAACTTATGTATTATCTTTACACAAAAAACATTCGAATGAAGCATCTGAGTTTTGACTTCAAGATTGTCCATAGGTGATTGAATGAATCTACAGATGAGAGGGATATACTAGAAAGAGCCAGAATCATGACAAGTTACTTTTTTTTGTTGTTGATAAATTTGGTATTCCCTAACGAAAAGATAAACGATACCAGAACAGACAAAATCCGACCCGAATATTCTGGTTTCATACAACAGACGGAGCCACCCATTAGATACATCTTTGTCTGTAGCACCAGACAAAAAGGTGCATCCAGTGAAGAACATACAAGTTGCAACTTGGATTGGAACCTCTCAACCCATCATTTTACATGTAAATTTGTAGTGAGTTTGATCCAAATGTATTAAAATATTACAAAATGAAACTACCCACCAACATATTTGAAAAAAGAAAGGGTGGCATGGCATGGTACTTTTACTATGCATTCTGCTCCCCACTAATAATTTATCTTCATTAATTTAATTTGTTTCCTGTACTTTTGTTTTCTTCAAAATTTAATCTACAATTTGACTTTAGGTATGACTTTCTTTTAATGTTTAAACTTTTATTTTATCTTATGTTGGTACATAAAATATCTCTGCTATAATTTTTAGTCCATAAATTAAATATAAATTTTTAAAAAAATCCCAACGTCACCTTCCCTTAATTTATTTTCCATTCAATTGGATGAAAATATAAGGCATTGTTTGATTGAATGAAAATTTTATTGAATGAAAATTTTATTGAATTAAATATATTAGAAAATAAGAAAATAACATTTCAATCGTACACTGACATGTATCATGTCACTTGTCGTTAATAACATATGCCACCATGTTGTTAGAATATTAAATTAACTAAATTAAATTAAAATTAAGATCACATTAATAGACTATGCAAGTAATGAAACTAGTGATGGGCATGGGTCGGGTCGGGTCAGATGTTCGGTCAACTCAACCCAACTCAAAATTATACATCCTCCACCCAAACCCAACTCGAAAAATATACATCCTCCACCCGACCCGAATCTGACCTGATTTTTTAGATGAAATCCGAACTCGACCCGATCTAATCCGAAATAATATATTTATTAAAAAAATATTTTTATTCAATAAAAAATAAGGATTTAATTGAAAAAATAATATATATATATAGGGCATTATTGTAATTATCCCTAAATATAAGGGTAAAATTATTTGTTTTTCTAGGGTCGGATCGGATTGGGTCGAGTATTTTTCATCTTAAACCGAACCCAATCCGACTCCAAATTTTTTTAAGAAAATTCTGACCCGATCGAGTCGAGTCGAAACCCGCCAGATTTTGATCTCATGCCCATCCCTAAATGAATTAATATATAATTATGTCAATTTTTAACTTACATCAACTCTTTCATCAAATGCTAATGGAAGGGTCTTAATTAATAACGTTTAAATAATTAAATAGATTGGTTATTAGAAGATTAATAGTTGTCGGTTAAAATAAAATCCTTCTCCTATACATGTGTAGTTTTATTTATTATTAATAATGAACGCAAATGACTAAGAAAGCTTATTCTGGATTAGAATAGTTACGTTTGCATATATATTTTATTAATAAATTATAAATTTTATGACTATATATTATCTTATAATTAAATCATGTCATTAAAAAAAACAGAAAGCACGAGGAAAGCTGGGAAGAATTTACTTGATTTAGCGAGTAATGAAATGTTATGGGCCAAAGATTTACGGGTATAACATGGAGAAAACCTAAAGAAGTTCATGGGCAACAGGCCTAGAAAATTAAAATTATTGGACCCATGTTACCCAACACCTTCTTCTACATTTGCCTCCTAATTTATTGATTTTCCTTCGATTTCTTTTTTGGGTTGCAAAAAGATAAAGAGTTAATTGCAACATATTTCCCCCAAGCTATAACTCTAATTTTAAATTGGTATTTAAAATTTTAAATGTTCTAATTTCATCCCTAAACTATGACTCATTCTAAATAGGTCCATAAACTTGTGAACATTTAATTTCATCCCTAAACTATGACACTCTTTATAAATTGGACCCCAACCTTTTGAATAATATACTTTCATCCTCAAACTATGACTCTCTCTCTCAAATTTTATTAATTCATCCATCATAATATGAAATCTTACATTTATCTTTGTGCTTGAGTGGTTACGGTAAAGAGAAAGGTCTTGAATTGCTTAGCTCTCTCCTCATATTCCCGACCTTTATATGTGTGTCTTTCAATCTTGAAATATCATATTATCATGTATCATCTGATTATTGATCAGTAAGAAGAAGGGGCTAAACCCCATTGACCTAAATAGAGTGACACTATGATGTGTCAAATAGAACACAGAATTAAGATGGGATGTGAACGAAGAGTCCCAGTGAGGACGAAGAGTCCCAGTGAGGGGTCTTATGTGAACTTAACATAACATAACTTGTAATTAAGAAACCTACATGGTCATGTCAAATCTTTAAATTTTGATCTCGGTTGATGGATCTTGTCCAACACAGGCTGTTCATTGAAGTTTACTTCCAATAGAAAATGAAGTGTTCCTATCAAGGGGAAAAAAAGACAAAACAAGGTTACTTTGTTTGATCATGTACTTATCAGAAGACAGCCTGCGAAGTTTCATGAAATAGAGATAAGAAAACTCTATGATTGTGGGATCGTGCCCGTGATGAGGTCTATGGGAACCCGTTTTAGATTCGTCTTGTCCTCACAGTTTATCACATTAATTGTTTACAACTTAGAAAACAAGGTTCCTTTTGTTTAGGTGGGTCATTTGAAAGCGGTGAAGCCTTTTGAAAGCACTTTAAAAAGCATAGGGAGAAAAAAAATAGAAAAACTCAAACTGGGCCATCACCTGTACTGTGATGTCCTGTATCCCATAGAACATTCACATTTCACAGTGAAACGCCTTGAACTTCTACTTCTTTTGCGCTTAAAATCAAGGATTAAGACCTTAAATAGCATGCATTTCTACACTTTTTTTTCTTTCCCTTTTAAGCAACCCGATGGTCACCCAATATGTGGTCTAAAGAGCTAATGGCATTCGAACGAAGAAAGCTAGTGCTTGTGATTAGATTTGGGTGAAACACAAGTGAAAAAAGAGCTAAAGAAATTATTCTAATTATATCCCAGTAGGGCCGATTAAACACACTGAGTTTTTGTCGAACCAAACAACCGGAAAAGAAGGGTGATATGACACCATTGGCCGTGTTGGGGGCAGAGCTAGCCTGTTTAGGCTCTTTCATCTGCGTTTTGGGAATGATATGAAATCGTTTTTGTGATAAAGGAAGGAAACTACGGAGCACACATGAGGAAGGAACCCACTTATGTCTCACCAAAAAAATGTGGGGGCAAATAGCTTAACATCGTCAAGAATATACCGTACATACCAAACCATTCTAATCAATGTCTTCAACCGAGATGTGGCTACACACACATAACGTATAGGATTCTTCGTACAATTCAGCTGGCAGTGGCAGGTCAGACATTGTCTGAGGTTTTCCTAATCAACTGTTCGAGGGACGGTTTCCGTTAATAATCCGACTCGGGACCGCTTATCCGAATCCATGACATTGAAATAATTTGCAAAATACAATCCATGGATTTCAAAGATGCTGCAGATGTATTAGAAAAAGGAATGCATGTCAATCAAAGTTAGGTTATGGGAGACACTGTGATCACCAAAAACATTCGATAAGGCGTAAAAGATGCGAGCATGCTGCTGGCCACTCTTGTGGCAGACAACCATTCTAATCGATGAGCAACGGTGTTTCGAAACGTGTGGCTATACAGAGACAGTCATATGGTAATACAGTTTGCCTATGTCAAGTACAACAAATGATTTAGTTCTTTTCATAGTCCAATTGAAAAGATTAAAAAAAACTCATTATGTCATTCTCTATTTGTCCCTCATCAATCCCATAAGACCAAAATATTGAAAAAAAAACAGATAAAGTTCTTGTTTAATCTCCTATGGATTGGACTGCTCAAATAGGAATCTTCTTTTTTTCTTGTACAGAAACCTGAGTAAATGACACCACATTTGACCTTAGAAAGGGTAACGAGGGGATATGAATTAAGGTTGCATCAATGTCAAATTTTCACTATTAGTATGTAACATGATTTTATCACTTAATCATCTTTTCTGTGTATTGATCAACAAACAGGATAACAAAATGCAGAGACAGCATGTAACGTATTGAGATGGTAATTTATGGACTTTTATGCCTGTCCTACGCCTATTTTACATAAAAGGAACTGAAGTTGGGATTCAAAAGTAAGGGTAAACTACACGGGTGACCACTCAACTATGGTCAAACATCATTTTGACCACCGATTTTTCAATTGAATCAATCAGACCACCCAACTATTTAAATGCTTCAATCAATACACCTGCCGCTAACATTTAACGGAGCAGGTGATGTGGCAATTAAAACATTTTGATATAATTATACAATTAGTCCATGTTATTTATATATTCATTCAATTTAGTCCTAATTATAATAAATTAAAATAAATTTAATTATCACAATAGGAGGAGCCATGTGTCATTGGTGACACCTATCATGACACATGTCATCATTTAATTGGATGATTAAATTTATTTTTAATTTAATAGATTTAATTTCCACCAAATCAGAGGGTGACACGTGTCACCCTCTGTTTGAAAGAATTTTTTTGACAAAAAAATGATATATATATATATATTGTACCTTAGAATGTAAATGATTTACTCAAAATTAATAATATTTTATATATCTTAAATTTTAAAATTATCTTTTGTTTTTGTTTTAACTTATTAAATATGTTTTATTTTTATTTTAATGTAAATATATATCTTTTATCTATATCACCACTTAAAAATATATTTTTAAAAATATCTTAACTTAAAACATATTTAAATATTTTATTATTAATTTAATATAAATATACATTTTACTATTATCTTTACTTAAAATATATTTTATTCTTATTTCAAATTAAAAATATATTAAAATATATTTTGAAGTTAAGGTATATTTTTTTATTTTAAATTAAGATACAATATATATTAAAATATATTTTATTCTTATTTTATTGTATCTTATTATTATCGTAACTTTTAAGTTAAGATATATTGTATCTTATTTTATTCTTATTATTTAATAAGTTAAAATATAGTTACTATTATTTTATTCTTATATTTTAATAGTAAAAAAACTTATTATTTTATATTCTTTAAATTTGTTGTCAAAAACATTTGTTGTCAAACAAATATAAACGGTTGTCAAACACATACCAAATGGTTAGCTTCACTCAATGTTTTGGCTTCTTCAATTCCAGCCAAAGGTTTCAAGTTCGATTGGTGGAAAATAAATCTATTAAATTAAAATAAATCTACTCCTCTAATTGAATGACAACACATATTATGATAGGGACACATTATGATAGGTGTCACTACACATGGCGTCTCTTGATTTAAAGATTAAATTTATTTTAATTTATTATAATTAATATCAAATTGAAAGAATATATAAGTAATAGGGATAAATTGTATAATTATACAAAAAATATTTTAACTGCTACGTTACATACTCTAGTAAATGTTAACTTCAAGTGACTTGATTGAATTATTTAAATAGTTGGTGGTCTGATTTATTCAATTGAAACATTACCCGTGTTGTTTACCCAAAAGTAATTATGGCATCAGCTGTTCTGTTTTTGGTTGCTCTATCCTAGCTGATGACTCCTTATATCTAGGTTCTTTGAATCTGGGTTATAGAGGATGGTTAATAACAAGAAAGGAGTGGTAGTAAAGGAGAAGATTCGAGCATCGATGGTACGGAGCCTAACCTATACTCTGCTACTCGCAGCGACCTTTAGTATTTATTTTTCCGGTTCCAACAGCCAAGATTATGAAACAAACCAACCTTACTAATAGTTTGACAGCTAAAGGACTGATTCATGTATATCTCAGATCCAGCTGATAGCTCTTAGCAACCAGGACACTGCATCATTTCTATTCACGCCTAGCCATATAACCTTGTTGATGGAAGAAAGGGGTTGTGGTAGATTTTAGCGGTTTACCCTTTCTTGTTTAGGTGGAAAGCTGCATACGGTTATCCAGTGGAGGGGAAAGAGAGAATAAATGAACTGAATATGATGATAATGGTTGAGAGGATCGAGAGGGTGTGTTCTTTCTCGTCCCCAATCTTACGTGGTGATTTTATAAAGGCATAAGGATGGTTATTTGTAGGATGGTTATTAATAGGTTGACAGGATAAACAAATATAACTAACAAAATATTTTATTGATAGATCACATAGGTTTGTTGGTAGTCATGTCAAGGGACCATATCTGATGGTAAGATATGTAACTCCAAAGACTTTGAGATTCAATGGACAAAGGGAAGATGAAAGTATAATAACTTAAAGAAGAAATCTGGAAAAATATAACAAAGCTAATCTAAGCTCTTTGATTCACTCAAATATTTGATGTGCATGCTGGTGCTAGAAGGTTATATCCACGTTGAAAGTTCTTTAGTGCATGATTTCTAATAGTTTAGGGTCAACGTCTCATCTTGTGTAGGTTGAATGATTATGCAGGCAAAGAAGGCGTGGATGCGGGGAATTTGGCACATAAAAGGAGGCAGGCTAGAGGGACAATCTTAATACATCTTTGGCTGCAGTTGAGACAATGACCCTAATCCCCCCGTCTTTCTCGGGCACTTTTTTCAATGTTTCATCGTCAAATGGATCTGCTCTTGTGAAAACTGCGCCTGACAAGAGAGTTTTCACAAGCTACGGCCTTCTCTTTCTAGCATTGTACATAAATAGCATGATTACCCTTGGAAAAATTTGTAACGCCAAAGCAATTTTTTTGCTGACATGATTTACCTGGATCTTTGAGTAAGAAATTGTTACCATAGCCCTAAAATTCAGCACAACAATCATATTTTTCACTTTTCTGCTAAAACCCATTTACTCATCAACTGCCCTAATACCCTTTGAAAAAATGAAAATCAAACCAGTCTAACCTATAAATACAGGGCAGCATCAGTTTTAACATATCATACATAATCATAGCCTATTCTTCTTGGTTACAATGGCGGAGAGCTCGATCTCGACCAAGTCATCTTCAGCTGACATGGCACCGGATAAACAATCAGACCCCAAACCACCTTCGTCATTGAAGTTATTTGGTTTCTCACTAACTGAACAGAAAGATGAAGTTTTAGAGAAAGCTGAGGATTTCGGAGAAAGCAGGAAATTCGAGTGTCCATTTTGCCACCGAGTATTTTCCAACTCTCAAGCACTGGGAGGACATCAAAATGCACATAAGAGAGAGCGTCAGAGAGCTAGGCGTGCCCAGTTGCATAGCCAGCAACTGGTCATAGGCGCATCTGCGCCTGTTCTAAACTCCCATTCCATAAGGTCGATGCCGCCCACGTTTACCAGAGGGCTCACTAGCAATGGTGCTGCTGCTAAATTTGTGCTGCAACCATGTTATTTTCCTTCACAGCCACTGTTGCTTCCCTCGACTCCTCAAATTTACATAGCACAACCACAGCATTTTGGCACAGCCACCACACCGTTAACCAGATTTTCCAGTAAACTGCCGGAGGAGGACATAGGCCTCGATCTTCATCTTAAACTTTCTCCTTCAGGTTGTTAGATATCATATAATCTCTCGCTATATAATATATAAGTATACCATGGAGCTTAATTTATGCCCTTTCTGCCTTTGTATTTTCCTTTTTGGTTAAATTTTGCATGGAACGTGTATCTTTCATTGAAACATCTTTGAATGTGTTTAAGAGCTCGATCTTCCGGGCGATTCTAGTGTTCAAGCCTTATTATACCACAGATGCTTTGGAGTTGAACCTGTGAAAGTAAAACATACGAGTATTAATAATAAATTGCAGAATTTGTTATGTAGTTGGCAAACATTAAGAATGTTAAGTGGGACAACATGACATGGGGGCATGTTGAAGTATAAGAATCAAGGTACACTTGTTTAAATGTATATCTGTTGTAGTCTATTGTTAATGACTTCAGTTGGTTTTATTGTTCTTGTGCTGCACCATTGGTTCTTGGTGGTCATTGGAGTCATGTAGAGATCTAATTGTATATCTTATATTATCGGTCTTATTACGAGTTAAAAAACTCCCACATTGCAACTGAATAACTGTGTCGAATGTTACAAGAGAAATAAATGTCGCATGTTCCAAATTAACCCACAGTTTCTAGCGGTAGGTCACACCATCTCCATTCATAACTTCACCAATGCGGTAAGCTGTGTAAGCACCATTTGCATCTTCAAGTATTTTTTGCGATGCTTCCTGACTCACAACTAGAACCATGCCGATGCCCATGTTAAATGTCCGCCTCATCTCAGCATCCTCAATATTTCCAGCCTAAATATGTATCGAATAATTTTTTTTAACAAATACCATTTTCCAAGGTTCAGGTAATTGAAAAAACAAAAATTCCTAATAGAAATATAAAGCAGGGGAAACAATTCAATATTTATGTATGAAAAAAAGACATCCTACCTGTTGTATCCATTTGAACACAGCCGGAACATTCCAAGAACCGCTATAGATGACAGCGCCAAGGTCTTTTGGAAACACTCGGGGTATATTGTCAGTAAAACCACCACCTGTGATGTGCGCCACTCCCTTGACCCCTCCCTTTCCGATCAGATCTAACACCTGGACATGGAAAAGGGTTTTAGTTTGCAAATTGTGCACGGGAAGATGAGACCAAACTCGTAGTGTCAAACAAATGTTGACTATAACCTGCTTAACATATATAACAGTCGGTGCCATTAATGCTTCACCTAATGTGACTGCTGCGCCAGGAAGTCGATCCTTTAAAGAAAGACCACTACGAGCCAAAACCCTACAGAAGATCTCAAGTACATCAAAAGGATTTCATGCACTGAAACAAGATCTCTTAAAAAAAAAGAAAAAAAAGAATAACAACTATATCAAAGAATCATAGTACATTTCTTTACAAAGGTTGCTAACCTTCTAACAAGAGAGGAACCATTTGAATGGACTCCACTAGAAGGTAGGCCAATTAGTACATCTCCAGCTACAATGCTTTTCCCATCTATAACTGAATCCTTTTTGACAATGCCTACTGCAAAGCCACTAAGGTCGTACTCGCCCTTTGCATAAAAGTCTGGCATCTCTGCTGTCTGAAAGACATGCAAAACACATGAGTTGATATAGGAAGTTAAAAATGTTTATAGCAATTTCTAAACATATATAAGACTTGAAAGGGCTTAACGGCACATAGGCAAAATGCATTTTGCATATATGACCCTCAACTCAAAGCAAGTTGCTGGGTTAAGAAAATCAACCATTTGTGGTGTAAATTATTACCATAAACATTATTCACGTCATTATTGATTTCATATGCAGTAATTGCTTTATCCGAGATACAAAAGTTTTGTTAATTGCGACCATCCCTTGTGATTGCACGGCTAGTAATAGTTCATATCAAAATTCCCTAACTATTTCATTCCTGAACCTATAAATTTTCAAATTTCAATAGGAAATCAATACCCATCCCACTCATTAGGTAATACATATGAACTAAAAATAAAATCATGTACCTCTCCGCCCAACAGAGCGCAGTCAGATTGTTGACAACCATCTACAATTCCTTTTATAACCTGAAAAACAACAAACCAGGGAATGATGATTATTAATAATAGTTAACCAATGAGATTTATCCACATTCAGAATAACAGAAGTAAACAAAAAAATGTGAACCTTTTCAGCAAGGTCAACATCAAGGTGACTTGTTGCAAAATAGTCAAGGAAGAATAATGGCTTTGCTCCATAAGTAACAATGTCATTGACACTCATTGCAACCTGAAGTTTAAGTTTATTAGGATGGAAATATTGATTTATACAGAAAATGCATACATCAAGGTTTGTTTCAAGCTTACAAGATCAATCCCAATAGTTTCATGGATTCCAGTCTCAAATGCTAGCTTGAGCTTGGTTCCCACACCATCAGTCCCAGCAACAAGGTATGAATCACCTGTACATACGACCGAAAGTCGAGAGCATCAACAAACCGAGACTAGATTTTCCAAATGAACAATAAATGAAGACAGTTTCAATAAACATATAACAGTGGAAGTACTAGCAATTTAATTTTTCTAAATAATGACACGACTCACGAGTGAATTGTAGTAAAGAGAACTTCAATAAAATTATGGTGCTTGATAATTTCCCAACAATATCACATGGTTAATTGAGAATTATATTAAGCTATTCCATCTATAGCTAACAAATCCATAAAAAGTTGCAAAAAAAAATCCATAATCTTATATATTGAAAGAACAAATGGGAAATCAGCCAGCAGGTCGGTTTAACAGTGGTTTAAAAATTTTAATTTTCCTCATTCATTTAAAAGAGCTCCATTTAAATGCAAAACAGAACGAAATTATAATAAAAAGAAGTTGTACGAATGTTACCGAGTGGGTAAAGGCCGCCAAAACCACCGATACCAGGAGCCATCTTAGCGATTCTTCTAACCAGCTCAGTCCCAGCATCAATGTCAACACCGGCATCCTTATAAGTTAGCCCACCCGACCCGTCAGAGTCCTTGGACATGGACCGCAAGCGGCTGCTATTTCTTTTTATCAGTGATAAAGAAAGAAGCGGAAACCTTGGCAAGCGGTTTGGTCGAACTTCAAAACGAGGTTGAGCAGCAATGGTGGGCTTATCGAGAATGAGTCTGGAAGAGGCCGCTACGCAGCGAGATAGTTCAGCGTTTGCAGCTGCCACAGTCTTGGTCATGGCAAAAGGAAGAATAAAAGCGAAAGTGGCGTAGGATGAAGGAACAGTAATTTCAACAATACAGAAGACCGAGAGTGAAAAGAGGGCTTCGGCTAAGTATTTCTTTCGGGTGAGTACTTTTCTTAAGATATTGCCTTGATTAATTACTTTAAATCTCGTATTTAGATTTGGTAAATAAATCTTTAACGAAATTATTTTAAATATATAATGATTTAAACTTAATACCTACTTAAATAATGTGAAATTAATTACCTTTTAAATTAATCTCGTTAGTAAATTGAATAAAACCTTAGGTGTTTTAATTCACACAAATTCTCAAACTTTAAAATTTATAATGACACTTATATTAATTGAATTAATACACATAATTATTTTACAAAACATATATTCTATTCGATTAATAATATTTAACGTTTGTTGAATATTAAATTTAATCAAACTCGTAATATGAAAATTAATTTTTACATTAAAATATATTTTAAAACTTATTCAATAATGATCAAATCAAGTAATATAAAGAATATGGAAAGATAAACTTACCTTATATAATATTACCTAGGCTAAAGTACTCAAATGGTCCTTCAATTATAGGGTACTATTTTATTGAGTCATTCGACTATTAAAACTTACAAAATGATTTTTCGATTATAGGACGTTGCTTTGTTGAGTTCTCCAATTATTAAAAGTTATAAAACGGTCACCTGACAATTCATATGTTTCAAACTCGATATTTTTTGTTAAAAATTGACGAATGCTTGAGTTATACGTTAACATGTTGACTAAGATATAATAAAATTTGATCCCATAACCATTTGAGTTGTAATCGGCTCATCGAAGTCAATATTTGAAAGCAATTGTGATACTAGTAGGCGTCATTAAAATATGATTTTATCATATCACAATCAACATGTTAAAATCCAACTCATACGATCATCGATTTATAAAAATAATTTAATAATTTTTATTTAAATTAGCATTCAATAAATCAATGATAATAACTTAACCAAAAGTTTAAAAATTTAAAAAATATAAATATCATCCGTAGTAACAAATTAAAATGGATAGATTATTTTTCATTGATGGTTATAAATTACCTGAAACCACATGATAGTATTTTTAGAAATAAATCTAAAAAAAAGGTTTTTTAAGGCCCAATAATCTGATTGCTACGGAAGCCCAAAATGGTTGATAGCAGGTCCATTCACCTACCACTACTTTATCATACCCTCCCGTATTTTCATTTTTTAAATTTTAAATTTAGATGAATTAAAGCGAATTAAATATTTTTAAAAAGACTATATCATTCTTTATAATAGACCCTTTCTTGATTTTAAAAACTAAAATTTTAATTATTGTTTTTCTTATTTACAATATTGGAATTATTTAAAAAAAAAGTATTGGTCAATCCAAAAAGTAAATGATATTTTTACGAGAGAGAGTAATTAAGAAGCAGAAATAAATATGTAGATGGAAATGACCATCCAGTTCAGTTGGTAGAGCACAAGGTTTTTAACCTTGAGGTCGTGAGATCGAGTCTCACGGAGGACATTTCATAATTTAGAAGTCTCTTACGGAAGCTGTTCTAAACCTGGTGTTAGCACGTGCCGCCACGTTTGGTAACACTTCCTCTCATGTTACCGCCCTGACAACTACTCCTTCCCCCTTCCTTTCCTTCTATAATTCACATTTTTTGTTGTTGCCATGTATACCCTCCGTAATCTAATCAACTATTCGTGGTTTAGTCGGTTTCCTTTAGTTACTCGTTGTTTTATCATAGAGTTTGTTATGTTATTTTCATGGTTTTTCAATTTTTAAAGGCTTAAAAGTCAAAATAAGTACTTAAATTATGCTTCTTTTTGCTTTAAGCCCTTACATTATTTTTTAGTCAGATTAACTCCTTAAATTATTATATTTAATTATTTTAAGTTCTATCATTTTTTTAGTTAGAAAATAATTTTTTGACATATCACAAAAAATTAGTTATTTGTTTTGACCAAAAAATAGTTTAGGGGCTTAAAACAAAATAAGTCATAGTTTAGAAATTTATTTTGACAAAAAATAGTTTAGGTACATAGAGTGGTTACATATAATAATTTAATGATATATTTTGAACAAAAAATAGTTTAAGGGATTAAAGCCAAAAAAGAGTATAGTTTAAGGATTTTTTTAATTTAAGTAATTTTTAAAATCATGGATAGAATTAATCGATAATATTAATTTATATTTTATTTTAGGATAAAGTATTTAAATGATTTCCTAACTATAAAGTGATGATTTGATTGGTCATCCGACTATTAAAAGTTAAAGAACGAGCACATGACTATTCATATATTTTAAACTCGTCTTTTTTTATTAAAAAATGACGTCCGTTTAAGTTAGGCGTTAACTTGTTGACCAGAGTATGATAAATTTGATAACAGAACCATTTGAGTTGTACTTTTGGATCGACTCTCCATTTATCGAACGTCTTTAAGCCAATGCTTGTAATATTATGTCGTCTAGCCAATACTTAAAATCAACGACGATGTCAATCAACATCATTAGAATATAATTTTATCTTATCTTATTCAATATGTTAACATTTAGTTATGACAACTGTCGAATTTTTTAATAAAAAGGGACGAGATTGAAACATATGAATAGGTATATGATCATTTTCTAACTTTTAATAGATAGAGACTCGCCCAAACAACGGCTTAGAGAATTATTTTATAATTTTTACTAGTTAGAGAACTCAACAAAATAACACCATATAATTGGGGACCATTTATAGAATTTACTCTTTATTTTAAATGTTTATATTATTTAAATGATATACAATTAATAATTTAAATGGGTAATTCCGAACATCAAATACCAAAAAAAGAAGGGGGGCATATTGAGAGTATATAAAAAACAAAGAGTCCAACCTCCAACTTCCATTATTGTCGTTAGTCTTAAATAGCAACCTGCGCCTTCCTCCTCCTCCGTATGCATTTCTCCTCGCTCCCTGCGCACTGTCTCCATTATTACGTGCCCGCAAGCGACTGCACCACCATCGCTTACTTCTAAATCTTATCTAAACCATTTTTTCTCTCTCAATATGGATTTAACTCAAAACCTCCACAATAATCAAACTCAAACTGCAACTCACCTCTCTTCTTCTTCTTACAATGATGGCGACCACACTGAAACCCCACGTTTAAGTGAAGACTTTGATTCAACCTGCTCCACTCCCTACGTTAGTGCACCGTCGAGCCCCGGCCGTGGCCCCACGTCAGGATACTTTTTCAGTGCGCCGGCTAGTCCCATGCATTTCATTTTGTCTTCTGCTCCTTCATCAAATTCTCATCTTTCGTCAGAGTCCTCGTTAATATCGGCGCAATACGATGCTTCGTCTTTCGAGTTCGAGTTTTCGTCTCGCTTTTCCAGTAATGGCTCTGTCACCGTTGGATCCATGTGTTCGGCTGACGAGTTGTTCTTGAACGGCCAGATCAGGTCCATGAAGCTCTCTTCTCACTTGCAAAGACCTCAGAATCTAACTCCTTTATTAGACGTTGACGTCGAGGAAGACGACGACGGTCCAAACAAGCAAGAAGCTTCACGAGGAAGGGATCTGAAGCTCCGAAGCAGATCGCTCCATAGAAAGGCGAGATCTTTATCACCGCTTCGAAACCCAGAGTTCAAATGGGAGGAAGATGAGGAGTGTAGCAGAGAAGATCGTAAAGTAGTCAGTAAGCTCATTTTAGAAGGCTTGAAAGAAACCGACGTTTCAAAGGAAACGACACCGTCTTCATCAAGATCTTCATCTTCAGGCAGAAACTCCAAGAAGTGGATATTCCTGAAAGGTCTTCTGTATAGAAGCAAAAGTGAAGGGAGAGCGAATGGGAAGGAAAAGTTTTGGACTTCCATTTCGTTTTCATCATCCAAAGAAAAAAAGATTCAAATGGAACAGGAAAAGCCTCCACCTTTGAAACGTAAGCAAAAGGAAAACAAGCAAGGCGCGGGCAAGAAATCAAGTTCCGGGAAACCGTCAAATGGGGTAGCAAAACGACGAGTCCCTCCGTCGCCGCATGAGTTACACTACACCACAAACAGAGCTCAAGCCGAGGAAATGAAGAAGAGGACTTACTTGCCTTACAGACAAGGATTATTCGGTTGTTTAAGCTTCAGTTCGAAAAGTTACGGTGCACTTAACGGTCTCGCCAGAAGCTTGAATCCAGTCTCGTCTAGGTAACTAACGGTTACGGTGCCGGAACCGATTCCAAAAACAAGTCCTTTCTGTGTATAGTTCCTTAAAATTATTATATCATACCGTCTTTATGTATTACTCTAATCTTAAGGTAGCCTATTGGACAAAGAAGCTATTAATCAACATTGTTAAAGCTTCTTTTTGTTGTGATTACGGAACTTTTAAGTTTAATCAGTGGTACAACAGATTATTTTGCTGTTTGGACTTGTGGGTTTTTTCAGACTAGAGAGCATGACATTGTTTTGGTAGGGTAGTGCTTGGATTTACGTGAGTAAATCGATTTGTGCTGTGGAAATAGTGAAAGTGATCATGTGGGACGGCGACAGTGTAGAAAATTAGCTGAGACCCACATGGATTTTGTAGCTGATGTTGGTTGAGCTGTAAGCATTTGGTATTATCTTGGGAATGAACTCTCATTGGACCCACATGGGGAGACCATTGTGTGTTAATGATATGACTCGTCTGTGTTTGATGGGAGTTGTTGGGGATAAATTTTTAGTCTTCGATCCCTATTTAATTGGCACCACATTTATCCTTTGTTAGGTAAACTGAAAGTGCCCACATCGTTGAAGATATGCACATGGGCACTGAGGTCAATATAATGGGTGTTTTGTTTTTTCAACTTATGGGAACATCGATTATTATTGAAGAGACTGATTTAATTTATGATCTTAATAACATGGAAAACATCTCAGATAATCTGACAATAAACTAAGGACTTAATTTAGCAAGTTCGGGCAACGTTAATTTGCGAGGGGTGTTGCGTGGTCTCGTGGGTGTGCAGTTTCGCCTCAGATATTTTTCGCCAATTGCGCCTACGTCCGAATATCAAACTTTGATTTTTTATGTTCCCTATTTCCATATATATTTGTATTCATTTACCAATTTGTGTAGACGTAGGGTTTCTTTTTCTCTCACTTATTTTTTTCTGATGATTTTTATTTCTTTTCTTAAAATTTTATAATTTTAAATAAGAATTGTGACACATTTTCTCTACTCTGGCACGTTTTTTCTTTACTTGTGTTGCACATTTTTTTTTTATGTTTTTAGTATATTTTATGCATACCTTTACGATCGTGTTGATGAACACAATGATCTTCACGATATCTGTTTTCTGATTGATTTGTCGGTGGTCACGTATTATCAGGTCTCCTCTTTGGTAAAAAGTTGTTTGTTAATATAATCAGAACTGTGTAGCGAAGCAGCCGGTCGAATTGTTTGATTAGTTTACCACTCTTTTATTATTTTATAAAGCGTATCGTTCGACAGAGATAATGAGTTTTATGAAAGTTATTTGGTTCTATTGACGTTGACGTGATTCTCGATGAAAAATTGTTTTTCTTCGTATATTTGGGTTTAATATTTTTGTTTTATGTATGATTTTTTGTGGTTATTGTTCTCATTTTTCTCACTGTTTAGGTAGGTTATAATTTTGATTATTTATTTTTTTATTAATAAAATTTAGTTGTTATTGTTAAAAAAAAACTTGTATGCAAGGTAAATAAACATTTATCAAATGATTGAGAATTTTTAGATAAATATTAATTTATATTTATACCATATTAATAAAAATAACTTGTATGCCTTTTTGATCCTCTTGATTAACTGGACACACTACAAAAACGATTGTTAATTGTGAAGTTTTAAGCCACTAATATAGATTGGCCGATCACCCCTTGGTTTAGAGCCCGCATTAAGGCCTTTTACTTTTCTTTTGGTTCCATTTATACCCAAACGTTATGATCACCAGGTTAAGTGTTTTCCAAATACATCAGGAAAATTGAATTTATATGTTTTGTGGATTCTGCAAATAAGTGAAGACGATTGCGGTAGCACTTAACGTCGGGGAGTAGAGGTGCACAAAAAATTTGAATATTTGATTTTGCATAAAAAAATATCCGAAATCGGATTTGGGAAAAATCGGTTTTTTTTAAACCGGATCGAATATTTTAAAACCGGATAGTATAATCGGTTTGGGAAAAAATTGGACGACCGGATTTTTTTTCGGATTAAAAACCAATTTGAAAAAAACCGGATAAAATAAAAAACTAGTTTTTTATTTGAAAAAAAATTCGGTCTGGGGTTTAAAAAATTGGATGACTGAATTTTTTACCGGATTAAAAACCGTTTTTTTTTTAAAAACTGGTTTTTTTCAAAGCGAAACCGTTTACACCGGTTACATCATCCGGTCTTCCAAACCGGTTATGATCCGAACCGATTTTTTAACTTGGTGACAAAACCAAATCAATTTTTATTCGATCCAGATCGAATTTAAATCTGACTATATGCATCTCTACCCGGGAGGCCTCTTTTTCTATCAGATCATTCATTTATTACTACTATTATTCTTTCTATTGCGATGTTGAGACTTTGGGTACATCATTTAATTTGCCTTGTATTTTTGGGTAACTTACGTTCAATATCACTTAACTTTATGTATAGTTTTTACTATTGAATTTTAAATTATTTTAATCCGAACACTGAATTTTAATCACTCAAAATTGATAAAAAAAAGTTTGGCAATCAAATACTTTGATCTGGAGAGACTGATTTTAAGGTATACAATTCATATTTTCAGAAGAATGCTTTTCACAACTTAATTTTTTGAACAAACACATCAAATCTCTCGAATATGAAATAACTTTGAAACCCCAAGATAATAAATTTTGTAATTAATTTCGTAAAATGTTAAAGAAGTTTTGAAAAAGAAAATCAAAATTAATAAAGTGATGAAAGACAATTAAACAAATTTATCAATGATCACCAAAGACATCAAAGAATGCCCATTTTCAAAAACAATTAAAAATTGAAAAAAAAAACTCTAATTTTAAAATTAAGGCCAAACTATCACATCATCCAACTGTTAATCATTTATGGTCTGTGCTTTAATTGAATTCGAAATTAAAATCCAATGTTAAAATTAAATTAATTTAAAGTTCACTGAAAAAATAGATACAAACCCTAAAATTCAACGGCATTAGAAACCCAAATATTAAAAAAAGACACCGAGGAAGACGATGAAGATGATTAAGCAAAATGAGAAAGTTTTGTTCCCTCAAATTTATATGGGTTAAACACCGATTAACAGATTTCACTAGGAAGCTATCAGAAGCAAAATCCGTATATCTGATACTCAATTTCTAATGAACTCTTTCTAGTAATTGCTTCTGAGAAACTCACGACTCAGATTATTTCGATGGTCGAAAGCTATCATCTGCCTTCGGAGGGCGATTTTCAAGGTGAAGCATGCAACGATACAGATGCTCTAGGTCTTGGACACAGATCTTCTTCACAGTTATTTCCCTTTCCAAGTCAACCAAATATCCAATTTTAAGCGCCCAGTCGTCTCGAGCATTGCCATTTTCGGTCATTGGCAGTGAGGGAGACTCAATATGTTGTAAGTGAGCTGACCATTTGGAATCATCCTCGACTATAGAGTTCAATCTAACAATAAGAAAATCTACAATGTTAGTTTGAACCAACTTACAACATGCCAGTATCAGTGTTTATATAACAAATAGCCTAAATACTACTACTAATCTTGCTGCTTATAATGATAATAATAACAATAAAGCAAATATTCATCCTGCATAAACTGAACACAGGAGAAAAGATAGATTCTACTGAAACCTATATCTAACATTCTATATAATATTGTATCCAACTTAATGAGTACATGGAAAAAAATGTTATAAAAGAAACTATCTGAAAATAGTGATTATTGTTACTCAAACCATAATATTGGCAAGACCTACCAAAAGCAAAACATTTCTTGATAGCATTGAATGGGTTGAAATCAGAAGAATTTATATATTTAATGAGAAAAGTATCAATAATTTTGGACATGTCAAACACTATTAATTAAGGTAAACAGAAGGGGTCCACTTTTATCATTTTAACTAGATTAAAACTTGGCTTTCAAATGTGAGATTCATATCTGCATAGAGAATTTCCATTTATATTAGACTAACCTCAACCTGCTTGCTGCTCACCCCTCTCCTAGAGGAGCTTATGCACTCGACTTGTTACCGCTAAACAACTAAGCCAAGAGAGGAAGTTCAATTAGCTAATCAGCGATTTCGACATAAACAAACTTCATATGATTTCTGATTCAGATATGAAAACACCCTAGCTCTCCCACACTAGAGAGAAATTCCTTTCAAAAGAAGCGGAAGAATCTCCTCATGGTTTCAAGAGCAAAATGTTTCATTTTAATATCCATTTCTAGTATGGCACTTAATTACCTATTACTATCGTGAAAATATAAAAGCAACTAGAACAAAGCTCAGTAAGTGACTACCATTTCCAACAAGAAAAGTGCTAATAAGCTTATTAAAACTTCAATTTCACTCAGATAACTGCCTCTAGTCTTCATACATGTTCCACTTCCATATCACCACAAGGGTAACAACAAACATGCATGACCGCGATTATATCCAACATTAACAAAATTGTGAACATTTCTTACTTTTTTAGTATGGTCTCTGTGTCTGTCCTGCAGTTCACACTAAATGAGGCATCCACAACATCCTCTTTCATCCTCACAAGACCCTGCAAAAGACCACATGATTTGCATGTAAAGTGTATTGCTGATTCTGTAGTCTCTAAGCCGATGTTGGTAATTCTAATTATAACAGTTTCTGAAGACTGCAGTGGCCAAATACGGAGAGAGACTTCCTTTACTGTTATATGGCCCATGGATAATGCTTTCTCCCTTGCCTTCGCTTTCTGGAAAAGCATAGCATATATCAACACTTAATTATGTTCAGCCCAAAAGGATAGGTGACAATAAGGGAGGTTGGGGAGACAGATGGAAAAGAAGGAAAGTCCTGAATTCAAGAAAGAAAAATACCTTAAATTCAATGTCACAACAATCAAATCCATTTGGAACTGATCTCTTGGAAGCCTTTGAGACCTTGCCAAAAACTGAAATTGCTTCCTTCAACTCGAGACAGTTGATTATAGAAGGTACATTCTTAATCGAAACAGAATGTGAAGTTCTAAAATTACATCTTTCGTCATTATCGTTCTGAAGGTCTGGAGAAGGAACAGAAGACTTCCCAACTTTACATGATGCATCCTTGATGTTAAGGCGGCTGTCTGTCTTAAAAGGTGACCCATTTAACTTCTGTTTGGCACCATTGGTATTCTAAAAGAAATGGAGAATTTGGATGGTGATCAAGTCAGAGCATAATTGACAACATGGAAAGTGGTAATAGCAGTAAAAGTTTATTCATTAAACATGCGTTAGCAGCAAGATGTCACAGAAGGAAAATACACAAAAACAATGCAGGAATGATCGCACACATGCAGCCCAGCTCAGACAAGTTTGGCAGTAGAGAGAGGAAAAGAAATGCCAGGAATGCTTACCAGAAAATATTCAGGCTTTCCTGTCTTCAGTTTCTGAATAACACCTCCAACCCTTTCCACTGGTAAGCCTAATTCTGCAAAATCGTCATCATCTGTTGAAGTATGCAATGACCTCTCTAAGCTCCCAAACCTTTTTGTTTGGATGCTGCAACCACTCTTACATAAGATAACCTCATACGTAATATGTGCAAATAGAATCTACAAATCCCAATGTTAGGTACATAATGAACTAATCGTCTAAGATTTAAATCAGGAAGTGCACTACTTGAATGTATAGAAAACAAAACAACTGCTTGATGTGGAACCTAGGATATGAGAAAACCTCAAATATCCAAATTTAGCAAATCAGCAATAAAATAAGGTTTTAGAAAACAAGAAGATAATTGTAATGTATAAAAAATAAGCTTTATTACATAATTCCCTTCTGCAATTATCTAACACCCAATCTTAATCCTAGTTTATAGCTTTCAAATGCCTAGCAAAATAAAAATGACTTACTACTACTAAAAGATAAACCCTTCACAGAATTACCCAGAAATGTTTTTTTTGTCAAACACCATTCCCGCTGGATCATTACCCATCATGATATTAAACTTAAGAAACTACCCACAAATAAATTGTCAAGAATCGGGTTTACATAGTCTCCTCGTAAACAAACAAGCTTGAAACTTATGTGGGAAATGTTGAAACTCCTTTTCGCATCGTTCGGTCAATTTATACCGTAACACACAGAATGATTAGCATTAAGACGGAAAATTTGCTAACGAAACCTAAAAATACATTAAACAACAAACTAAGTCGTAACGAAATAAGCAGAGAAACTTGCCAAGTAATAGGAAGTGCTATTTTCCTCGGTGAAACAAGACCGCTATAACCTGGGGGAAATTATTCAGTGTGTCAGTTTCATCGTTTTGAGTTTATGACGAGTTAAAAGTAGTGAAGAGGGGGGAAAGGCTACAGTTTTTTTAGCACTTACCGGTGAGTAGACGAAAGACTGAAACTCGGAATCTGCACTTAAGCATCTCCCCCGAGCTTTCTTGCAGCGCTCTTCACCTACGAACATAGGAACGACTGCGTTTAAAACCATTCTCTTAAATCGTGTATTTATTTTTGGTTAAACTCTAATCATGGTTACTCAACTATTATCTCATTTCTTGTTTAGTAAATAAATCATGAAAAATTATAATCTAGTCACAAATATTTTTGGGTTTCTCTTTTTTCTATCACTGGCCTTAAATCATTTTGATTGCTTAATCTCAACAGAATTTGGTTTTCAAAATCATTGAAATCATAAATTGATTCAATCTAGTATCTATTAATCGGTCGAGTGATTATGTTCATTTTGTCTCATTTTATATGAATTTGAATATTGACATTTAATTTAAAAATATAGTATTTCTACGTAATAAAAAATGACAGAGTTCTTTCACTCAAATGAAACTGTTCAACACTTAATCCTCTTTTCCAAAACACATATATTCCGATTTCATCTTGCACATTTTTTTTTCCTTTTTGGTGAAGAAAGGAAGGAAATAACAAATTACAATAGACTCAGATTTGCCTGGAAGCCGTGCCCACAAGCTATACTATCTATAATTCAGGTGGAGGATTTATGATCTAGATTGTCTCCCATGAGACATGGCATACAGACCCCATTTAATCTGATTCAAATATCTCTTCGATTCGTCTCAATTGCGGAAATATTGACTTCCATTGTTGTCTTGTTTGTAATATCTCTTCATCTTAATCATCTGAATAATCTTTTGTATGATTAAATTAATTAAAAATAAATTGATTTCATAATTTACTTACTTATCTGTTAAATTAATTAAAATTATATATACAATGATTAAATTATACAATAAAATTAATATAAATAATATTTTTTTCGTAAATCAAATATCTATTATAACATTCTACCATTCAATCCAAGACAGGAGGTTGACCATCATCGAATGTATAAAGTCCAGAAGTGGGTTCAAAGGTAAAATCATTCATCTGGACTTAACGGTACCATTAACAAATCACGTTTCTTGGATTTTTACCACCAATTTGAGGAAAAGGCTGCTTTTAAGTTATTATTGTAATAAGCCATAAAATATGTACGCTTCTTATCATGCCCGGCATCTCAGAGATTCGACTCGACGGGGCAGCATCGATAATCCATCTTTCCCTTGTCTTTTACAAAACTGTACTATAATTATAAAACCGTAAAGGAATCATTACACGTAGAACAAGAATGATGTAGAGTTGTACACAAAGGCATGTGCCTCTCCTTAAGTTACCCACGGAACAAAAGGGAGCCTTGATCCAAAACCAAGAGCACTTGCTAAAGCTTTACTGTAACAGTTTGCGTTTTCTTTTTCTGCTTCAATTAACATACAGTATTGTTCAGGCTTCACAAATAATAATAAAAACACCCACGTTTAGATCATTGGAGATTTTGGTATTTACTGTATGGATTTTGATATTAAAGTAATATCATAAAGATATGACCTGAACCCTATCACTCTGATCATATTATTCAAAAGTAGAATTGTAGAAAGGAACAAAACAAATCGGTGAAATTAGATATTATTTTGATACAATAATTGGCCTACAGCCACTAGCCATTAGGATTTGATTTCACTGAAATTGCCTTAGCCATTAGGTGAAGTTAATTAACTGTAGCAATAAAGTATTAGCAGGTTCATGGATTACTCAAAATTGGTCTACAACTGTTAAAAGTTCATGAGAATGATCCTTCAACTTCAACCAGTGTTTTCCACCACCAGTTAATTATTCTGGATCGAGTATTGTATAAATTCATTCTAAGAGCGACCCTCCGCCAATTTATTCCATTCAGAAATATTAATTTTATTATTTTAACAAAGACAAGAAGGGACTGGAAACAAAGACATGTTTGTTTCTTGGGTGTCTGTTCACATCTCTAAGTGAACAAACAACAGCAGAGCATTAGGAGAAACAAATGTCAAGCAGACATGAACCCTTCATCACAAAACTCATTCCATTGAACCACACACTCCCAGTTTCAATCCAGAGTTACCAAGCTTACAGTCATCAATGAAGCATCAATTTGTCGAGAAATAGAAATCGATCCAGTCCCCAAAATCTCCATAACAGTCCACATTCTATACTTTCTCATTATTGGCTGCTATTTTGATCGGACTCGGATCTCCACTCATCTGATCTCTCTTATCAGCACCGACAGTGACTCTGTTGGTCGAATCCCCATTGGTTTGTAGCAATACATCATCCATAATATCATAAAAAAACAGCACCCCACTGCCACTGCTTTCCATACTTTCTCCATACACAGTGGTAAAAGTTTCTTTTTCCAACGGTGGCGTGGATGAAAATGGCACGGCTTCATCAATAGGTTTATTCGAAGAACTGCCATCATCTGTCTTTCTAATTTGGCTGACGTCCATCAGGGGCAAGCTTTGATAGGATGGCCTTCTAAACATGTAGATTTTTCTACTTAAATGAGAGTTCCAGTAGTTCTTTATCTCATTGTCGGTTCTTCCCTTCAAGTGGCTGGCGATTAAAGACCACCTGTTGCATGACCGTGCAATAATTGAACGATAAAAGTTGAACTGAAAGTCGACAAATGGTCGAAAACAAACGACCACTGACCTATTTCCCAACGATTCATGCAATTTGACGATGGTTTCTTCCTCTTCGACAGTGAAGTTCCCCCTCTTCAAATCAGCTCGCAAGTAATTAATCCACCTTAGTCTGCAACTCTTCACACACCTTAGTAATCCTTCAAAACTCGAACCACACTCAGTCAATACTCAATCAAAGGAATCTGAAAACATAATCCAACAATGCCAAGAAAAATAAAAGAAACTTTGGTTAAAAACCTGCATTCTTAGGCAATGATCTCCATGAGCCTTCTCCATGAGCATGAATATACTTGGTCAAAATGTCATCCTCTTCCGCATTCCATCTCCCCCTTCCCCTTTTCAGCCCAACTTTTTCACAACAAGGCGCCCTCCCCATGGCCGGCACTTGAGCCACTGGTGAAGATCAGCGCCAAATGTAGACAACTTTGTTCCTTGCTGTAACCAGAAGAGAACAAAGGGAAGATAGTAGCAGTTTGACTACTGGACTGGTTAGGGGGAGCATTAATGGATTATTTGTCACTATATAGTGGATAGTGTTACTTGTGCGTATTAGTCATACATATTATTATTTTAAAAAATATATACGTAAAGAATCCATGAAGCAACATTATTCTCCTTAAACGTTTTGGATTTGAATAGTTATATTTGTAAAGTGTATATTCGTTTTCAATTACTAATTATATATAAAAAAAATTAGAAGAACAAGCCAAGGGTAGGTGACTCAGGGTGATAAGGGTTCTCTCTTGAAATGTATATGGACCGGGAAGTATGGTAAATAAAAGCACGATGAAGGAGGTACTAGAAAATGAGGATGCCATTGGGATTTTTTATGGAGAATTAAGTTGGAGGATCTTGTATATACAAGGGACAGAATTTATAAAATATTAGAAGGGATAAATTTATTAAATTTTAGAAGTAAAAAATTTTATTAATAAAACATATAAATAAATAACTAAAATATATTATAATTTAATTTTTTATATTATTTATTCTTATTTATCTCTCGATCCATCTCTAGCTGTATTTAATTTTTTTGTGGGTTAAGGATGGACTATAATGTAAAATTCTTTTAGTTTTATATAAATTTAAAATCGTTGGATGAGTGAAAATATATGGTTGAGATTGATGGAAGGAAATGAAAAGATATTTACTGAAAAAAAAAATAAGGATTCAATCTCAATTATCTATTTTCACTCATTTAACTGTATTAAATTTATGTAAAACTAAAGAATTATATATTAGGTAAGTTGATCTTAACACCATAATTTCTATATCTTATTATTATATTATTAAATAATTATATGTATTATTATATTATTAAATAATTATATTTACATATGTACTGTCTAACATACCCAAGTATCAAAAAGCAGAGCGAAAGCTTACGAATCCCTTCCCCTAGTCTCTCTCGGATGTTTTTTTTTCTTTTAATTTGGTGGAAGCCAAAGATCTGATAACAATTTTGTAAGCATTTATTCAGTTCTGAAGAGATCCAGTTTCTCTCTCGATCTCAAATCCATGGCGCTTTCAAGTACGAAGCTACTTTTTCTGTTGTTCGCTTTGTCTTACGCGATTGTCGCCATTGCAGGGTATGCGCCAATCTCTCCCTATCATTCTCTTCTTCTTTTTCCTGAAAAAACATTCGTTTATATATTCTTGAAATTTGGTGGTGATTTTGCTGCAGAAAGAGCTATTACGATATACTGCAAGTGCCGAAAGGAGCATCGGATGAGCAGATCAAAAGAGCGTATAGAAAGCTGGCATTAAAGTATCATCCTGATAAAAACCCCGGCAATGAAGAGGCCAATAAGAGATTTTCTGAGATTAACAATGGTAACAAAGAAAAAAAAAACCCCAGACGCTTTATCATTTTTATTTGTATTTTTGAAAATTTAGTTGAGTGATAGAATGACTTGTTTTGGTAATTTTTAGCTTACGAGGTGGTGTCGGATAGCGAAAAGAGGGGAATATATGATAGGTACGGTGAGGAGGGCCTGAAATAGCATGCTGCCAGTGGAGGCAGAGGAGGAGGAATGGGGGTCAATATTCAGGACATTTTCAGCTCGTAAGATAATTGAATATCAATATCCATTGCGTTTAATTATCTTGATAGCGATTTAGTAGTAGTTGAAATGCCATTATTAATGATATGCCGTCATTATACCCGTAATTTAGAAGCCAATTAATGCTGCTTAGGTTTATCTTAGACATGGTAATGTTTCCCAAATTCAAGTTTCCCATAGTCGATGTTATAACCTTAACTTTATTTGTGATTACGTTTACATGTTAAGATGATATATGAAATCAGCAATAAATTGTTAACAGACTTTTATAATGGTTTCAACATTAAAACCGTCTACCAAATTCTACATTCACTTGGTTTAAAGTTCAAAAGTGGTTATCCATCAATTTTGAGAAAGTTTTTACTTTTGTTTATGTTATGCTGAATTCAACCACTTATTATTTGCTGACAAGATGGTGTTTTCTTCAGATTTTTTGGTGGAGGCTCGGTTGAAGAGGAAGAGAGAATTGTGAAGGGCGATGATGTAATTGTTGAATTGGATGCAACACTTGAAGATTTGTACATGGGAGGTACTCTTAAGATGAGAAATTTCTTGAAAAAATTGCTTATCCTTAATCCTAGTCGGTGATTGGTCATCTTGACTTGTGTGAAATCCAAAAGTTTTGCACATGGCATGTACCTTATGCAATGTCTTATCTGAGTTGTTAGTCTATGCAAACGGTTGTGAACATATGCATGTTATGTACTTGTATTACCTACTAGACTTGAGAAGCAGGATTTTGATCAGAATCATGTATATGAATAGAGAATACTTTTGCTTTCTCAATATATTAGTAGTCTAAAAATCATATCCATATAATAATAACCAAACTTGTACACAGGTACATCAGCTATAAGGCATCATAGGGTATGGTATGACGCATATCAAGACATGTAATGTTCTGACCTGTCTTATCTAGGAGCTAGTCATTTATACTTGGCAAATTAGTATTTTGTTCCGGCTGTTCTATTTCTTAGATTATCCTGAAATAATGATGATGTAAACATGGTGTACCTTTTTCCTTCTTGTCCTTAACTTGAGCATTTGTGAGGAAAATAGAGTTCAGTTAGTAGCTAGGATTTTGTGTTTCTGTTCCCCCTGCCTCCTCTCTGATCTTTCTTCTCAATATCCTTATTTTATAGAAAGTTACCTTGATCTCAAATTGACCAGGTTTGGAGGGAGAAAAATATCTTAAAGCCAGCTCCAGGCAAGCGACGCTGTAACTGCAGAAATGAGGTTTATCATAAGCAAATTGATCCAGGGATGTTCCAACAGATGACAGAACAGGTACTGTCTTTGTTCTGTTTCATTGATATTTATGTTTCATACTCTTAACATATTCTATCTGTTTCCTCGGCCTTTTTACACTGTCAAAGTTGCCATGTCTTATGTTGCTATGACCAGGCATTAATTACTTGTCTCCAATTATCTTTTCTCAGGTTTGTGAGCAGTGCCAAAATGTGAAATATGAACGAGAGGGGTACTTTGTCACTGTTGATATTGAGAAAGGAATGCAAGATGGACAAGTAAGTTTTTTATTTGGTAATATTTTCTTTTTGGAGTCCCTGTTGATACTGTTGTCCTGTTTTTCTTAATTAATATTAAAAAATATAGTTATGCATAAAACCTTTGGAAAGTGATTTATCTGGCTGGAGATTCTTAATGCCAAGTATAAATGGAGCAAATATATCAGACAGGGGAATGTAATTTAGTAAATCACATTGTAGTTTTATTACACTTGGCTAAGAGTAGAATAGTCTTATTTTATCTAGACATTACTGTGTCTGAATTTGGAATAATGTGTTCCCTGTGTATTTACAGGAGGTCGTTTTTTATGAAGATGGTGAACCTATAATAGATGGAGAACCTGGAGATTTGAAGGTTAGTCTCTAACCAGTGATGAAAAATTTCCAATCCTTCTATATCTGTTATTGTGCTACTTGTTGGGATTGGACAAGACCAATAGGTTCCTGTCCATTCTGCAATTTTTTTGCTGCCTTTAGTTAGTATATTGGAAGTTGCTTGTTTTGGCTCACATAAGAATCGCATTTCTTCATTTTCGAATTCGTACAGCTCCCCATGATTGATTCAGGAGGGAAGGCAATGACTTGCACACCACAGTCACCATAACACTTGTAAGACTCATTGTTAAGTTCTACCTGTCTCAACGTTTTGTCCTTTCATAAAAAGAAGTATGAAGTAATTACAATCTTCTTACCTACTCTAGGTTCAAGCCCTTTTTGGTTTTGAGAAGACCATTAAACACCTTGATGACGTGGACATTGGTTCTAAGGTAAGCATGTAGATTCGATTTTATTCTCTCTGGAATCAACAAAATGATCCAAAATTATAAATAGTTTTGTATTACATACTTGGGGTATTACCAAGCCAAAATAAGTGAGAGTTGAGAGGTGAAGGAATACCGTTGCATTTTAGCAACAAGAAAAGGAGACCTTTATGTCACCTTCGAGGTTTTGTTCCCGACATCACTTACGGAGGATCAAAAGGCAAAAATCAAATCAGTTCTTGGCTAGGATTATAAGAATACAATATTTGTTTGGGGAGGGTTGGGTCATAAACTCATCCCTTTGTAACATTTGAGGAGGATACATATAAACTAGGAAATCTGAAGGGTCTCAAAATTTTCTTCATTCCCATTGTCGCCAATGTGCCCCCTCATCAACAAATTAACTTTGCGATGCCTGAAAAATGAGGGGAAGGAAAAATCTTTGGTCTCTAATACGTTTAAGTTTTCAGCAATTTGGAGAGGTTTGTTTAGAATATGATTTTTCTTAGGCTCAGCCCGGACGTGATTAAAATTGTCATGAAACGAGTAGTTTTAATATTGTTTGCCTGTCATGTGTCAAAATCTGCATCTGCAATATCAACAACGGATGAATTGTTGTTCAAAGAGCTTTGTTCTCGATATTTAGTTTATTGATTTTTCAGCCAATAAAACCAAGTCTAAACTCATATTATTATTACATGTATGAGAAAAAAGTTGGTTGATTTGGGCTGGGATGGTGGCGGCAGTGACATCTTGTAGCTGTCGGCCGCCCCACTTGCTTGCTGCTTTGGGTTGGATCTCCTTATTTCTGCTCACCGTCTTTTCAACCTCCTTTTCCGGATGGCTGACCTTTTCTTCTCCACCATCTCCTGGATCTACTTATCCCTTATCAGCTATCACCAAATTTTACGGGTTAACACCAACACGATGGGTAAACTATATATATTTAGTATTTAAATTTATTATTTTTATTCTATTTTTTATTTTTTAAAAATTACTTTTCATATTTAGTTTATGTTTTAATTTGATATCTTATCATTAAAAAATCAATAAAACTATTGATATAATACTTTTATTTTTTTTTCTCAATGACATGTTAAAATCACACAAGGGTATACACTAAAATTCATTTAAGTAGGTGTGAGATTAAAAAGTTATATTAAAAATTTAAGGGATGCAGAGTTATTTTAAGGGGTGTGAAATTAAATAATCAATAAAAAAATATAAAGAAAAAATATAAAATATAAGAGAATTTAAAATTGTTAAGAGTGCCGTCTTTGCTCTGGTTCCCTCTTCTTATACCTAAGCATAGTCTTATAGAATGGATGACATTTCTTGACAGACTTCCTACGAAAGAAAGATTTCATAAAATGAGGCTTGTTAATGACTATCACTGTATATTTTGTGTTGTTGTCATGGAAACGAGAGATCACTTATTTTTCGAATGTGCCTCTTCCCTATGGTCTACTCTTTTTTCTCTCAATGGCTTACAGTTTAATCATCATTCTTGGGATGCTCACTTCGGTTGGGCTACTGTATTATGGAAGGGAAAATATCTTTTGTCTATCATCATGAAAGTTTCATCGAATGCACTCATTTACACCATATGGAAGGAAAGAAACAAGAGACTTTTCCAAAGTCACTCATCTACCGTTGAAGAAATGTTCAAAGCTATCAAGGAAATTGTAGGACTTCAACTAAGGGGAAAAACTATAAGTAGAATGGACAATGATAATATTTTTCTTTGTAACCAATGGGGTATTGTCTGATGGGTTGTTTGCCGTTTGGCTTTGGATGATCTTTGTATTTCTTACTCTATTGTTTTGATGCAGTTTACTGCTCTTGGGTAATAAAGAACTTAATTATATAAAAAAAAATTAGATGTTAAAATGAAACAAAAGTAATAATTCAGATACTAAACATGTAATTTGCCCTAATATGATTTGAGAGTTTTTTTTAAGATACTTTTTCCTGTCACTAACGAGAACGACACTTGCGAAGTTAAAAAAATTACAATTTTCTTTTCTTTTATTCACATAAGCAGTTAAAAATTAAAAAAAAAACAATTCCAAATGCATATAAACCACCTTAAACGTATAAATCCATAATATGATAAAGTTTTTAATTTTGTGTTCGTTTTGATTTAGTGATACTAATTTTTAAAAAATAAAAATATCATATATTAAATCAATTAAAATCTTTACAATTAATATTTTGTTCATATCTTAACATATGAAAAAGTCCTATATACGAAATATTTATATTTGTTTGAGTGGTAGCCACTCTCCCACTAAACAGCCATCGAGCTAAATCTGTTTATATGTATTTATTAATTTCTAATGTCTGTGAATCTTCTTTACACATTAAGATATGTGAATCATTCATACAAAATGTTCTTAATAGTGTACAAAACACAACATGTCGAAGTTAAAATTAATTATAAATACTCAATAATTATAATATCAATTATTAACATCAATATTTCTTTAAAAAATAAAGTCTAACCATATGATGTGTTTTATATTTATTAAAAATTTCACAAATATTTTTTTATTAATTTAAAGTAATTATAAAATAGTACTTGTTTAAAATTCTTTTTAACGGCAATTGAATATAAACTCAATATAAAGATCTTTATATAAAAACAACATACTCTCTAATTATTAAAATCGTTTAATGTTTTAATCATCAACATTGCGAGTGATTCATAAACTAATATGAATAATGCTCTACGGTATAAAATCTATATTTACAATTTATATTGAATTATATTTGACCATAAGTCAATGTTTTGTGAATAGTAAACATTTTTTGAAATGTATAAATAATAAATATGTATGAGAATACAAACAAGAAATAAAAATATTTGTTCAACAAACAAATATAAGCCTTCCTCAAATTGTTTAAAATTAAATAATAAAATGAAATAATAGAGAGACAGGTGTCGTTCGCTGGAAACGTGTGAGTGGTACAGATCAAACTTTACGGACACGTCATCGTAATAGGTTTTCGAGTTTATACTTCATCCGTAAACCCTCTGACGTGGCAAGCAGATATTATTCCCACACACTCTTGGAACCCCCCCAGTTCCAGTCAGGCCGACACGAAACTACAATCAAACGCCGTCGTTTCAACCTCCTGCTTAAATGATTATAAACAGAGCAATTTTCAAAGGAAAACTAATCAATTTGGCATTTGGAGTTGGATAGAATCCAACTTGTGATTTTCCCCAACCTTTCTTCCCCCTTCTGTTTTCAATTATTATTGATTTACGGGTAGAACAAACAACGAAAGAGAGGCGAAAACGATAGTAGTTAGTAATTCAAAAGATTGTTTTGTTACGTCACAAGCTCTAGCGTCTTGCTTGTTTCTCGAGTTTCCAGCTCGGTATTGCTCTGTGATTTACCAACCCGGAAACGACAATGGATGGGATTTGTTTGAAACCGGGGATTCATGGAATGGTGCCGGCGATCTCCTTGACTGGGCCACTGGAATGTAGGGCTCACACGACGCAAGTGAGTGCGGTGAGTCGGTCTTCTGTGGACCATAGATCGGCATCGACTTCTTCTTCGGTTCCTCCGCAGAATACGGCTTTTTCCAGGTTCTCGTTTCGGTACCCTTTGAGATCTTTGTGGCCTGGTGGTGGAGGTGGGAACAGTAAGAAGTACAACGGGATGGCAATTGACGACGCCGTTTTGGTGGAGAATAATCACGGGGAGGCGAGGAAAGTACCGGAGGAGGAAGTGAATGGTGGGGCAACGGTGGATGGGCGGAATGAGAATTGGGTTTTGAAGATTTTGCACGTCAAGTCTTTGTGGAAAGAAAGCGAAGAAGAAGAAGAAGAAAGAAATCTGTGAATTATGTAGAGTTGTAGCCAACGATGATGAAAATGAAAAAAAGGAGATTGAAATTGATAAAGATGCCTTTTCCAAGATGCTACGAAGGGTGTCTTTAGCTGAGGCTAAGTTGTACGCTCAATTGTCGTACCTTGGAAACTTGGCTTACGATATTCAAAATATCAAGATAACAATCTCTGTTAGTTGTTTTTCTTAATTTTCCTTCATATATTATTCGTTCATTTATAAATGTTGGAGATGTTTTATTTCATTGTTTCTGCCAATGGGAAGAGTTAAAGATCGGTTTCTGGGTTTCTAAGACCTGAAAATTCAGTCTATAATAAGTTGCACCCAAAACTGGAATTTTTTTCTTCAATACCTCTGTGAAAAGTTCTATTAACTTTCTATTAAGGCCAAGCTCGGGTGCTGTGAATTTGTTTTTGTTTTTGAAACTTTCTATCTAGTTGAAGCCTTCCTGTGTACATTGTCAACCAATTTGGCTTCTTGAGATAGAAATCATAAGTGTTCAAAATTGAGCCTTGCTTGTTTAGGTTCCAATTTAATTGTGATGGTTCATTTAGCAGTATGTTATTAGTAGGGTTTTAGATCAATGCTTGCACCTTGGGTTTGTGTTATTTTGTCGACCTAGGAGCTGTTGAAAATATATTTGTACTTCGAAGATAATGGCTTTCTATCTTTAATGGCTGCTTGATATCCTTTATTGATGAAATAGATATTTCTCTTTAAATTTTATCCTGGCTCACAAGCACACACATATAGTCCTACTATGTCTATGAAGAAATAACATGTTTTTGTTTTCTCCATTTACCTATTGGGATCAAATTCAGCCTCAAAATATTCTAAAATATCGTGGTTTATGAATAGTTACTTCATCAATAGAGACGAGAGAACTAGGAATGAAAGCCAAGAATAATAATGAGAAAATTGGTTTGTCATCTGAAAATCAAGAGTCACAAGGTAATGAAAAGGATAATGCAGAAGACCAAGAGAAGAAAAATCTTGGCTCCCGGATCAGTGCCTCTGCTGCATATCAGATAGCTGCTTCTGCTGCTGCTTATTTGAATTCCCATACGGTCACCATACTTCCGTTCAAATCATCAAATCCTGAAAACAGTGAGGGTTCATCTAAAGATGGCAGTGGAAGTGACGACAGTTCTGATATGATAAACTCTGATGTGGCTTCTTTAATGGCAACTACGGACTCCGTGACTGCCGTGGTTGGTGCTAAAGAAGAAGTGAAGCAGGCTGTTGCTGATGATTTGAACTCAACACATTCATCACCTTGCGAGTGGTTTATATGCGATGCTGATCAGAGTCCTACAAGGTTCTTTATAATTCAGGTTGGTAACATGACTAACTTTTAACTGCTACTTAAGGCATTGTCTTTGACACTACTACAATATCCAACTTATTTTTATTGTCTTTCTTCTTTTGGATTTGGTTATACTCAAACTATGATGTGTATCTGTAGGGATCCGAGTCACTAGCATCTTGGCAGGCAAATCTACTTTTTGAGCCTGTTCAGTTTGAGGTAATTTCTTGACAAATATTTTGATTTGCTGCTTGGAAATCTTTGTTTTGATTCTTAAATCTGTAAGATGCTTGTAGAAATTGCATCATATGCAAGTTAAAAACTGAGGAACGAGTAAAATGTATTTTATTTCCTGTTACTGATAC